AGCTAGTCCCTGACTTTTAGAGACTAATACTTACCAGGCCATTATGGAAGAAGCCCCCAATATGTAAAGACAAAGACAAAAAAACAGAGCTCTTCAAGCAATGACTACAAGAGAGAAACGTGAACACTGACCTTGTCATCTATTCAGATGGATCATAATTGGACGACCAAGGCACAACCCGCACTGGATGGGGTTATATCATCAGGAAAGGCGGCACTACACAAGAAGTATACCGGGGAAAGGGCAGACTTCTCCAAGCAGAAGTAGTAGATGCTGAAGTCCATGGTGCTCTCCAAGGTCTCGCAGCAGCCAGGGCAATTGGACACGGAAAACAGCTATATGTCTGCCTGGACAACACGTCAGTGGTAGATGGGCTCAATGGGACTCCACCCGAGACATCACAGAACATTTTTCTATGATTTTAAGAACTTGCCACAGCACATACTCCTGGAGTGACCGTCAAGTGGATTCCTAGACACAGAGATATTAATGGCAACAAAGCTGTCAACACACTAGCAAAAGAGGGTGCCATGCTAGAAACAGACACAACAAACCTTCCTACAATCTCTTGGGTCAAAAGAGATCTCAAAAGAAAGGGCAAGAAAGTGTCACGGCGAGCGTACTGAGGAGCTGGGACATGGCCGGCAGCAAGCAGCTATTACTCTATTGACGAGAATATCAAGACTAGAGAGGAAAGGAAGAGAGAAAGAGATAGGTACAGTGGGAGGTTGCCCCTTTAAGGGGATCCTCTGGTCAGATCCTTCCCCTATTAGGAAGTATCCACTTGTCATGTGGGAAGGTCTGTGCAGGCCGTCACAGAAAGAGTTCAACCAATGGTAGAAAGACCAATCAGAACTTAGGTATCAAGAAGTATACTCACATGCAGTAATTGAAAGAGACCTTATATCTTTTAAGAGGAGTACTTTACACAGACTTCTAGTGGCCAGATCTGGACATGGCGACTTTGCCAGATATTATGAACGCTTTGGGCATACAGCCTCGAATGATCACTGCAGCTATGGTGAGAAGAAAATACCACAACATATTTCTTTTGTAAGAGGCTGGGGAAAAACCGGCTGCTGCCTAGGTACTCGCCTAGGACAGCTTGTTTACAATACTTAGGGGAGAGGAGCACAGAATGGGCAAAATTCGTGGAGAAGAGCAAATTCTTTTTAACAATCTGCCCCTGATAGATAGCTTTTCTTGAAGGACCAGATGGATGACCCCAAGGTCATACCGCCGCAACAATGAGGATGGGCCCGTGAGCGGGACTGACTGTACTTATTATCTTGAGACCTCCACAACCCTGCGATACAGAGGCTCTGGGAGGCGTGGTTTGCACTACTGAGGAGCTACCCCCCACGTTAAATACAATCAATCAATCAATCAATCTTCATCCCCTTGAGGGCCCACAGCCCTGGTGCTTCACCGGCATTCACCCGTATGGAAAACATCTGCACGCACCCAGTAAACGTGCCGGTATGATCAGCAACTATCGTGGGCATCGGCCAATGAATGCGCTGGAGCTAGATGCCCCAACCGCATTACACCATGACCGAAGCGGCATTTCAACGATTGTCCCGATACTTGCCCTGCGCCACGGGATCACGTATACAAATATCTCAGGCACTTGCACCATTGAGTCTTGACGCTCTGCCGGCTGGAGTTAGCAACGCCCCTGGCGGCCCGATACGCCTGCGCCCAAGCCGACCAACAATTCTCGAGCGCGGCGTCCTCGACAATCCTGCTGCACCTCAAATCCTTCCTCCCACCACAGCACGAGCCAGATACCTCAGTACTGGCGCGTATTGTGGGTCCTTGATGAACTTGTACGCTTTCCACTATCAGCCCTGTAGGCCGCGCGACTACTGGCTGTTTCCCAGGTGCGCCTCATTTATTCAACAACGTCTGCCTGGGCACGTCCGCCGTCAAAGAACTTTCTTCAAGTGGCATAACGCGGTGGGCCACGACTAGCTGCCAAACGCGGGATATGGAATGAGCTGGTTCTGGGACAAGTGGGTGGTACTACATGCCCGGAGACTGCTGTCACTGCTGGCGACGGTGCCACTGTCGGTTACGGTGTCGCTGCTGGTGACGGTGTTGAATGAGAGCTGTCAGAGTGCCAGGTAGGTACCTATGCCACAGCCATGGACCCTGACATGGAGACCCTGACATAGACTCGATCGTGTGAAGCAAGATATAAGGCCACCAGCGAGCTAATGTCAATTGTATATAGTAAGATACTCAAGCAACAACGCATCAGACGTTCGAGTTCCGCCAGCAGGTCGGCTGCCTCGAGGCTGATCACAGTGTCCGGTGGGTCGACGGGTGCCAGTCGTTCACCGACTTTGCTAGACGACCCTAGAAAGGTTCGACTGTGGATCATGGTGAATCGCCAAAACAAGACGACCCGACTCGACCTGACCAGCCCATAATGGATTTGAGACCAACGATCGGAGCACCATGCCCATCACCTTCTGCGAGTTCATGGTCACGGTAGCAAGCCAGAAGCCAGGTGAGAAGTACTCCAAATTCATGACAATCCTATTTCCAATGCCTGATTATGAAAGCTCACAGTACCGGAAGTCAAATATGTCTACACTGAGTGAAATCTCAGCGAACCTGGATCGAGCTTTAGCCTGGTTGCTACCTAAGACCAATGAGTGTAGGCACATAGTGGTTCGGCTGCCGCCGACTGTTGAGCCACAGGAGATCATGAAGGTTTCGAGGATTCTTTTTGCCAAACCCTACCGCAATGTATCCCTACCCGCAGAAGTCAAATTCAGAAGATTTTTCGAATTTCGTTGGATGCTCAGAGCCATAGTACTGCTTTCTTGACACCCGCATCACATCAACCAATACTGTGATTATGGTCACGCAGTTCTCTGTACTGCACCGCCGCATCAGCAAACTGTAAATCGCACGCTTTCACCCGAAATTCGACAAGACATACCAACCTCCAGTCCGGTAAGCCAAGACTGGCTGCAAGAGTGCCGTTCGGAAGAAGGTTGCCGCAGCATTGACGTGGAGAGCAAAGCAGTCCCTTTCTCTGTTGCCGTGGCGCCAACCACCTTTCTCCATTATACTTTGGGTGAGAACCATCTGATCTTACGCTTGAAGAACATCCGATTTTCCCCGATGTCCAACAGCAAACACCGGCTTTGAGTCTTTGATCATCAGATTAATCGTTGTGGATAGTGGATTACACCAGCCGCCCGCCCAGTCACCAAGCCACTGACCCACCTACTCACTCGAGCCAGGCTCTTATCAGAAACGACAGACACCCCGATCCATCCATGTCTCTTCCAAGTTCCACATATTTTCGCAAGAGATCTTCCAGAAACCTATGCCACAATGACTCCGTATTCAAGTCTCTGAAGAATAGTACCATCCCTTTCAAGACCGCCAAAGATCACGATTGGGTTGCCTAATCCTCTACCTTCAACCGCCGCATTCCCGTCACCCCGGTTGTAATTGTGCTGCCCGGAACCATCAAGGAGGTCGGCAATGCTGTGGTCTGCGCGGCCCAGCATGGGCTTCAAGTCCAGGCGAGATCTGGCGGCCATTCCTATGCTTCACACAGCAACGGCGGTCAAGATGGATCCATGGTAGTCGATCTGCGGAATTTCCAGGGAATCGACGTCAACCGGGAGGGTATTGCTAAGGTAGGCGGGCGGCGTAAGACTAGGAAACCTAGCATTAGCTATTTTCCAGCAAGGACGCCGTACCTTGTCTCATGGAACCTGTCCGGGTGTGGGCATCGGAGGCCACTTCACCCACGGTGGTTACGGATTCTCGAGCCGGTGTTGGGGGTCTCGCAATGGACCAAATCAGAGGTTTGGATGTGGTTGTGGCGAACGGCACCTGCGTTCACGCGTCCGAGACCCAGTACCCCGACCTGTTCTACGTAAGTTTGCACCCCCGTATCTGAGTTGCTGAGGGGCACGAACTGATGTCGCATTAACAGGCCATGCGAGGCGCTGCGGACTCGTTCGGAATCGCGGTATGCTTCTATCCAAGAACGCAACCGGCCCCTGAGACGGTGGTAAAGTGGAACATCGACATTCCCGGCGCGACCTCCACCGTGGATAACGCGGTCAGCGCTTTCATGCACGTGCAGAACGTTGCGGGCAAGGAGGCTGTCGTTGACCGCCAGCTTGGCTTCGGCCTATCATTGGGGTCAAAGGGATTCGTTTTTGGCGGAACCTACTTTGGCTCACTTGCATTCTTCAACGCCACCATACTGCCAGCATTCTTGCACGGGCTACCAGACATGAACCCGAAGGTAGAAGTCAAGCACGTGGACTGGCTCACGTCACTCAGGCTTCTCGGCTACGCGGACAGCCTCGCGACCGACAGTGCTTACGCGGAGAAGAGCACATTTTTCGCCACAAGCGCTAAGCACTACGGCTTCGTCGACCATGGCAAAGACTTCCCCGACGAAGGGATCGAGTTCTGTTGAATGGCGCGCAAGGCACCGTGGCGTTCAGGGCGGTGGCAGTGCACCAACAAGGCCAATAGGGCATTTTTGGGCCACTTAGCCCACAGAAGGATTTTTGCAGAGATACAACAAGAACACGGGTTACACCAGAATATACGTTTTCACCCATCCAAAAGCCCCCACGCTCTGTTTGACAAGTTCATGCGCGGGCTCAATGATGCCATGACGCGGATGGTGCCAGGTTGCGGCGCGTACGCCAACTATCCTGACTCGACGCTGGAAGCCGAAGAAGCGAATGCGCTGTATCATGGAAACCAGCTGCATGCGAAGCTCAAGGCGTTTAAAAAGCTCCTGGACCCGGGCAATGTGTTTGCACATCCGCAGTCGATTCGTGGAGAGGGAAAAGCGGATGCACAAAATGATGCATGATATGCTGCATATCAGGTTGCATAAGCACGGGCCTCAGTCTGCATGGAATCACTGAAGGGCGCACTCAACACCATCCCGTCTGCTTCACTGCTCCCCAGAACGCACGAATGCAGCGATAATCACCTGCAGTATGCCAACCGAAAACCGTCTCCCTAGACCTATGCGACCGCTCCAACGACTCTACAACTACCTCTCGCGCGGGTTTGTCGCAGCCTCGTACCCCCTGCGCGGAATCTACTATTTCCTACGTCATCCTGCCTTCTACCCGCTCTTCGTCGGCCGACTGCTTCCTCTGTCCATCATCTCGACCTTGGTATACACCATTCTCTTCACATTCACCTTCCTGCCGCAGTATGCCTTTCTGGCGCTCTTCCATGGCTGGGCTGTGTGGCTCAATGCGGTAGTCCTGGTTCTGGGAGAAGGCCTAGTCATCATTCAAGGCCTTTTCGAGGGCTTCTTCGTCGACGAGTGCCGGGTTGATATATTCGATGTAAGTCGCACTCTGATCTATCTCCAAGCTGGGGCTGCCATTTCCAGACCACGCTGCTGACCCACTGGCCTCAGGCGACTCTTCTGAACGAGCACCTCGAGGATCTCGTCGCACCCCACCGACTACTCTTTCCAGACGCGCCGAACTCGGTCAAGAAACTCGGCAAGCCAACGACAGCTGCCGCCTACCAGCCGTGGAGCCTGATCCAAATTGTCGAGCTGATCTTCTTCCTGCCGCTCAACCTGATCCCCTACGTAGGGACCCCCGCCTTCATCCTGATAACCGGCGCGAGACTCGGAACATTTGCGCACTACCGATGGTTCGAGCTGCGAGGCCTGACAAAGAAGGAGCAGAAGCAGGAGATCAGGACGAGGATGTGGGAGTACACTTGGTTCGGAACCGTGGCTATGCTGCTTCAGTTGGTTCCCATACTGTCGTTCTTCTTTCTTTTGACTTCCACGGCCGGCTCGGCGTTGTGGACGGTCAAGCTTGAGAAGCAGATGAGAGCACCTACAGCCGCGCCTGGGGAAGAAGCAGCAGAGACGCCGGAGATCCATCCCGATGGGCCCCCGCCACCATATGTGGATTATCCCGTATGAATGCTGGTTATGCTTCAATCTCTCGCTATAGGTCTCTGCGCACTCAATGGTGTGTTTGGCATCAGCACCATGGCATAAGCAGAATTAATTCAATGAATCGTTATTGTTGCTGATACCACAATTCTCTTTTTACAGGTCAATGATACCCTGATAGTCCGGCGAGGAGGATCTCCATGGAACCCCCTTCTCCGCAAATACAGACGGCCAAGCGCCGAATTCGCCAAGGTATGAAGCATGGATGTTCGACGACGAGACTCTTATTGCAGGCATCGAAGCCGCTGGAGCCCAAGGAAGTACTCGCGCGAGCTGCGCTCGTTCACGAACAGCTTCGGGCACTTCATAGTGAAGTGAAAGCCTCCGCGCGTCTGGAACAGAGGTAACAGGCTGTCCGCTTCTTCTGTTCCTCCAAACTGGTTCGCAAGATCATGACCCTGCCTTTCGTCTTCTCCGTCGACACGCTCGCTGGCTGCTCGCTACAGCAGCAGCAGGTGAACCACGAGGAGGTGCTGCCCTGGATGTCATAGATCAGCAGGCAAGTCCATCCGGTCCATCTAGTCTGGTCTATCTAGCCACCGCGCCACAGAGTGCACGGCTCACGATCATCGCTTTGAGAATCCAACGACGCGAATAGTCGAGGGTCCTCGAGCAAGAGCCGCTCATCTGTACGATGATGATGAAGACTGGAAGCTCCCATGGCTAGCTCCAAATGCTGTTACAGCGGTTGCCTCCTATCTCCTGAGTGCCGGTAGGCTGATGAGATAGTAAGTTGCAGCAGACAAAGCAGTACTTCAGGATTTAATGATGACATTTGCAATCCTGGACTATCACTTCAACCACCTGACCCTCAGTTGTACAGTCTGTAGCAACATTACCCGGACACGATGGCGACAATGGCCGTCTTCGCTACTCAAGACGGTGTCCAATATGCTCCTTGATATGGTTGTCACCTTAAATGCACCCACGTCCTGGAGAGTAGACTACCTAGGTATGGGCGGACTGACATGACTTGCCGTTGCGATCGACACGAGTTTGTCTTACCGAACCAAATCTCAAGCCGACAACTTCTAGTCCGACTGTGCTGGCTCACTTGAGGCAGACCCTGAACCATCCCAGACGAGGTAGGCCTCGGCCGTGGTGAACACAAGCATTCACGACATACACTGGCAATCAGCAGCCGTGGGTCAGCATCCATGACATCCCACGCGAAACCTTCCATGTTTGCTAATTCAGGCTGATAATTGTTCTCCAGAAACACGCCTTTTGGAGCGGATGGCGTCCACATGCATCCATTCTATCCTCGCTTTCTTGCAAGTAATGCACTGCTAGGAGACTTCGCCGCATCAAGCTATCACCACTATCGTTGCATTGATCTTCAGATTGATGGAAGAGGGGAGGGATTTGGAGGGGAGATTGAATCTATTGCCCTACATGGCTTTCCTGGCTGACGATCACGCTTCAGAACTCGTGGGATCGTGTGACGCGCTGGGAATTCACGATAATCTAGTGCCAGGCTCCAGGCGTCGATATAGAAATTGAAACCTGTATGTGGATATTGAAGCCCATCGCAAACAATCCATTCAGCTGGGCACGCTATTCCATGTGACTGCAATCAATATTCTTCCAAGGGGGCCTTTCAGATTGCCAGACGGTAATATAAGAGTAAATTGTGCGGTGCGCTCTTCAAGTCCTTAAGGGGTAGAAGGCCCATTCGTTTTGGGCGATTCCTGCCGGTTCCTGATGGAAAAGCGCATCGTGTTCAGTGCTACAGCGTTGTGAAAAGGGGTCGATGTGACGGGACCCAGGCTGTCAGGCACAGTGGGGCTTCCAGCTGGTCACCACTTCCAGTCAGCCATCAGCTGCAGCTTCACATGAAGAGCACTCGGCCTCGAACCCCTGCAGGACTCGGGAGTCATAACATGAGTTCCAACGACAACATTGCATTCACAGCTATTACCAGGTCAAACGTCTATCACTATCTACAGATTGACGACTGAAATGCGCAGCCTGGACCATCCCAAGGCCAGTCGCTGGCGGTACCACAGGCAGATGATAGGGAGCAGCAGCGTGCTGGTACATGTCATCATGTATGTACCTTCCTTCATCTGTTGAATTCAGGATGCAACATCCAAATCACCTTCCCACCAGCCTCAAGCAGATGCCTGCAGGCTGTCATCCATCGGTTGGGGCACATCGGAACCAGTCCTCCTTGTGACTTCCCAGAGAAGCTTGAGTGCGACATGTGGATGATGCAATATAAGGTAAAATGGGTGGGCGGCAGCGGGCAGGAGGTGGTTGTGAGAGTCAAATTTGCGCGTGCCTTCCTCCCCGAGATCGAACCTCGCCTTCCAAGTTACGAGATGGGAAGGCACGCTCGCGACCCTGCCTTTCAACCAGTTTTCTGGCAGGCCCGCCACCTGCGATTCTCCCTCGTCTTCTTCCCCTCTCGTCTTCTTCCCCTTTCGTCTCTTCCCATTCCGTCTTCCCTCTCTCTCTCCTCTTCCACCCGCCCTCAACCCTTGACCCTCCAGGGCTCGTCACCTCCTCCTCCCCTCTCTTCATCATCGTATCCTACCTAGGCCATCATTCGTTACCTGCCTTCATTCCAGCATCGCCTCTACCCCACTTCACGCCTACTACCTCGCTGCTGACCAGCCTTGACATTGCAGAGCACGGCAAGCATGCGTGAGAACGCCCTCTGGGGTGTCCTTGGGGCCGTCGGTCTCTTCGGATCGGCATCTGGCCAAGGATATGGCGGCAACCCGTAAGTCAATGATCGCCTATCCATCAGTCTTCTCTCAAAGCTGACAGAGTTGAACAGCCCTGGCAGCCCTGGAAGCCCTGGTGGCGGCCCTGGTGGCGAGACCTGTCCTGTTCCTGTTCCTACCACCGTCTTCATCACTGTCACTCCGGCTGTGCTGCCCCCCATTGTGACGACCGTCATCTCGACCGTCACTGCTGGCGAAGGTGGCCCCGGCCCAGGCGGTTCCGATACTACGCTCAAGACTTCCTACCGCTCCTTGTCTGCTACCGGTCCCCTGTCTGCTACCGGTCCACTGTCCTGGTCTCCCTCCAGAACAATTACTCTGCCTTGCTCCACTTCGTCGTCTGACACTGTTCCCTGGTCCACTGGTTTCCGCACTATCACCATGCCTCCTGTCTCGGGCGAGACCGCCTCAAGTGTTCTCACATACACCATTCTCACTCCCAACGGCCCCAGTCAACCTGATCTCACCAACACACATTCGGCAGCGACCATTGCAACTCTGACCCTCACTCAATCTGGAGCCGGTGGCCCAGGTGGTGCCCCGGGTGGCGTACAAGGCAGCTTCAACCCTGATTCCCCCTTCGTTACCCTTACCGAGAGTATTCCGGGTGGTAGCCAAGGCCGTTCAGCTCCTGCTTTCACGACTCTCACTGCAAGCGTCCTCAATGGAGCAAATGGCGGCAACAACCCCACTTCCTCGTCTGCATCTTTCGGAAGTTCCCCTGAAGGCCCGAGTGGTTCTGCCGGGCAAGGCGGTGTCTCCTCCAGCATTCAGACATCCGTTTCACCTCTCCCTCCCGGACCATTCGGCGTCTCTTCATTACCCAGCCAGGTCACCGGATCCCCTCCTGGTCCTTTCGGCAGGTCCTCGGCACCAGATCAGCAGACCGAGACAGGGACTGCACCCGACGGAGGATACGGAAACAGTCAACCACTGTCGACTATCACAATCACAGCCCCAGGTGGATCACCAAGTGCCAGCAACGAGGGTGGCGGTCCAGGTGGTCCCAGTGACCAGAGCAACACCGCAACGACCATCACATTTCCCCTTACAGGTGGTTCAGTCGGTACAGATGGCCAACCCAGCACCAATTCAGGTCAAGGTGGATCCCCGTCTGGGCCTACTGATGCGTCAGGGGGTCCTGGAGACTCGGGCATCTCGCAGACAACTACCTTGACTGCACCCGGTGGAGAACCAAGTGAAGCTCCAGGCTCCGAAGCTCCTGGTGGCTCAGACATCTCACAGATAACTATATGGACTGCAACACCGGAGGGGCCGAGCAATGACGGAGGCTCAGGTAGTCCTAGCAGCTCAGGCGGCCCCGGAGACTCGGGCGTCTCGCAAACAGCTACCTTGACTGCACCAGATGAAGAACCAAGTGAAGCTCGAGGCTCCGGAGCGCCTGGTGACTCCGGCATTCCACAGACAGCTACCTTGACTGCACCCGGTGGAGAACCAAGCAATGCTGGAGGCTCAGGCGGTCCTGGAGGCTCGTCCATCCCTCGAACGGCTACCGGTCCTGGAGGCTCGAGCATCGGACAGACGGTTACCTTGACTGCACAAAATGGAGGACCAAGCAACCCCGCCGGCTCAGAAGTCCCTGGCGGCTCAGAAGGTTCAGGCAATACCGGTAGTCAGGTAGGCCAAGGCACTTCGTCGTGCCCTGAGACCGAACTTGAGCCGTCTTCAGTGCCGCGTGTCATCACTATCACTGGCACAGACACAAACCCTTCTGGTGGGAGCGGATTGACCTCACCATTACCGACAATCACCCTGACGATCTCTGTGGATTCATCTGGGGGGCCCGGTGGCAGTGCCGGCGGAAATGGAGGGTCTCCTACGGCTATTTCGGGCGGCACCACGGTCACTGGAACTGACACTGACACAAACCCTGCTGGTGGCAGCGGGCTGACTTCCCCCTTGCCGACATTCACCCTGACGATCCCTGTGCATTCATCTGAGGCGCCCGGCGGCAGTGTCGGCGGGAATGGAGGGTCTCCTCCTTCTATTTCAGACGGCATCACAGTCTCCGGCACTGACACAAACCCTGCTGGTGGCAGCGGGCTGACTATCCCCTTTCCCACAATCACCTTACCCACAATCACCTTGCCGACAATTACAGAGCCGACAATTACCTTGCCTACAATCACCCTGACGATCCCTGAGGGTTCGTCTGAAGGCCCAGGCGGCGGTGGCGGCGGTGGTGGCGGAAATGGAGAGTCTCCTCCTTCTATTTCGAACGGCGTCCCGATTACCGGCACCAACACCAACCCTGCTGGTGGCAGCGGTCTGAATTCCCCGTTGCCAACCATCACCCTGACGATCCCTGAGGGTTCATCTGAAGGGCCCGGTGGCAGTGGCATCAGTGATGGCGGGTTCCCTACTTCAATCTCGGATGGCATCACGATCACCGGCACCAACACGAATCCTGCTGGCGGTGGTGGCGAGACCTCCTCTTTCCCTAGGATCACCGGCACTATCCCTGGGGAGTCTTCTGAAGTTCCCGGTGGCGGCACACCCACCGCAACTGACACAAGCCCCGCTGCTGGCAACGGACCGACTTCCCCGATCTCAACAGTCACCAACACCGTGCCCCAAGGTCCTGGTGACGGAGGCAATGGAGGCAATGGAGGCGGCTCCGACTTGCCGACACTTACTTCGACTATTCCCGTGGGCACATCAGGGGCTCCAGGCGCTGGTCCGAGCGGAGAAGGCAACCCGTCTGACACACTCAATGATGGGGGCCATGTCACATCTACTCCTTTAGGCTATGGCGGACCCCATTCTCCAATCCCACCATTTATTGGCACAAGCGAGGGTTCGGCCGGCGCTGGCGGTTCTCCTGGCGGTACTGCTGGCGGTCAGACCACCCCAGAGGTCATCACGATCATCGGTCCCTCTCCAAGTGGTGATGCCCGAGGTTCTCCTTCCACAACCCAAGTCAGCGGCACCGACATTGCCAGTGATATGAGTCTGATCAGCGGTACAAGCCCTCTCCCTGGAGGCTCTGGCGTCTCTACGATTTCCGCCTCGGCCCAGTCCTCTTGGGGCACTATCACCAGAATCTCCACGCTGTCAGATGCTCCCGCAAGCACGGTTACCCTCCCACACAAGTCATGGACCCCAATAGGTAAGCAGCCCATTTTCCACTCGTGTTTCAAATCCAGCTTCCTCCAAAATACACGCACCCTCTGTTGGAAGTGTGGCTTGATTGAGCTGACAAGTCTTCGTGCTAGCATCCCAACCGACCGGTGGCGACAGCGGTTCTACCTCCTCCGACGATACTTCTGGCCCCGAAACCTCTGAGGCCAGAGGAACAGGATCCCCACCAGAAGAAACCCCGACGGGCGGCGGCAGCAGTTCCACCTCCTGCTCCGACACCTCCGTTCCCGACGCTGAGACCTCTGGTGCCGATACTTCTGCCCCCGAAACCTCTGAGGCCAGAGGAACAGGGCCCCCGCCAGATGAAACCCCGACGCCCGAAACCTCTGAGGCCCGAGGAACAGGTCCCCCGCGAGAAGCATCCCCGACGCCCTCCCGAGGTCCCATGTCATCTCTTCCAAGCAGTGGTTGGAACCTCACCTCATCGGTGGCAGGCCAACAACCGGGTAGCGGTTTCCCATTGTCGGGATCTCCAATGCCAGCCTCAATGTCTCCGAGTGATAATACAACCATTTTCTCCACATCTCCGACGGCATCGATGAGTCTTTCAGCCGCGCCGCTGACAACGACGGACGTTGGTGAGACCACCACACCCGCTGACGAAGGGTCTGCTGCTAGGACATTTGCCTCTGAGACACCTTCCGTGAGTGCTTCAGAGCTTCCTATCCCAACAATAACATCCGGCGAGACTACGTCTTGTAGCGAAGAGGGGTCGGCTGCCAGAACGTTTGCATCGGAACCAACAGCCTCTGATGTTACCCCCTCCGTTTCAATACCACTGATGCCCAGCCTGCCACCGCCTGTCTCACCATTTAGCAATTCATCGACTCAATTCCCGACTGTGACCGCACCACCTCAGCCATTTTCGTCTGTATCCGACTCAGACCTGCCTGTGCCCAGATCCAGCGATTTGCCCATATTCAGCTCCACCATCTCTGTTTCGATCTCGCCCCAAATGTCAGACACTCCACCTTACCCTTGCCTCTCAATGACAACGATGGAGATCGCGACATGGACACTCTCCTGGTGTGTCGACGTAGCAACGACGCAGCCTTCTGCCCCCAGCTCGACGGCCGAGCCGCGCGTCGCGAACAATGTGAGTATTACCTACAGCAACTTAGCGCCAACCACCGTACCTGGTGGTTACGTGTTCGGCTCTGCTCATGTCGCTCGGAGATCCGCCGTCCCGTCCCATCCGCCCTTGGACCCAGCCACGGCTGTACCCTCTACCCTATCGACCGTCATTGTTCGCTCGTCAGGCTCGCGAGAGGGCTTTTCCACTGAGGCACAAGATCCCATGCCCACTACTTGCGGCAACATGGCTGACACGGGCGACTTCGTGTTCAACGTAAGCTCCCGGCTCCCCCTTGTAAAATTGCAGTGCTGACCATCCCCAGCTTGATGATCTACACCTTGAGGTGGGAGCAGATCTGGATTCGCAGGACTTGAAGCCGACGCCGATGTCAAATCCGTACCATCGATTCTGGTTCTCCCCGGGCTTTGAGGTACTGTCATCTGCTTCAGACCCGCTCCGCGCGTCTTCGGGCAAACCCATTCTCCGATTTACCCCAGCATCGATCTCGAATATAGCTGTACCCGATGTGCCCTTGAATGCGGCAGAGATCAGTCTCGGTCCGCAAAGATCATCGACTTGCTTCGCATTCCACTTCTACGGTATGAGCCTTGGATGCAGTTCCACAGGTTCGCAATGTCTTTTCACTTTCACTGGGATGAAGTATGACCATTCGCTTGGACAAGAGAGTGCCGTCGCCTCGCAGACGATCCCTGTTCCTGCTTGCGGGGCCACAGAACACTGCAAGTTGGCCCCTGTCACGGTCTCAGGCTTCGATGCTCTGACTTCGGTCCTGATCACCTTGAAGGTGGACGGTCATGACGAGATTTGGTGGGCAGACGACGTTGCACTTGGATGGGCCGACAACGACTGTGAGCAGGCGGTGTGTCGCTCCAAGGTGCGCGACTCCATTGTGAAGCGCGAATGGACTGGTATGGAGTGAAAGTCGTCGTCGAAGTGAACGGACTTTGGTCTCTTCGGGGACAGAATGTCCATGCTGCATTGTGGTGACGAGGTGGATTTGGAACTCCGAAAAATCGATTTGCTTTCATCGGAAATTTTGCTCGACATATAACAGCAGGCCACGCAGACAAGGTTATTGCCTGTCTCTGGCGTAATACCTAGGTGGAGAGAGATCAGGGGGAAATGAAGCAGAACATGGTGCCAATTTTGGTCGATCGAGTTCGATGTAAATAGATATCATCAAATGGAGAAATGTCACTGTACCCAGAGCTCGCGGCCTTCCCAGGTTTCAACAGTCGTTGTGACTGAACTCCAGGCCCAATGGATGATTCGATGGGTGCCGACGGCCGTGGAGTTCAGTAGTTTCCCGCCGCTGCCATGGCCTCGGTAGATAATGTGTCGGGTGCTGTGAAGCGGACGTGTGCAGTGTAGTGGACGAGTCCGGAGGTAGGGTGCCCCGATTGCCAGCGACATCGGAGTGGGCAATTAAGGGTTCCCGGCCGTTCTCATGCTCATTACCAATGCGCCCGGCTCTTCAGTCTCTTCCCGAGCCAAACGCCCAGGCTGCCCAGCCCAGACACCTGGAATGGCTGACTATCTTGGGGCGTATCTTCCGCGGTTAGGGGCAGGCTGTGCGCACCAACACGGCATGCACACCGCGTCTGACCGGCTGCGCTGTGTGGGATTGGAGAGAAACCGGGGACGTCTTGTCGCCACGGGTTCTGTCCGGGAATAAGCAGCCAGGGAGTCTGGGGATGGGGATCCACATGCTTGCTGTCGAACGGCTTGTTGGCTCGGCCATCTTGGACCGGCGCGTCGGGGAAGCTGGGGAGATTGACGAAAGACGGGCCAGCCTGCTGGCCAGATGCGCGCCCTTGCTACCTTGCGAGATGTAGATACGACCAGATGACATGGAATCAAGCAATCTAACCTACTCAGCGGGACGATCCGACGGAGGCGGTATCGGGCCAACTGCGAGCATGCTGCGACTCATCAGAGGCGAGTTAAACGTCATCCATCCTTGGCTGCAACTATTGTCCATCGCATCCCAACTCGACATCGCCCATTCCCAGCCCCGCTTCATATCGCAGAGGTCCGACTCAGAATATAATATTGTCAAAGGATTCGTTCCACTACACGCCATCTTCCATCGCCTTCTCGGTTTGTCTTGATTTATCAACACTGAGCCTGGTCTCTCGGTCCTGCTCTATTCCGACATCTCCTCCATTTCCCGGGTTGTCGCATGCCATACCTGCATACCCCCATCTGGAGACACGGCACTAATCAGGCGGCTTGTGACGGAAACCAGCCGACGATCGGGTGTGCACCTGACCTCCGGAGACTACAAACGCAGCCGTTCGCCGATAACAAGTGAGGTTTCTGCTGTTTGCTGCTGCTGCTGCTGCTGCTCCTGTCGTCCTGAGTCCGTCTTCAAAGAAATTTGGGTACTGAGCCGAATTGACAATCTCGCCCACCTCTCGACGCTATGACGTCTTCCGCCCCGATCAGTTCCAGTGAAGATGATCTTCCTGTAGATGTTGAGAAACAGCAGTCCAACAGACTTCACCCTGTAGATCACCATGCCGAACAAGAGAACACCGCAGAAAAGGAAAACGAGACAAGGGGTGCGAATGGGAGCCCGCTGGAGGCAGAGGTCTTGAATAAAGATGCGGACGATATGGCGGGGGCCGTCAACCGAGTTTTGAGCAAGATGTCGTCGAATGCGAGCTGGAACCCGGGCCCGCCGCCGGACGGGGGTCGGGAAGCTTGGTTGACGTGTGAGCTTCTCCCTATCTTTTGGGCATACCAGATACTCCGTTCGCTAGACTAACATGGAAATAGGTCTCTGTGCCCATCTTCTCATCATGAACACATGGGGCTTCATCAACTCTTTCGGAGTCTTCCAGTGCGTAGATCGCAAAGTCGAGTTGCCCCAGATATTCAATTACTAACATGTGGACGCATAGATCATACTACACCACGCTGCTGAACCGCCCACCCTCGGACATCTCATGGATCGGCTCCATCCAGGTGTTCCTCACCTTCTTCATCGGCACCTTCACGGGTCGCCTGGTCGACGCGGGTTTCCTGCGCCCAGTCCTCGCCGCTGGTACCGCCTTCATGATCTTGGGCATCTTTACGACCTCGCTGGCGACGCAGTACTGGCAGCTCTTGCTGTCGCAGGGCCTGTGCATGGGGCTAGGCAGTGGCTGCCTTTTCTGCCCAGCCATTTCCACCGTTTCGACCTATTTCAGCAAGAAGCGTTCTCTCGCCATCGGAATCACGGCTTGCGGCTCTGTCACGGGTGGCCTGGTCTTCCCTGCCATGGCGCGAGAGCTCCTACCCACAGCGGGCTTCGGCTGGGCAGTCCGATCTATGGGTTTCGTGCTACTCGTCACGCTCATTTTCGCCAACATCTTCATGAGGTCACGCCTGCCACCGCGACGTGCGGGGAGCCTGGTGGAGTGGGCTGCATTCCGCGAGCTCGAATACACTTTCTACACCATCGGCATGTTTTTCAACTTCTGGGGCGTGTACTTCGCCTTCTACTACCTCGCGGCCTTCAGCCGGTCGGCCATCACGCCAGGGCTCTCATACGTCGACAGCCTCAACATGCTGCTGCTGCTCAACGGCATCGGCGTCCTCGGCCGACTGCTGCCGAACCACCTCGCTGACCGCTTCGGCCCGCTCAACATGATGATCCCGACGTGTCTGGTGTGCGGCATCGCGTTGCTGAGCTGGATGGCTGTCGACACGCCCAACCAGCTGTACGCGTGGGCAGTCTTCTACGGCATCGCCGCCGGCGCGCTGCAAAGCCTGTTCCCGGCCGGCCTGAGCAGCCTCACGACGGACCTAAGAAAGCAGGGCACGCGCATGGGCATGGTGTTCACCGTCGTCAGTTTCGCCGTGCTGACGGGGAACCCGATCGCGGGTGCCATCATCGACGCCATGGACGGCAGTTATGTCGGCGCGCAGGCGTTCACGGGCTGTGCGCTGCTGGTGGGCATGGGATTCATACTGGCGGCGCGGTCGGTGCGGATGCGGAAGTCTGGGACGGGATGGGCCGTCAAGATCTAGAAGAGGATCATCCCAGGGCTGCGTGATTAATGCTATGTTCGAGTTGATGGAATAAACAGGCTGGAATAAGCAGCTGTGACTCAAAAATTCGGCAAGTCTGAAGATGCTTATTCTGTTTAGAATTGATATACCCCTTGCTTGTGCCACTGCTCGATCCTGCCAATGGCCAGCCCTGGTCTCAGCTCGACCCTTGCTGCACGCCCTTGAGGCGTCACCCGGCTACAGGTAAGGTGCAGATCCCACGCGCCACCGATGTGACCCTGTTCAGGAACTGTTGGTTGGACCGCGTCAGGGGACTCATTTCGTTCTGGACCAACATGTAACTTATAAAAGCAAAATGCGCCCCTCGTTGGCGTCGAGCTGTCAGATCCTGCTGCCTTCCCTGTGTATCTGTCCTCTCTTTTTAATATTGTCTTGACTTCTCGCACCACACTTAAGACCACCAGAATACCAGCACACGCCCGGTCCCAATCGGTTGAGTTCACTGAAGTTCACGTTCTCTCTGTTGTTCACTATCACCATCCGCCCCGCCGACAACCCCGTCACCCGAGCAAGCCCCTCAGCTGCAGCACTGGCTCTGGTCTTGAAGTAAGCCCAGTCGAGTCTATTCACGAGCTGGCCACAGGATTATTTTACCGCCCAGGTGCCTTCTGGCCGAACGGTCTGCCGACGACAGACCAGATCCAGGATACGCTCTCACTTGTACACCCCGCCTCCCCCACTGCCACCCCTGCTCGACGACCTGTCCACATTCCTCCCCAACCAGGGCCAGAAACCCAACGGGGACGGCGCGGTACCCCTGGCCAGCATGGACGCGGAAACCAGCCATCTGCTGCCGCAGAAGCAACACCAGCACCAGCACCAGCACCGCGTCCACATACAGGGCAAGCTAGCCCTCGTGCGCAGCGTCTCTATCGCCAACCTGCAGGCGACCAACCCCCCGCCAACGTCTCAGGCTGGTAGTGGACGGTTTGATGGTGCAGGAGTAAGCAACAGCTTACAGTCACGGCAACGGCGGCGAAGCACAGATGGTACCAGCGAGCCCGCCAACGACCCGCGGGATACGCAACACCGCAGCTACGGGATCGGCGGCGCGGGGAACATCAGACGGCCCATTGATATCATGGGGGTGTCTTCGCGGCCGTCGCTGTCGCTGTCGTCGCTGTTCTCGAGCTCGAATGCGGTATCTACGGGTAGTGGTGACTCGTCTCCGGGCTTGAAGACGGATTGGAGGAGGTGGGATCTTGCGGGGTTTCTGCGGCGTAAGGGGAAGGCTGCGAAAGCGAGTTGATATGGCGCATGAGCGAGGTGGTGAAGGCTCGTGGGATCGACGGGAGTTGGGGGCTTTGGTTGGGCGGCAGGATGTTAGGTTGGGCGTTTGGGTCTGCGGTGACGTAGGTATAGAGCCTTGATCAGGCCCCAGAGTGGTGATGTTGGAGTGAGGGAATAGACATATGGCTGGTCAAAAGGACAGAAGTCCCTGAAAGTGAGCTCGTTTGATGTGAGCTTAGATGTAGGTGGCAAGAACGGGGAGGACGATGGGGTGGAATTCGAGTACATTATTACAATGTCTGCCAGCGTTGCTTACGCGCACTGTTGAATTTTTCCGCGGATTCTGGTTAATGATGGTTTCTATTTGTCTTGGGCCACGTACCGAGCCGATCGAGTGCCCATTCTGCATAGTGCATGAGCATTCTCTCTAGAAAATCCCCCTTCTCTGTCCACCTGTCGGAAATCTGTTTCCATCTGTGCACAAGCTCGGACATAGCATCCCAGATTTCTATTGCACAGAAAGCAGTTGTGCAATAGTAATAGACCTCCATCAATTTGTCGCGCCCTCCTAGCTTTCGGGATGAGACAGAGGATTCAAGAAGTCTGATGAGGCTGTTACCGTAATAAAATATTACGTCCGATATCACCCGACGATGCACTTCTGGGATCCTATCGGACATTTCGCTCGGAATCAGCATGTGCCTCACATACACCAGTGTGTATGTCATCATAGCGAGCGAGCCGCAGCCGAAGGTGGTGTTGGAGTTTATTAGGTCCAACATCCCGGCCACATAATCCCTCTTACGTTTCCATTTTCCACGGCTTGGGGGCTTCCTCGGGTCCGCCTTCAAAGGAGTTGAAAGTATTCCGGCATTGGCGACTATGGCTGACCCAAAATGTTGCATCGAAATGCTTGTAGCAGAAGGCCAAGCATCGGGATCGCAGTAAGCTAACATGTTAGCGATGTCGCGCTCACGGCCAAGACGGATGTCGCCTTTCAGTCATGGTTAGCGTCAGGTCGGACACGGTGGAGAATATTCAAATATACCAGGATAGTCGAAGATGTTCGCGTCCAGGAAAGTTCCCCTGATGCATTCGAGCTCCCACACCCTCAGGTTGTCGCTCCTCTTGCGCCATGGGTTGGTGCATGCTTGGCAATGATTCCCATCGTCTGCGTCGGGAGGGAGTAAGCACTTGTGAGGCGGTCAGTATCCATGACGAAAGTCACAGTGACAGGCAGCGTGTGGTACCTGTTTCTTTTTAATCTTGCATCGGAGGCAAGCCCCCATATTGCGGGTCTTCTTGACACGTTCTAGTTCTGCTGCTGCCGGTGGATCCTTGCGCTTCCGTTGATTTGTAGTGCCCTGCTTGTGCGGGTCGTACTGGTCGATTTCCAACGACGACGTCGCAGCGGGCGCGAGGTTGGGGCTGTGTGACCACTTGTTCGGGAGTCGTCGGGGCGCAGCATGGGAGAGAGGCGGTTGCATAGCGGCCGACATCGATGGAGCATGAGACTGGTGTTATTTATGCATGGTCAGCCTCGACGCCGCAGACATGGTTCATGACACTCTGCCGGGCGTCGCAGGACTCACCATCGGAGGATTGGGACCGACCAGCGGACGCACAAAGCGAAATTGCGTGGGTCTGCTGAGTGCTGCGTTCTGCATGGGAGGGACTTGGTTGTTGGCCGACATTGTGCTGGTATTGTCGCGGGCGAGTTGATGAGTTTGGAGGGCGATGTTGTTGAGAGATGATACTGATGGACCTAGGTACGAAATATGGGCTTGGAGTTGATGGGGTTGTTCAAGTCGAATCGAGGTGAAGGATGCGAGGGGGCTTCCCCTCCTATGTATATATAAGTATGAGGTGAATAGAGTTGAATTAAACTTTCAACTTGCCCGCGGCCGTCGGTGCTCACGTGCCTCCGGAAACTGCACATGTTTCCGTTTGAGGCTGTCAAAACTAGGAGCCAACGATAACGTTGTATCGCCTTAATTTTCTGTACCCGGAGACTTCACATCACGGGAACTGGTCTATGGGAACGTTCTACTCATCCGATCTGGCATGCCCGACACAGAGAACTGATGCGCGTATGGAATCTCGTGACTGAAGCAACATAGCCAATACGAGCAGCATGAGGTAGCAATACCCGAAGTTCGACTCCTGTCACGGGTGAATTGCGTGGTGGCGCGCCACACGACCCCAAAAGGGGAAGACCGCCTCCGTAGTGTAGTATATGACGCTGTTCACTGTGCGGCATCACGGTTCAAAGTTGCTTAGTCATATCGCTGGCAGGAACAATTGCCGAGGTTACTTAGATTATCACGTACTTCATTCCATCCAGCTCACCGGACTCAAGGGTGCAATGGCTGGTGTAATGTGATTGGGAATGACTTCTACTATCCGATTATCCCATTTGAAGCACATGGCCCAAGCGGCATCGTAATCAGGAGAAAGACAGAGATAGTACTTATGTACAAGATAGAGGCTATTGGCACAGGCCTACTCCAAGACGGGGACAGGATCCCGTTCCAGTGTGTAGGGTGATGCACGCCGCCAACATCATGATGGTCCGAGACCCTGCCCAACCATTGAGTCCAGAAGCGCTCAAACTGCTCCCTTTCCCTTCCCGGCGTCGATGAGGCATAGTTACCCGCGTCTTCGCCGGGTGACTCGCCTAGCAGGCCAGCTCGGTCCGCCACCTTCATGTAGTCCACCACAGCAGCAACATGAAACCGATTGATAGGCGCCCCGTTCTCATACATCACCAGGACGCTGCCGACCCCAATTAGCTCCATACCTTCTGCCAAGAATAACCGGTTCAGGCGTCGTAACGACCATTCCTGGAAGATATTGCCCTGCTCGTTCTTCAACCCTGACATGTCCAGGTTGAAAAAGTCGAGATTGGTGAGACATTGCTGACACACCCAGTGGAGACCCAGATGCTGGATAGACGTCACTGTCCAGCGAGGGCTATTCATGGAGCTCGAAGGCACCCATGCTTCTTCGTACCTAGGGAACAGCGGACCATTGACGAAAGAATGGAATCGTTCCAAGTCGCCGTCGCAGTTAATCTTCACCGCTTGCCGAGGCAGGCAGTTGCGTGACGACCACGGGAACCTTTCGAGGTTAGAGATACAAGGATTCGGCATCATGTCCAGGAAGAAATCAACAATAGACCGGAAATCTCGCGGTGTGATGTCTTCTGATCGGAGGTCCTGCCGGCTTAGGTCGTCTTCAGACACAACCCGACTGTAACCCTCGAAGAGTATTGGCCCGTATTGGACAAAAGAGAACCATGGTCGTCCCAGCCGCAATACAGACTCATTGACGTTCAGCGACTCAATCGCCAGATGATTCCAACCGAGAGATCGCACACCATGCCCAGCTCGTCGGAATGGTATGCAGCCATTGATATTCCGCGCGACGGGGTGCCAGTCGATGTCCGGCGTGCCGAGATCATGTGCCAAGACGCTCGCGGCATTAAACAGTGTGCCCATTGGACCCTCGTTCCGCACCCAGACCAGCTTGGGATTGATGCCTCGGGCAGGAAACAGGAGGGCTCTGATACAGCCAGTGGGCCGATTGGAGTTGGTGAACTCGGTAGCGAATGAGTCGCAAAGTTTCGCATGTTCGCTTCGGTCCTTCGCCCGGCAAGTGTCGGAGCAGTACGGGGCGTGGCAAGACTGGCACTGGATTCTGCCTCGCTCATCACACATGATGCAAAGTAGGTCGACTGATGGGTCGGATATCTCCTGCTGGGGACGGCACGGAGGAAAGAGACTTCCGTCGTAAAAGTGGTGCATGTAGGCTGGGTATTCTCCGCGGCCGGGCTGAGCACGCTGCCAGGCCATGGTTGATAGGCTGTGGGGGTTGTCCATGCTGTAGGACTGGTATCAGCTCTGGACTCGTGATAACTTGTGGGAATACCACGGAGAAAACATAGTCAACCGAAAACACCCTGCCTCAACTGGAATGTATCAGAATGTTAGTTCATACCTGTATAGCTGGAGAACTTGTATGAGTTGTTAGATTGTAGGCAAAAATCGACAGAGGTTCGAGTTGCTCGTGGTGTCGAAGAGGAAGCTCGTTAGGCGACTTCGAAGTCCGAAGGCTACCCCCTTTTGATCACGGATTTCACCGCCCAGCATGTTTCAGGCCGGTTGAAGTCGCATCCTCATCATTGCAAAGAGACGTAACTCGTACACTAGCTTCACCGTCCGACCCGGGTGCAAAGGGGCAGCGATCTTACTCTCCGAATGTGTGTGTGATGCGGTGCCTCAGGTCATATCCGCGTCATTCACGTGTGCACGGCAAGCATACTCTGTATTCGGATCCACGTCTCGTCGAGGTGGTGAGATTTCAAGGTTTCTCCGTAGCACACCATGCTTCATAAACCGAGCAAGCGAAGAAAGTGGCGTTCGTGATGGAAGTTACCATTTTGTTCTTCGTGGTTGTGAGCAGTACAACAGACTCCGTCATCACCGGCGGGGTCTAGCTCGGTCCGAAAGAAAAAGAAAAAAACCCAAGGCATCCTGGGTAAGGAGTACGTCTTCTGGTGTGAGAGGCAGCATCATCTGGTGCATAGCAGAGGTATGGTCTAGATACAAGGTCCGTTGGTTCTTCGAAGACGACGTCACGGGTGATGGTTCTGTCTGGATCAAAGTTTGAAGAATGCCGCTTTACGGCCTGACTGCCTCTTGCAACCCCCCCTTCATCGAATATGATTTCGGTCGTAAACTACCGGCAACCCCCATATTCTTCACTCGGCCTTGTTTGCTGCATCCGTGGCGTGATAACCGGACATCGCATCTTGCCGGAGGTCTCTATGGTGCAGAATGGAGGGCTAGTCGTACCCATGTGCTCTGAACGAACAGCAAGAGCTTACTTCGCCAACACGCTAGTCAAGACTCACCTCCTCAGCACATGGTCGAGACTTCCGCATCGAATATAACTTTAGTGTAATGTGAAACAAGCGAGAGTGTGGAACCAAGAGACCTGGGTGCTTAATAAGCCGGGAGCCACGCAAGAGGAACACCAGGGTAGATATCGTCCGCAATGTACGTTGTGACATTAGCTAGGTAGCTACTACGTTTCGGAAACTTCTCTACGAAGTCACACTATTCATGACCAGGGAAATTCAGTGCAACTTCATAGTTTCCTGGTTGCCAAGATAAGAGATTGTCCGGCTCTGTCCGAGTCTCCTATGGCCATGTCCGCAAGCTGCTTGGCTCACGGCCTACAGGTTTCGGCCCAGGAAGTAAGTTGGCTGGCAGCGGAAAGCAAAAGAGCGGCAGGCAACTAGATGGCTACCAGATTAGAAGCTAAAGCAGTCAAGGTAAAGTCAGAGCCGCCTCTTCGACAGCACGGCAACATAAGGTAGTGTCAGTTCTTTAGGCCATCGAGCCGCCGTATGGACTTATACCGTATACGACATAGGTGAGGGGGCCCAGGTGTCGATGTGCCTTGTGGTAGCGGTTCCAGAACCAGGACCAAGGTCACGAATGGTGGCTATTGGTCTGGATTCTGGAAGTTGCTTAATTGAAAGAAAGGATGGGTGGTGTCCCCATCCTAGAAGTAGCTATCATCCCAGTTGGGTACGAATCTGGTACAAACGGGTACCAGTTGGGCTCCAAGGTACCTTGTACCCTGGTCCGTGACCCATCCGTCATTGTGGCTGGAAAATGGGTTGAGGAGCCACATCGATACAGCCTCAACCAATCAGAGCCTCTGAAATTGCTCGCCGCGTCCTAAAACGGCAATATTGGGCTTCATGTAGGGCGGTTACCCAATGTGATTGGCCACATTTGGCTTCGGGCTACGGAGGCCTGGCGTAGCCGCAACCCATCGCCGCGTCCGAATCCGGAAGTCGAGATCACAGGCCGGGCACAGAACCCTCTTTAAGCTTTTGTAGGCTCCTGTAGGCCGGGAGAACGTGTGGTACAAAGAGAAAACTGACGCAAAGGTAGTACCTGAGAATGCGCCGCGTTCGGGCTACCAAGCCATGTACATCAATACATCTTTTCTATCTAGAGTACCAGGAATACGTCCTTGCGGGGATTTCCGCTGCTTGAGAGGCGCCATCCGTATTCCCCGAGGCCGTGACTCCCGGCGGACTTTGAAGAGTAGCGTCGCCCACCAGACCATGGCCATGGCGCGACCCCTCACAAGTTAATGAGGAGAGTAGCCAGACATTATTAGCTTCGGACCATTCCCGAGTTGCGTCCTCAACTGCTCAATTAGTTAATGATGTTTCCCCAACGTGAGATTGCCAGGGGGAATTACCAGAGTACGAATGATTGGAGATGATCCAGTCTAGATCATTGCTGCCTCTACAGACCGGTCTGACCCAATGGCTGATCCTGAGCTTGTTTGGATCGGCCTCAACGCCATACTGGCAGTGTTCGCATCGGATAATGCGGAGCCGTCCACTGTTGCCGGGATACTCGAAGACCCAATACTTCCGCCATGCAGCTTCCTGGCTACACCTTCGGGAGCGCCACGGCGTCGACGTCAGGGTAGGGCACCCTGGGCATCGTCAATGGCGCGCCAATTGGGCACCCCGAGCAGTGGTTCATAGGAAAGCCCTGTCACGCCGAGGAGCGCAACGCAGTGAAAGATCCGTTCAATGGTCGAAGCCTTGCGAACCACGTGCGCATGTCGAAGCATCACCGAGCCGACTGGTCGAACGCGGGAATGTTCAGGGAGTTCGTTGCAATGGAGAGTAGGTGCGTTTGAAATGTACCGACCTGACTACTGAACTGACGCATGTCTCCAACATCTAGTCGATATAAAGGCCATGGATAAAGATCAGTCGGCCTTTATTGAACAGCATAACGAAAACACGAGGAGCACTACAAGTATATCCATGCTGATTCGGTCAGAGTCAAGAAGGAGGCCAAAGAGAAGGCTCGTGAAGGAAGAAGAAGGAAAGTCCGAGGCATGAAGAGAGAGCAGCGGAAAGATGTAGGCGAATGCCGAGAAGAAATAGCAAACCAAGATGCGAAGCCACAATAGTTTTCCTAGTATTCGAATCTGCACAATGCAACCACTAACCGACGATGTATTTGCGACGTTTATACCGAAGCAGACATAGAAGACGTGATGTAGAAATTAATCTGGTATTTCCCGTACTTGCTGCAATCATTGAGAACTCTACAAGTAGTTTCAATGGCGAGTTCTGTTGAATAAGCAAACCACTGTGTTGACCTGTTGAAGGCTCCGTGGGAGAGAGTACTCCGCCATGCTGCTCATGATGGCCAGCGGTCCTCCAGGGGCTGTGAGTCGGCACTATGAAGTTAACAGTAATTTCGACAGAACGAAAGAGTGTTCCCGACTTTACTCAGGCATGCCTGGTCGAGGACGAGATGATGGATTGAACGTGGCATGCTAATGAAATCGAGCACCGGCTCCTTGACCGGTCCTGGGAGGTGCACCCAAGTCAGGAGCGAGATCATGCATCGGACTCCGCCCATGGATGGCAACGGAAAACCCTGTTGGGTTTTAACTAGCCCCATGGCTTGCTATGCATAGCAAGGTTGAACAAGGTACAGTAGTCGCCTGAGCAGTGTTACTTTACGCCGGTCTTTATCACGAGTCACATGCCTGAGAGTCCGGAAAGTGACAGTCTTGACCATGACGTCTCCTCGTAACTTTCAAGGGGTCGATTTCGCAACCGGTCGCCCTTTAAGACTCCCAACACATCACTTTGCAAAACCTCTTGATCGCGAAGATTGCTTTGGCTGTTCAATTTCCGTCACGGCACTGGAAGACAGCCCCACAGCTCTGGGTGTCAACACCTATATATACCAGATCCTGTCACCTAGCTAGCTTGATTGTTTCCTTTCTTCACGTACATCAACAGAGTCATCTCAGGACTCAGCAGCAGTCGGACTGTGACAGTTCCGAGAGAACCCCCCGTCCGACCCACTCGCATACACGGGCCCCGAAAGAGCCATTCCACTCCTAGCAAAGATGGTTGATACGGATTTGCCTAGTGACGGCTCTTTGTTTAATCTGCACCGTCGCCACATGGAGGTCATTTCCAAGGATCTCGTGTCCCAGCTGGAGGCGTTTGCCAAGGACGACGAAGACGCCATCAGCCAGGCGGCTCTAGCCCTCAAGCACGAAATGGACCAGATCGAAAGTCGAGTCGAAAACATAAAGTCAGCCAGGAAAGAGCTGTTTGACAGCTGTAGAAAGGTGCACCGCGAGATCGAACGAGTACAGACTGTACGATAAGATACACTGACAAAGATCGACCGCTTCTGCATCAATATACAGATCTCCTACGGTCCCAGCATGATGGAGACTGTCACTGAAGCATGTGAAAAGTTGTCAAGAAACCGTGGGTCCCTGTCCTGGATATACGAGCTCCGAGAAATCCAGCGTTGACGGAGTGTGTGGAAGTTGGGATCGATATCGCTTTTAGCCGTCGAGCCGCCTTTCCCGACATCGAGGAGCACGAGTTCGCACAGCACGGATACAATACCGGAGGCTCATCGAGGGACAGCGCTTCGCCCATGTATGATGAGGAACGAGCTTCCGGGTTCCGTTCTCCAGAAATAGGGGTTCACTCCCACGACGACAGCCCGATCATCAAGCCTAAGTGCATCCCAAAGCCTGGTCAGACGAAGATGAAGATGACGGTGACGGTGACGGTAACGTGACCCCACGGCCATACAAGCAGAGGTCAAACCAATTATACTTCGTGGACTAGTGGGCTTTATTAGTGGGTTCACTAGTACACACACGCACTGAGATTTTACTGAAGCCAATTATATTCTAAGCTTAGTGTATAGATTATTTATAGACTAATAAGCTAGTATATTAAAGGAGGCTTATAATTAGTTGAAGTAGTTAGTATCAAGCGAATATGATTTTTTAAATAAAAACTTAAAACTATACTAGCAGTACTTAAAAGCGTTTAATTTACTTAAAACATTTTAATATCTTTTCTTTTTAATTAAAGCATTTAAATAATTCAAAAACGCGAAAAATATACGAGTATTAACTTTTAATCGATTATTTATCGATTGTTAAACATTTGAAAACGCGTTTGATATGCGTTAAATAACGATATTTTATTGTAACTATATTAATACGCCTTTAAATAAGCTTTTCGATCGTTATTTAATCTTTTTAACCGTAATACGGTATTTAATAAATAAGTTAAAATATTTAAACGTAAATTTAAACCTAACGTAGTTGACAAGCGAGCTGCGAGGTGCGGCTTTCGTACAAAAAAAGTCGGTGCGTAACCGTGCGTCTACCTTTTAAAAAATCGAAAAATCCCGGACCTGCTGAATTTAATGAAGCCTTTTCTATAGATAATAATGATAGATAGTAATTGTTTTTCACTGACTTAATAGCCTGTGCATCCTAGAAAAGCCTTTTTACAAGTGTAGTTTTAGCGTATTTTGAAATAAATCTTGAAATAAAATAGCAATAAACCAAGAAAAAGTGATATTGATGTATTTTTCAAGTTATAAACCTAAAAGAAAAGGTCCGATATCTTTCCGATTTTTTTTCGTCAAGTTAAACATTAGCGCACCGACGTTTTTTAGCCCCACCTCGTAGCTCGCTTGTCAACTACGTTAGGTTTAAATTTACGTTTAAATATTTTAACTTATATATTGAAAAGTTATGAACTTACTTATTGATTATAAAAATGTAAAACTAAACTACATAAAGCTTTTACTGTTAAAAATAAAGTGTTATTAAAGTTTTAAAGGACATATTTAATAAGATATATGTCTTTTTAAATAAATAGCGCTTTAATACTTGCCGTTTGTTATATAATATCATAGTTTTTTTGAAGATGAGAATAATAAGCTTTAAAAGAAAATTTAAAGGTTTTTTTTCGTTATATAAGTTAACATATTCCTGATTAAGTTATAAATGTTGTCAAAATTGTCACGGGGCAGCTTGGAGACCAGGACTAAAGTGCCCATCAATATCTCTAATTGTAAAATACTTTGATAAAGTTATAAAGTAAGCTCGTTTGAGCGGGCTAAAACAGCCGACATTTAAAGGCTGGAACCTGTGTGATGAGTGGGCAGGCATACAAAGGGTAATGATACTATTATATTAACAATAATTCTCAAAGACCTGGGAATGGTGGCTCTCGTGGCTATCTAGGATGAGGAGGCGTTTACCGGCAGTTATACGCTGTCTGTTATACTTGTCAAAATGCTGAATTCATTCCAAACCGATCTCATTTGTAATCCATCCGTTATCAGAAACGGTGTCAGATTTGGGCCAATCGTGAGGTTGAAGTGTGTGTGTGTATTCTGTGTGTCTGGAGTGTCCTTGTGCGACCGTGGCAGTTTTGTGCCAGAGGGGGCTGGATCGGGACGGAACAACTAGGTTCCGGTGTCTACCTATCAAGGTGCCCTCTGTGCTCACCTTTAATCCAACAAACGGCCACCTTCTAATCGCGTGGTAATGTTATATTGCAATACCATGACGCGAGGTGGGTTTTGCCCTGTAAAATGATGAACGGCGGGACCAACCAACCATCAGCATTGATAACAAAGATTGCTGTAGACCATTCTCTGTTGCCTTGCTGAGCTTGTCTAGGCCTGCCACTTCTTTTGGTGCTTATGATGACCATGCCAGACCCAATAATGCCCATCATAAACCCAGTCTCATCAAAGTTGTAAATGTCTGTGTCTTGGATACCATGTTTCGCAATTACCGCTACAACTCGGCAAAACCACGCGCGATACGCGTCTGGATCTTTGTTCAAGACCCTCTGGTAGTCCATCCTCCGATGAAAACGCGTTCGAAGGCCTGGTGTGCGTTTAATAAAGTTGCGCGTCCAGTTCTTTCCAACGCGTCCAGTCCCACGTGCCGCCAACAATTGATTTGCCATATTTTTAGTATAACTGTGCCGGGGTAGAAATGCTCGCGCATCCAGATCAAGAATGAAGGAAAGAATGGCATTCTCTTTGGAAACCGAAAATTTCAAAGTATTGGGTATACTATCGCGTCGTGATGGCATTCCTTTGAATCTATTGCTCAAAGTGAAACGAGAGATGTTAAAGAGTTTTGCAAGCTGAAATATAGAAATATAAGGGTCACGTTGTTTAGCTTGGACAGCTAGCTGTAAGTTTGATTCATTGTAATGTGGTGCCATTATTGTTGGTGGAGATATAATGGTTTGAATCGTGTTGGTTGGAAAGTTCATGACGAGTGCCAACTCGCTTGTAATGTCAACTCGCTTGTCAGCTACGTTATTATTACTATTATATAATTATTATCGTTGAACCTTAATTTGTTACTTATTGTTTAAACTTTAAAAACGCTTACTACTATTAATAAAGCGGTAACTTAGTTAGTTTATATTAAAAACCAATCAAAACTTATTAAGAAAGCTTATTAATCTTGATTATTAAAGTATTAAACTTGTGTTTAAAGGCTTTATATGATTTTATAAACAATATTATTTTAGTTGATTTTTAGGTTTGCGAGTTAAAAAGGGCTAATTACCCACTAAGTAAACGTTAAAGGATAAAAACCAAACGTCTAGCAAAAAGAGGAGTACTTTTCGTTAAAAATGCAGTAGGTTTTTAGGCTACAAAGGATGGTATTAAGCTAACAATATGGAAAATAAGTAAAAGTAGTTGTTGTTTACAAAAGGCGACAGCGCGTAAGTAACAGTGTAATATTTGTAGCAATACTAGTTATAATACGCAAACTCATCTAATAAAGAGAAAACGCTTTAAAAAAAGGAATCTGATTAATCCAATTAAATTAAATGCGTTATAATAAAGTTATTTAATATAGCAGTTTAAAAGTTTATGATAAGTGCTAACTCGCTTATTAGCTATATTAGTTATTTTATTACATTATATATAATAATAAGTATATAATGCCTTTATTTATAACTAGTGTTAACTTATAATATACGTGTGGAAATCCAGGGTCAGAATGGGATGGATAATAGTCTGTGTCTTGTCTATGGATCCATGGGGGAGATTCCCACCTAAATACAGGTGTGACAGCCCTTTGATTTCCTGCTGCCTGACAGCGAACAACAAACCTGTCACTGGTCACCATAATGGACCTCTCACCCCCTTTGGACCCCTTTCATCCCTTTTACCTGGCGGACAGCTGCAGCCTATACCTGACAGCACCACAATGCTCACAATACGTAAGTATAAATAAGCTTAATAAGAGCCAATTTGCTTAAATTTTACGATAAAAATCAATTAAAGAAATAAATAGTAGTATTTAACAGCCTTTTTAATATAGTATTTTACCGCGCACTTATTAATAACGTGCTTTTATATTAACGATATACCTTTTTTGGCTTCTTTATAGTTATGTAATTGCTTTTAAAACTATATATACAATAAAAAGAATAGATTTATAATAACGGCTAGGTATTTTAATAGTTTATAACGTAAAGGCTTTAACCCGACTTTTTTTATATAAATGTATATTAATAAATGTTTATAAAGGAAAAAAACCTGAAAAAAGCTACTTAAAGGACTTAAGTTCGAATCTTAGCTATATTATTATCTGTTTAATATTATATAAGGCTAGCTACGTTTTTTTTTAACGTTTAAAAGGTGAAACCTTATTGTTAGCATTCTTTCCTGATTTCTTTTTCATTATAAAAAGTGATTAAAAGCGGGGGGGGGGGGGGGGGGGGGGGGAGGCTTAATATTAAAAATTCTTATATATTAACTAATTTTCTTATATCTAAAACTTTAATGGTCTACTAGAGTCTATTACACTGAGCCTTTAGTGTATTTGCAGTATATATATGCACTAGGATGTTTAGTGCGTGTAATATAATTAGTTTGACCTCTACATACAAGAGACCCAACGAGACGGTACGAAACTCACAGGAGATATGAGGGGACCTGTAGGCACCCAAATCAAGCGTTCAGATACATACTACGTCTGGGCTTGCCGTTTTGGTTGCTGGGGTGTGCGAGCATGTATTCTTCTGGGCTATCTTGAGTTCCCTCGCCATACGGTCCCTCAGCTTCGGATCTGGTGCTTACCTTGGGTTCCTGTCTAGGACAGATACTGAGCGAACGACTGAACTTTTGCCTCAGGACTTGCGGTGTTTCTTGTCCGTAAAGGCTCTTACATCTGTGCACGTATCTGGGTGTCTGGGATATGGTTGGAACTGGAGAACATTACATGGATTGTAACTTAGATGGTTCTCTACTCTGCTAGTATCATGGATCGTTATGAATCTGATCACATTCATTCACACTGGTCTTGACTGGAGCTTCAATGTAGAGGATCCCGAGACTCCTGAGGTTGCTGAGCACGAGATATTCCAAATCATCACACCGGACACGAGACACCGGATCCAATGACGTTGTGAACGCATGTTGTCGAAATTATGCGATGCCCAGGAGGTCTCCAGCCTCTGCTACTTCCAAGGAAGACTTTATCATCAGCTGGCTGTCATGGGTCGCACATCGGAACACTACCAGGAACCTAAGATGGGCTGACAGGGATCCGACGCTACGAACAAGGTTCGTATGGACGGAAACTATGATCATCGAGCAATGATGCACAAAACACCTGAGAGACTAAATCCTGCCGGTATACAGTCCTCGATGAGTAATGGTGCGGAGACCGCTCGGACCCGCGGACATCGACCATGGTATATTTGGCACCATGGAGTAGCTGGCGCACTCTGCTTTTTCATGTACGGGTACCCGACTCTTTGTTCGAGTGTCACATTACTTGAGGCGCCCGAGTGTCGTCTCCCCACACTATTACCTTGTCATGAGCGCGGAAGCGGAACAGGTGGCTCAGCCAAAGCCCGACCTCGACCACCGAGTCGCCAAAGTGGTGCAAAATTTCGACAAAAGGCTCCGAGTTCATCATGAGGCTCTAGGCTACCGGATCAGATCCCTTCATGCAGACTATGAGCGAGCGGAATAATACCTCAGCAGAGCAGAGGAGTACCGCATCAAGGCCAATGCAACCGTCTTGACTTGTAACTCGCGAGCGGAGGATACTTCAACAAATATTCTGCGGCAACAGGAGGAACTAAAACGCTTTTGGGACGCTCAGATCTCAGTGTGCGGGGTTGAGGAAGGGGCTAGGCAGTTCCTCGATAATCTGGCCTACAAGCTAATTACACGCGCGCGCCTGATTCCATGCTTCCAAGGGGCACAAGCAGAACCTCCAATGATGGACTGGCCGACACTTGCAACACTGATCGGGTCGCTGGCCAAAACTTCCTGGTCAACTGGACACAGCTTTAGACCGAGGAGCACCTTGGTTGCAGCTGAATCGGGTGACGTTGTCAATCACGTCGAAGTCACCAAATGGGCGAACACCACAGGAACTACACCCAGCCCCGATATCGGGAATGGCAGCCGTACGAGCCAGCCATCACTGCGCTAATCGTACCAAAAGGTGTCAGCCCTGGCTGGAAAGCAGTGCTCTGGAAGCCTCTCGCATCAGACGGAGGAGAGCGTGCCAGTGGAGACCTTACCCTCGCAGCGCAGCACGCCCTCTCTAGTGCTCGTTGTCTCGGACATTGTGAGCACAGATCACGAAGACGAGGCGGACACGGGCAACAAGCGAAAATGACCAGAAGACGATCAATGCAGTGAAGAGTTGTCAAGGGTGCGGAGATCCGCAGAAAGATCCCACGTGAGTCTTGGTCCCGTCGAAAGCTCGGAAGCCTTGCTTCACATATACTGATGCTGTTGCAGACCGCTCAGGCAATGTCTCATGCCACGAAAACACTCGAGTTGTCAATGGTTGGAGAGCACGAATTCGTCATGAAGGATGCTCGCGGGGAGGCCGTCGTGGTCAGGTGCTGTGGAGGTACTTGCAACGAGAACATCGACGGCCCAAGGACCTTCTCCAAAGACCCCCTGAAATGCTGGAGGGCAGGGAATCATATCTCTCGGGGTGCTGCCAACACGATCTGGGTTCCTTCTCCAGCGCAAAGGTCATCGAGCATTGTGCCAGACTTAGTGAGTATATAAAAAGCCCCCCCCCCCCCCCCCCCCCCCCCGGCTGCTTCATTATAATATGCACTGACCAATGATACAGTTCCGGAAGCAACTGATAGTTGGGTGGCGGAGCACCAAGCCGCGCTTGCTGAATTTCACGAAGAGAAAGATTTTTAGTTCTGGTGTGGTTAATTCCTATCCATAGATGCTAGGTGCCACTGGATTTTGAAAGGAGGGTTGTGCCCCTTCGAGAGATGGCGGGTTTTGGATAGGGGTGTTCTCGGTGGACTACTGCTAGTACGCAATGGCTCCGCCATGTAATTAACACATCGACTTTGATACATAGATGCTTTTCATATGCTTACATTTGATTCGGACATCTTCGTTGCTCCGAGGCATGACATAGTCGTTTATGAAGTTATGCTGCGAAGTGTATGTTCGTTTGGCACTTCCTTCGAATCAGAACAACATCTATAATCATAACAGTGTCTACGACAGTTGAGGGAAGGAATTCAGTGGCACGGAACCTTGATCCCTCTCCAAGTCGTGCAGTTGTTCTAACCGACGATTCGAATGCATGATCGCTGCACTGACTGGAAACCATTGACGTATGCTGGCGCAAAGGCAGCGGGAGTCCTCCTCGCCCGTGAGGCACATGAAAGACTCACTCGCATAGCCATCGGGAACTTCCTGAAGGTGGTTTCTCGGGTACTGCGAGGCCAGCACCGCTCTAGGCGAGGGTAGCCTATGGCAATTGGGCAAGCAAATATCTTCAGGCATGACTCCCGTCATTCATCGAGGGCGAAAAACGCCTCGCGAGGTAACATGAACGCCTTTTCGCGCTGGGAGCCCAGAGATTGACTATTCCCACGCTTGTCATATCAGAGGTCACACAGCAGCGGAGTGATCAATCAGGACAGGGCCGTCTAGTCATATGACACCTCTGCTCGAGAGACCACCACACATGTCGTCGCGCTTGAGGGGGTTTTGCTTGAACCTGGAAGCAGTCGGGAGTTGCTCGCTCAGGCAATCCCCTTCCCCTTTTGTTCAAGAGAATCAAGCACTTTGGCTCATGAAGCTGCTGTGGTTTTCCCTTTGCTTCCGCTCTAAAGCAGAGCTCGAGCCAGAAAGCCCAAACCTATGTTCATGTTCAAGAGTGTTGTAGTCGACGCGAGTGGAGCGCAGTCGCCACACTCCACTAGACACCCCTGATGATTGTTCGTGGAATTGGAGTGTAGTTTGGCACTGCGACTGGTCCTTCGAGGGCCCTTTTGGCTTCATAGATTGGTTTTCCCAGTTGCTGATTAGCCGTTGCTTCACTTTGACCCGAGCTTCTTCTCCCAGACCCAGACGCCCTGTTGGATTACCTATCAAGCGACGATCAAGACACCACCAGTGCAACAAGAGCTAGCTGCCTGGTACTATATCCTTCACTTCGCCCCGAAGCCGACGCTTATTCACGGCATTTATACATATTCTTTCAATCCATTTGGGCCGATGGGTTCGAGGACTTGACTCTGGCCTAACACGACCGTACCTGCGTCCCATCCCCTGGGGCCTGGTCTTCCGACGTGCTGCAGCAATCCAGCGTGTTGCCATCTGACATGATCTTGTAACTACTGCTGTAGCCTATGCATATCTCTTTTGGGGCATTACCGCAGCGGTTATAACATTGTAAGGGGAGGTCTGCAGTCACCGGAGGCTCGCCGCAGCTGTGTGGCTAGGGGTTTCGTGGTCGTTGATTTGCCAGGTGTTGTGACAGTTCGTGAGATAGTGGATGCCATCACGGTTCGTCGTTTCGAGAATTCTGTGGTCGCCCGTCGGCCATGCTGAAGCCGTTGATGAAACCCTCGCGTGGCTGCTGGCTTCCGTGACGACTCCCTCGTCGATCCTCTTGCGTGTGATTCCTGTCTTGGGGTTTGAAATCGGTTTATATCGTGAATGGGTTTCTCGTGATGCTGCCCGCAGCAGCTGGCCTTCTCGCAGGGCTGGTAGAGCTCGCTTAGCGAAGCTGCCTCTGCCAAATGTTCTGGTATACTGGTAGAAGGCTGGGCAACTGGTCGTGAGCTTGGAATAATGGCACGCTCGAGGTCCGCGGCTGTTTTCGGCCTGGTCTTCTCATGATGAAACTCGTGCCGAGGCTGGATAATGGTTTCTTGACGAGTCGGAACTCATGAAACAAGTGGCGGTAGGTATCCCCGCTGGTAGCTCGCGATGGCTCTCGCGGAGCAGGATCTTTGATTGTGGTCTCATGACGGTATCTCCAGTGGCGGCCGAACCCATTGGGGGTATCGCGTGCCTTTCGACAGCAGAGAGCAGAGGTATAACAATTCAGTTGTTGACGAGCTGGTGGTGTGCGAGGCAGCGACTTCTCGTATGGCAACGAATGGTGTCGATGAGTCGTCTTGACGTGACGAGTCTTGTGACGACAGTGACAGCGTTGAGCAGCTGGAGGCAACCTGTGCATGCTTTGGGGACTGCCTGGGCATTTCCTGAAAGAAGCCCAACTGGCTGTTGATGAACCATGCAACAAGTTTGGCAGGCAGACAGCGCTGAGTGGTGATCCTGGTCGCTTCTGCATCGTTTACAGCAAGTGGAAACTCTGGTCGTGATTGTACACCCTTACTAGAGATAACATTATTGAAAAAGCTTAATACTTGCCTCCCCTTTCAATCACTACTGCCTGTTTCTGGCAATAATGACAGATCAAGCAGACATATGGCACTCTGATCACGTACCGGGATATGAAAAAGCTCTCTCTCAGCAGGCGTGCAGTTATACGAGCAATGACCGGCTTGCGTTCAGTTCAAATGGAAGCCCCTCTCAGGCGGAAGGGGTAATGCGAGAACGCTGCTAGACGCCGGGGTACTTGACCTTCAAGGCAGGAGTGTAAAGAGAGGCGAGGCAGAAAAACTAACCTTGTCACCACCTACGATGCACCATCTGGTCCAGAGCTTTACAATATATTCAATCAACTTGCGCGGCTATCCTGACACAGTCATGTATACTCTTCTACCGTCTGTCTACTCAGCACACATGGTCACCCCGTGCAGAGGTAGATGGGTGCGCATTTTGGAAAGGGGCCAAATAGGGGCTACTAGCCGCGCTGATTGCCCGGGGGACTCCGATGGCCCATCTCACCGTAACAGGTAGCCGCAGTGATTGTCGATTCTATCTCGTTTCGCTTGTACATTTGCAACCCCATGCGAGTGGAATGAACATAAGTCTGACGGTCATTCGACACCATTGGGCCGAACTCAGCGATCCTTACCAGGTGCTTATACGGTTTAATCTTGGATCGGCTGTTGATTGTGGTGTTCAGCCAAGTTATGAGCCCGAGTAGCTTGGCTGTCTAATTCATCTACTGTGAATCGTTCTTTGATGCTTTCGGCAATGGAACTCTCCATCTGACAGACAACCGAGTACTGGCATCGGAATCTCCGTAAGGGGGTCTCATCATCTCTGGCACCCCGTTCCAAGGGACGGCATATTCTGATAGACAGTACCTCTGTCCTGCAACAAAAGCGCGTGGTCGCACTTCTAGCTTCCGAACCTTGCGCTCCTTACTCATGGAGTCGATCAGAGGCCTCTCTTTACCAAACAAGGCGTCATTCATCCTCGCTTCCCCGTCACATCAGGCTTCAAATCACAGTCCCGAACTGTTACCACCTTGGTTCCTGCTGGATTCGAGATAACAGCAATGGTGAAACAATGTCAGTCCGCTTCCTTACAATGATTGCCGACGCGGCTCCCTATGGCAACGCTGAATAGGCCGATTCAATGCCCAGATGGCTCTGACTGGCTCCGAATCATCCAAATTTGCAATAAAATTGGGATCTAACTAGTGATAGCATAGCTTGAATAGAGAAGCGGTGTATCCAGCTCCGTGGCAGAATCCCTCCGTGGTGGCCAACTGCTCCAGATGACACCAACACTCCAACAGGCTCCAATAGCCTTACGAGGCTCCAATGGCTCCGAATGCCGCGAAGGCCATGATGGGTGAGGGACTCTCTGACTCTCTGGAACGCCGTATTACCTGTAGTTCGCATGCATTCGTCGTCGAAGGGCTTCCGTGGCTGCGTGCCTCTTTTGTCGAGCCGTGCAGTGCCTCCGTAGAGGACTTCTACGCCTCTGAATCTTCGTATTCAGGACTCCATCTCTCAGTACTGGGGACCTCGGAGCTGGTGCCGTATGTGAAGCCGTAGCTGTCAATCCATCGCCATCCCCTAGCTATCGCTGAAGCGCCCTTATCCTTAAATGTGTGTGCATACCTCCGTGGAGGTCTTCTATCGGTGTGCCGCCGGTGAACTCGCGGACTTCTATCTGCTTGCCTCCATCTTTGGAGGACTTCTCTCGGTGCCTCCGAATGAGGGCTTCTCGTGGGACTCCGTACATAGCAAAATGCTGTCAAAAGCTCGTGATGTGTTGACTGGCATACGAAAGGGGTGCCGTTGAGACTCTGCTGCTCCTTTTGCTGCTGAAGAGGTCGCTTCGTACTGCGTGGCTCGCCATTCGCCACTTCTCCTGCTGTTCTGGATGACTCCGTTGCCATCGAGCTGCTGCTCGGTGCCTCTGCCATCGTTGCAAGAGGAATTCTGGTCGCTCGTGAGGATTTCTCCCAGCTACTCGCTTCGTGTGACCTCTCCTTTAGTGGATAACGTCGCCTGCCATCGTCATGGCTACTCCCATCGTGGATGAAGGGCCTTCTTCCCGATGTTTGTGTTCCTCCGTATCGTCGTCGAAACGGCGGCGTACCTATCATCGGCGGTACGCTCCTTCTGCCGTGGTGCGTTCGGCGGCCAATCTGGCGATCAACCTTCTGCAGTGGTGATCCCATGCCTCGTGCCTCTCAGTCGATAATCACAGAGGTTCTGCGCTGTGCTTCTGAGATGGCGTCGGCGGCTAGAAGACTTCGGTTCGGTCCCATCATCGTTGATGCCCCCGAGTGACGCTTCCGTTTGAGGATAACGTCGTGCGTGCCCTTGTCAAAGGCTCCCAATATTTGCGCTCCTCCGTATCCTCGTTGATACCCGTCAGTACGCCCTTTCTTCCGCGGTTCACCGGCCGCCAACTGGCCATCATCTGCTGCAGTGATGGCGCTAATCCCTCCATCATTACATGACCGCGTATGCTCGCGCTTCGTGTGCCTCGCTTGAGAGGGCCAGGGCTTTGGTTTCGGGGTTTGCTTCTCTCGCAAGGAAGATTTAGGGATGATCGCACGTTGAAGTGACTGGTCGTTCGTGGAAATCCTCGTGAAATACACTCCCTTCTCGTTCCTCGCCCTCGTTCGCGAATGACCAGGCTGCTGAGGAGGGCTCTCTCTTTATCTCTCTCTCCGGGAGAGGGGAAGATGACTGCAACGCGCTGCGGATGACAGCTGCGAATGCCGTGGGCTTCAGGGTACTGTCACGCAATCTGACTGCTGCGAACGCTCTGTGACTTCGGGTATGAGGCGTTCGTGATGACGACCTCTGACGCACTCTCGGGACCATCTTCTCGGGTGCCACGCGCCGCAGATGACTGTTGCGAGCGCCGTGGTCTTCGGGGGACGGGGTGTTGGTGTCGACTCGGTGAGTACTCGCTACACTGCACCCCCAAAAGTCTCCGTACATCCCTCGTCCCGCAAGGAAAAGGTGTATTGATAATAATCAGAATAGGCACTCTGGAAGAAGCATCGTATATGTCTGGTTGGATCAAACCTGCTTATCTAGGGTTCTTATTCCACTTATATGAATATAGCGTTCATGTCGAAAGGTCAACAGAGGCGTGTCGAACGGAGACTTATGGAGAGTGACTGTAACGCGACCTCTGACGCGCTCTATTGGAGGCGCTCGCCGTGCCACGCGCCGCAGATGACTGCTGCGAACACCGTGGGCTTGACGGGACTGCCGGGCGCTCTAGATAATCGAGACGAGCGCGCGGGCTTTGGGATGAGGTAAGATTGATTGATTGATTGTATTTATCGTGGGTGCAGTCCCTCCATAGGGCAAACCACGCCTCCCAGGGCCATTGTATCGCAAGGTTATAGAGGTGTCAGTCTAGATACATTCAGATCCGCGCACGAGCATATCCTCGCTATAGCGGTACCAACCTGGAGTGACCAGATGGTTTTAGTCAATACCTAAGCACGATTCCGTCAGAAAAACCTCCTGTCCAGTGACAAAGCGACCCAGTGAACCTCAGTCCTCTGGTATACACATCGTTCCAATAGCCGTTCGATATATGTCGCATTGGTGGGTGAAGTAGGTATTTGTTATCTGCTGGCGAGGGAAACCATAAGGGGGAAAACCTCGCAGGAGTGGGTGTTGTGGAGACAAGCTGTTTGGCTATCGGGCTCTGCGATAAGGGGCCTCTCTACTGTCATGTGCTGGTTGTCGACTCGCACAAGCCGGGTCAGAAGGGGGCCATAGCAGGATTCGAACCCACTTGTTCTCGTCGCCCACCGCACAAACGAGAACACAACCAGGCGCATTTGACCATTGCGCCATACGGCCTGGGATGAGGTAAGGGGAGCACTCATCTGCTTCTGCGCACTCTGGAGCCGCTTCTCCGCTGGCGACGCCCTCAGGCTCGCCGCGTTGCTGCCACACGCGCCTTGATCTGCGCGGTGGACTTGGAAGTTGAGGCAATGGTGAAGGGACACTCACTCGCTCTGATGGCGCCTTGGATGACGCGCTTTGAAGCCGCTTCTCTAGCTAGCGCACTCACAAAGCCGAAGGCGACGTAATGCTCGTCGACGCTCTCGTAAGCGCTCCCAGCTTCAGGCACGCGCCGTGATGGCGAAGGCCGTTACACTCAATCCCTATGAGTCTTCGTACGCGCCATGTTGAAAGGATTTCAGATGACACATCAAATTGTGGAAATTTTAGAATAAACAGACGGGAATAAGCAGCTCGTAGTTGTAAAGTTATATTCTATGCCTATTCCAGCGTACTCATCCCATTTATAAGAAACGCACCTTGCGCTTGGTGATAAAGGGTGTACGAAGACTTATGAAGGTTCAGTGTAGCTGGACTATATTTGGAGCTCACCCGAGATGACTGTTGCGAACGCCATGGTCTTCGGGGGACGAGGTGTTGGCGTTGACTCGGTGAGTACTCGCCAACGCGACCTTTGACACACTCTACTGGAGCGGTCTTTTCTCTGCCGGTAGCGACGCCCTCAGGCTCGCCGTGATCGTGTCTGTGTCCATTGAGGCTTGCTGGAGCCCTCTGAATGACGCGATTGTTAACGCCATTTGCTGAGTCGGTTTTCGCTCTTTTTTTCTCTTTCACGAAGCCGAAGGCAAAATGATGACGACGATTTTTCTCGTCGTGCTGACGCCTTCTTACTGGCGTCTGGGTGCTGGAGAGGGATCTCTGATGATGCTGGCGCCTGGATGCTGGTGTGGCTCTTTTTCCAGCTGGATCTCGTTCGTTTGGTCCTGTTCGGCCTCAGCACTGGCGGTGCCCTTAAGCGACGCCCTCTGGCTGAGCCAACTGAGCTGTGCAGACGACTATGCCCTCGTCACTAACTAAACTGAAGAGATGCTACTATGATTGCGAAATCGGCATCGTAGCGACAGCGGTATGGGCGAGATATCGTTGTTGTCTTGCGGTTGGTCTATCTAATGTTCGTTGGCAGCGAAAACGCTCTGGGATGGGGCACATGGCCCCAACACCCCTGCTGCTCAACACATACTGGCTACATACAAATATCGATAGCATTGAGGAGATCTTGAATATCACTTGTGGAATAAGCAGCAGTCTTGCGGTTATTCAACACCCTTGGGCCGGACTCGGCGCTTATTACCAGTGTTACGGTATTACATAATACCTCCACATATTTATGTACATATATATCCCTAGCTTCCCCTTTCTCTTCCGACATTGCCTCTTCTTCCTTAGATATTGTTGAATCTAGATATTTCAACCCATCAGCCCTGACCAGCGCAGCTGCAGGCCTGATTGTCACATCCAGGTGCTCATACCATTTCTTGATTTTCATCCACAAGCATCAAGATCATCATATTCACAAAGACACACGTGATGGGAGCAGATGGATAGCGTAAGGCGAAAGGGATGATGGTCTATTCATGGTCTACTGTCCAGCTGGGTGGACTATTTGTATGTGAAATGGCGGTCACCTGCCCGGAAACTGGGCCTGGCCATGAATAGCGGCCCATCTGGAACATAATCGTCTCACTGCTCTGTACGCGCATGTTAGCAAGACTCTAGATTAGCAGTGGGATAGTTAGAAATACTGGAATAAGCATACACGAATAAGCAGCTCTGGTTTAATACGGCACTCCCAATGCTCATTCCATGGTGCTTATTCCGATTCGATGAATTTTCCGTTATCTGCTGGACGTGTGGCGTACGGAGACTTATGGGGGTCCAGTGTCGCTGGGCTGTATTCGGGGCTTCCTCTGGTTAGAACAGAGATGCTACCATGTTGGGAATCCGGGTACGTGCGACATAGGGGTAAATTCCCTTCTTGCTTGCTTGTTCTATCTATAGGTCAAGGGGCCTGATTTGGTTCTAAATACGCAGTCAAACTATCAAGACAGGCCCACCCTATCCCCAGAGCATCCTAGCAAGGGCTTTATTATTCACTTCTTCCTCTTTAACCTAACGTGTGAGAATTGCAGTGCTTATTAGGCGTGGGCTGCAACTGGCAGCAGGTTAAAGGGGTGAAAGGGACTAAAAGGGGTGAAAGGAGTCCATTATAATAACCAGTCAGGTGTTCTCTAGCAGGTCCGCTGTTTAGTGTTAGGCAACAGGGGATTAACAAGATCTTATAGCTATATTTAGGTGAGAGTCTCTTACACCGATCTTAACCACTTAACCCCTGGTTTTCTACATAATGTAACTATTATGTTAAACGAGACAAAAGTGGATTGGGTAGCCCTAGACTACTACCATATTTAACATATTATGACCATCAAAGCCACCAATACTCAAAAATATCAACAGGTAGGATAAGCAAAAATCAAGCGTTTCTTCAACCGCCTTACCGAAGAACTCAGCGCTTATTCCAGGCGCTTATACGATCTTTTCATTTTCATCCACAAAGGGCATGATATTCCGAAGACACATGTGATAGGAGCATAGTTATCTCATTGCTCACTGCCAAAAGTAGCATCATTTATCTACTTGCTCAGTGCTAAGGGTTGCATAATCATGCTCATTCCATTGTGTTCCATCGTCCTGCCAAATCAATGCTTCTTTCGCCCTGGTTATACCTCCGTATCTTCTGCCTCGACTGCTCATTCCACCCTGCTTATCCGACTAAAAGATATCCTCGTCGATCTCATCGAAGTTCGTGGGCAGGTTCCAGCAGAAGCGGGTGCTGGGGTTTTTGCGTATTAATACCATGCGGAACCCATCAACACGAACGGCAATGGGCACGCATAGTACCAATGGGAGCGGGCGGTCGTGTTGTGGGTTGACCGGGACCTCTGGCTGCCGGGTCAGACCCGAGGGCACGGCACTCAGATTGCGCGGAAGCGTCTCCGGCATGGCCCGCATCCTATAGAACGTGGTCAGCGTACAGTAGAAAAAGCATGTGGCATGATACATACAGTTGGGCCTTGATTGCGGCATACTCCTCGGCAGTGTCGCAATGCTCTTTTACGATGTCCATGTACATCGTGATGATCCTGCCCCGGTGGTCGACGAGGTCGTTGTGTAGGTGGTTCTGTTGCGTTCGGTGCAAAAACTAGTTGGCCGGCAGCCAAGCAGGCCAGCCCACGGGTTTCGTGAACTTCCATTGATATGCGTGGGCATTGACGATCCTCTTGTGGTCCTTGTGCCACTGGTGTGTGAGGAAATCAGCGACCATCTTCGTTTCCCAGCCGAGGAGGTGGGCCTTGGCATCGCGACGGTGCTCTGATTTGGGTAGACCACAGGTATAGCAAGCCGCGCGGATGTGGTAGTCGTCAGTGCTCAGGCGAGACGGACGAGACCTTTCACTCGCAGCCATGATCGTTGTAGTGTCGTACGAGTCGGGGCGGAATCGAGTTCTGTGATGAGGTCTGTGAAGTAGGTTGGGTGGCTCTGGGGATGCAGGAGGGAACCAGTGATGGGGTACTGCTTCTGGTATCGGTTGTCGAGCAGTGAGTAGAGTGCGTTGGCTTGGCTCAATTGGGCGTGGTGGGAAAGGGTGGATGGGTGGTCGAAATGCTTGTGCAGGGCTGCAGAGAATTGGACTTGGGGTCTGATGGTGTCTGTGGGCCAATTGGTGAGGGCACGCAGGACTTGGCGATGATGCATGGTGGTGTGCATGGGAAGAAAGGAAGAGGACTAGGAACAGGTTTGGGCGGAGAGGGCCGCGTTCAAATATGTGAATCTGTGGCTGTGCTCTGACTCACCTGTGGCTGGAGTGTCCCTGAGCCAAGGCTTGGCGTGCTGTAGCAATGGCCCAGCCTGATTGGCGTCTTGGCAAGCGCCACACCGACCAGCTGGCAGGTCATTTGACAGGCGCAACCACCACTATCATCCGTCACCCGTCAGCTGCTCTACTTCCGCCCTTGTCTCGGCAGCAACACACGCAGCAGCAGCAACTTGACACTTCCATTGCAGTAGTAGCAACTTGACACTTGCAACTTGTAGCAGCAGAAACTTGGATACTCGTGGCAACAGCAACTTGACACTTGCAGCTGCAGCAACTTGACACTCGCAACAGCAGCACCAGCAACAGCATCACTTGCATCTGCAGCAACTTGACACTCGCAACAGCAGCAGCAGCAACACTCGCAGCAACAGCATCTCGAGCAGCAGTAGCATCTTTCACTTCCCCCCCCCTACCTCTCGCAGCAGCAACACTCGCAGCAGCAGCAACACTCGCGGCAACAACATCTCTTACTTCTGCCCCTGCCTCTCGCGGCCGCAACATTTGCAGAGGCAGTATCACTCGTGGCAGCAGCATCTCTTGCGGCAGCAGCATTCCTCGCGGTGGTAGTATCTCTCGCGGGAATAGCATCTCTCACGAGAGCAGCAACTCTCGTAGCAGTCACACGTCTCGCGAGAGCAACATCTCTTGCGGCAGCAGCATCTCTTGTGGCAGCAGCATCTCTCGTGGCAGCAGCATCTCTCGCAGCGACAGCATTCCTCGGGGCAGTAACATCTTGTGGTAACAATAACATCTTGTGGTAGCAGTAACATGTTGTGGTGGCAGCTCTCTCTTGCTCTTGGAAGCACGGCGCGCTCCCAATACAGTACGCAATGTATGCAGTAATATCTTAAACAACGAGGAAAGATTTCTTACCTCCGAAAAAAGCAGAGCACTACAAAGCGTTATTCAATAAAAAAAACAAGCGTCGGACTTTAAATTTAAATCAAACTAAACTTTAATTATTATATATAAGATGTATTATAATATGTAATTAGCGAATATAAGCTGTTATGAATTGTTTTTAATTAATATTTTGTCAGATGTTGGATCCCAGATACGGTGCCCTTAGGTGCAGTACCCACTAAGGGGCTGTCAAGGGAACAGTGGATCCACCCTGGTATGGTGCAGTATGGTATTTAGCTGTAGATTAGCCCTGCCGAGCATACTTGAGAATGACAACAACATTTGCAGCGACCGCTCACACCCCTAAGGCTTGTGACCCTTCTAGAATCTCACATATTTATTAAAAATTTAATATTGTGGAAATCCAGGGGTCAGAATGGGATAGATAATGGTCTGTGTCTTGACTATAGATCCATGGGGGAGATTCCCATATAAATACAGATGTGACAGCCCTTTGATGCCCTGCTGCCTGACAGCGAACAACAAACCTGCCATTGGTCACCATAATGGACCTTTCACCCCCTTTGGGCCTCTTTCATCCCTTTCACCTGGCGGACAGCTGCAGCCCATACCTGACAACACCACAATGCTCACAAATATATTAAAAACTTTAATAATATATCTGGTACCTAGACTGCTAGGCGGCGTTTTATAGTCCTAATTATTTCATTAGTTAAATTCAAAATAAACGGTGGTCTTAAAAGAACCCCCTCTTAATACTTCACGATACTTACTCTAAGGCCGCCTAGTGGTCTGTGCTTTTCCGAGGTAAAAGATTCCAGCATGCTGCCCTGCGCCACCATGGTGTGGCTCTTCAACCCCATTTCCAGCCACAATGACGGATGGGTAATGGACCAGGGTACAAGGTACCTTGGAGCCCAACTGGTACCCGTTTGTACCAGATTCGTACCCAACTGGGATGATAGCTACTTCTAGGATGGGGACACCACCCATCCTTTCTTTCAATTAAGCAGCTTCCAGAATCCAGACCAATAGCCACCATTCGTGACCTTGGTCCTGATTCTGGAACCGCTACCCACAAGGCACAATGGCATCTCGGGACCCACGTAAACATAATATTGCATAAGTCACCTGGTAATAAACGCTGAGTCCTACCCAACGGTCCTGCATAACCTTACCGCCAAGCTGCGGCTTATGCTATTATGTATTATGTATTATGGTTACCGTTCTATCCTACGATTCCTCGTATTCCTTGCCGACTGTCCTCTTTGCCGCTCCGCATCCAACCCTCATCTACACAGTAGGAATTCTGATTTGTTTCATCCACGTCTCCCAAGGCTGCGTCAACGATGTCTAGCCGCTATGAACGGGTATGTCCAGCATTTATTTTGGTACTGCGGTGGTTGGAATGATTGTCTGTCTATCGCCACGCACAAGCCGGCCTTTTAGGGGCGACGAGGCTTCTCATCCTACTGCGAATATCTCTCGACCACCTGCGACTCCGCGAGCACCTGTGGTTGCGCCTAGATGTGACGGTTGCTAATCAACTCCCTCCCAGGTGAATACCCAAGACGACGATCCCGATTCTCCCGACGCCACTACGCTGCGACAGCCGCAACGGGCGCCCAACTCCACCCCTCCTTCTTTCCACTCGCGCACATCGTCACTGGAACGAAGGCGTCAAGGCGTCGATCCCGCGCTGGCCGATGCCTTTGATACCGATGGTGACGATAGCGACGACGAACCCGACGACAGACAACGGTTGATGCGAGGAACCCCATCGATAATACCCAGCAACACCACCACCTCTGTCCAGGGCGCCGGTGGAGGCGAGAACAGGCCGGGCGTTCCGGGGAGGCAAACAACCCAGTGGCCAACACCTGCCGCGAGCACCAGTCCCCAACCGACGGCGAATGCAAATGCGAATGCGAGGACTTACGGAGGCGGCATCCAGTCAGATGGCGTCTTTTCCAACATGACGGCCCGGCCGGAAAGAGGGGAGAAGATTGTAGAGGAGGCACCTCCTGTATGCGGCCTTGTAGAACGGTGTCTCTTGACGTGCTGATTGCTGATGATATCGCAGACGTACGAGCAGGCTGCGGCTGATGCTGCTCCGCCGTACTGGGAGACAACGATCCTTGCGCCTGGCCTTGGCGGCCCCGACGATGTCTACATCGACGGCATGCCTGTCGGCTCCATCTTCAGCTTCATCTGGAACGGCATGATCAGCATGTCGTTCCAGCTTGTCGGCTTCCTGCTCACCTACCTCTTACACTCGACGCATGCGGCCAAGAATGGTTCCCGAGCTGGCCTCGGCATCACCCTCATCCAGTACGGCTTCTACATGAAAGGGTCGGCCGGGTCCGACGGCATGAGCGGAAGTCCCGCAGACGGGTACGCACAGCCTCCGGACCCAAACAGCCACGACTTTGACCCCAACACGGTGGGTACGGACAACGGCGAGGGCGGCGGCTCGACGTTGAGTGACATTGCAAGCAGCGAGTGGGTGGCATACATTCTCATGATCGTGGGCTGGTTCATTCTCATCCGGGCGGTCAGTGATTACATCAAAGCGCGGAGGCACGAGCAGCTGGTGCTTCAGAGCCCGGACAGAGGGCTGGGTGTTCCTATCATTGCGGAAGGGGAGTCGGCCGAAACCGTGGTGTAGTAGTATAGTAGCAGCGGACTGTTTTCCCGTCTAGAGGCCTGAACATATTCACTTTTATCGAACACTGTCGCAGATGATACACCAACCACTTTCCACCGTGGCGACCCCTCAACTCCGTGATCGACCGTGTGTGATACTCATCAGTACTCGACACAAGAGTTCTAAAACGCAATGCCCACCTCCGTCTGTGTCATGTGGACCAGTGACCATCATCGTGCTTTCGCTGCCATTCAGCGTCGCGAAAGCCGTGGTCTCGTGGTGGAGTAGCTGGTACTAGGCTCCGTTTACGACTTCTTAAGACGCTGCCCAGCATGATCATAGCGATATTACGAGCTACAGGCGATGGTGGTGGCAAGGAAGCATGCACTCGGGGCTCATTCAGCAGCATTGCAGAAACCTATTATATGCCTTTGTCTCTCTGCGGTTCCGGTGTTTTGCGCAGCCGATCGCAACTTCAAGTAAGGTCTTTGTCATGGGGATGGGGACTTACTCACTGTGGGTATACTGCCGTTTGCAATCGAAGTGTCAGTGCCCCACTTCAAATGGCTGGCACCTCCAGACTTTTTTAAAAAAGGCTTTTTAATAGAACAAGCCGTATTACAGCCAATACTAAAGATATTAAGAAGGTTTATCGGATCATCAGAGTCAGAACACGGGGGTGATGATCGGTCTAGTGCGTTGCGTTTTATCCATGGGTCTGGGGGACCAATCTAGTACTAAATACATACCAAAATACAAAGATGTATCCATCCATTGATCCTCCAGCCAAAGATCCCTTGTCTATCACCCATGAAAGCCACCTTTCCTGGTGCTTCCATCCCTTGATTCTGCTAAGGTGCCTGCCTGACCCCTTGTCAGCTGGCAGCCTCCCTAACTGCCACCATACTGCCACCACAATCTTTACAAGGTTGTTATATATAAAATATACAGTTTTTGTTGGATCCATGCGATTCAGACTGCAAACCATCTATACCAGGACCCACATGTATGATTAGATAAGATAAGATAGTGGATTGAGAGGGCACTTGGCCAGACCTTCGAGTCCAGCTAGATTCCTCTCAATCCAACCATCAGCAACATCATGACCTTGACCCCATACTCGAGTATTATGATTGATCGTTCAAGCCTGTTCCAACAGTTTTTTATATAGAATTTTTTTTAAAAACCTAACTAAATTTTCTTAAGCATTATAAAAAGGTTATAATATATATATATACGTTATTATAAGTTAAACTTAAAGTAACAATGTTTTTAACTTAGCTTTATTTTATGTTTATTTCTTATTATATGTCACAACCAGATCAAGGCATTGAGGCGAACTCAGTCCATTGGGTGCTATAGACAAAGATTCTAAGCTAAAAAGAAAAGGAAAGAAATGACCAACAACGTATTGCGAAAAGCGCGACTAAGTCCAGGAGCAGGTGGAGCTCTGCTTGTACCTGATCCTCACAACCAGCTTCCGATTGGCTACCACAGTCCTGGCAGTTGAGGGCTGCTTGGGAGCAGGTCCTCACATTATAGTCCCTTTAAAATGACGGGTTTAAATCCTATTTTGTTATTTTAATACGACGTATATTTGCTTATTTATAAGTTATTATCTGTTAAATTATTATATTATATTTCTTTATCAACTCTTTATAGACTTTTTATGTCGGTAATTAAAACTAATCCAATTAATAAAAAGATAAAAATACGTTATCCGAAGTTATTAAAACAGTTACAACGTCACATATATCAATCTATATATATGCTAATAAGTACGGCTCAAGTGTTACGAACCAACGAACAGTGCGGCCTGATAGCAGGCCCAGAAGGGACGATTAGAAACAGGTTGACCAGAGAGTGAGGTGCTGATCAGTGGAGAGATCGGAGCAACGGAGCAACGGTACACAGATCACGTGACCAGCAGAATCTGGGTCACGTGACTAAGAGTTTGGATCACGTGATCCAGTGAGCAAGATCACCTTGGATCACCGGTGATCCAGGGTGAGCCACCTAATCAGTGAGGGAGAGATTGGATATATAAGGACAGACATTTCCCAACCAGATAGATAGACAGTCTCTACCTCAGTGATCAATCTAAGCATCTTAGCCAACTCTAAGGTGGGAGAAATCTCCTGACGACTCGACTACACAGTGAACCCAGTTCAGACCAAGCCCCAGCATCTGAGTGTCTTCTAGTTGACAGAAGCCTCTATCGTCCTTTGTGTTGACTTACCTCAGAACATAAACCCTATAGAACCCTTTAGCCTTATAGGTTAGACGGCTCGTCACATTAAGGCTAGTAGTATAGAGGTATATAAATATTTGCAACGTAATAATAGAAACGTAACCGTAAAGAACGTACTTTTATCGCTTTCGTCAAAAAGTTGGAAGGTGCTAGCGATTTGAAATGGGGCACTGACACTTCGATTGCAAACAGCAGTGTCGCGAGTTCGAGGCCAGCAACGTACCCCGATGGAGTGGACGCACGACCAACATACCTCTCAACCGCCGACTCTAGATATCCCGATTCTTTGAATCCGGGCGAGGAAGTTATCACCGGCCAATATCTTTGCATCTTGATGTTGTATAAGAGACATGTCTTGGTTACCTCTTAGTCACTATAAATATAGATATACCATAGTTCCCCACGGCACCCCGCATTGGATCTGGGCTTCGTCACGTCACATGCCTTCCAGCAGTGCAGGTGTTCGTATAGGAACAGACAATCATGACGGAGCCATGATGCATGATCTCCAGCTGTCTCCCTATCTGTTCATTCACTGCAAACACGACATAGCATTCACCTCACGATACTCCTGAGTAATCAAACACCAGCCAAGCTAGGAGCCACCCACTACTTCAAGCCGCCACCGACCCAGCTCTCAGGTTACCCTGCTCCGACGACCATCACCTGTACCCGACCCGACTTCATGAGACTTCCCCCAAGGAAACACAGTCGTTTCTTATCCTCCCCAGTCGTCTAACGATACCACCAGCAGGAAGCGAAGTCCGACCACGCAAACACCAACAAGGTGCCTCCGAACCCGTCTTCCCGCCTCGCGGCCCTCCGAGCCCACCTGCGGCCCGCCCCGAAGCCCAGAACCGACCTCAACGCCAGCACCCCCTCGCGAACCATCACCACCATGTCGTGGCGCAGCTCCGGCAGCTCCAACGCCGAGCTCGTCGAGAACCTCTGGCGCAACAAGCTGATCACCCAGCCCGTCGTCAAAGACGCCTTTCTGCGCGTCGACCGCGGCCACTACGCGCCCGGCGCCCCCTACAAGGATTCGCCGCAGTCCATCGGCCACGCCGCCACCATCAGCGCCCCGCACATGCACGCCAGCGCCGTCGAGGCCCTGCTGCCCTTCCTGCTGCCCCACCAGGTCGGTACTACCGAAAGCGAGAGCGCGCCCACCGCCACCACCACCACCGCCATGATCGTCGGCCCCAAGGGCCGCCCGCGCCGTGTCCTGGACATCGGCAGCGGCAGCGGATACCTGACCCACGTGCTGGCCGAGCTCGTCGGCGAGACGGGCGTCGTCGTCGGCGTCGAGCACATCGGGGCGCTGAAGGAGCTGGGCGAGGCGAACATGGCCAAGTCGGCCGAGGGCCGCGCGCTGCTGGAGTCGGGCCGCGTGCGGTTCCGCGTGGGCGACGGACGCAGGGGCTGGGAGGAGCCGAGCCCAGTGGATGCGCAGCCCGGCGTTGGCGGGTCCGCCGATGCCGAGGTGCCAAACAAGGACGTCGAGGGCGGCTGGGACGCCATCCATGTCGGGGCCGCCGCCGTCGAGCTGCATGAGGATCTTGTGCGCCAGCTGCGGAGCCCGGGGCTCATGTTCATCCCTGTGAACGACGAGGATGGCTGGGATCAGTATATCTGGACGGTGGACAAGGACGAGAATGGCAGGGTTGGGAAGAAGAAGCTGTATGGTGTTCGCTATGTGCCCCTGACTGATGCGCCCAAGTAGACGCCTGGACTGATGGAGATGGGCCATTTGTATTGGTTTTGGTGATGGTGACGGCCGGCAGACAGTTGCGACCCAGTAGGCAAACTTGTCATGAACGGCTGAGGTATGTGTCTCCTTCAACCGTCACAGGGTCGCTTGCTAACTTGAAGTTACATGATGGCAGTCTCTGGGTGGACCTTCGCGCTACTTATTGGAATTGAGGTCGAGCATCTGGCGTTGGCGAGCGAATATCGTGATGGCCTTGCTGCCCTTCTCACTTCAGCTTCTCGGACTGGGTCCGCGGTTGGGACATAATGGCGGACACGCACCTGTATAATACCAGGATTGAGCTCTAGGTCAACTCGTGTTGATGCTGTGACCCTATAAACACGTGTGATTGCAGACGTTCTTTGGTCTGGCGGGCACATATCACCATTCTCAACCGGATTTCCAGCCTCCCAATGACGCCCGCACCTTCACAATGACATACGGTTGCACGTTCTCTTCAAGGTCCTTGCGATTCGCCTTATGTACAGCAGTCGAAGTATGAAGTGACTACGGGTCCGAGTCCCCCTCTGTGTCCTCCGCCTTCCATACAAGCCACAGCACCACAATACACAACTTCAAAGCCGCCGCAGTCCACAGAGCGCCCATCATGCTGATCTCGCTCCTCGACCAGAAGCCGCCCACCAGCGCCCCCACCAGCGCCCCCACCAGCAACAGAACCGGCGCGGCTGCCCTCCTGTTCCTGTCGGCGTTGTTCGCGGCGAAGATGCTGGCGTCCGAAAACAGGTCGCAGTAGATACTCGTCAGCACCACGCTGGTCAGACTCCTGTACCGCAGCGCCCGGCTGATGACCGCCTGCCCGCTGCTCTGGAAACTGACGACGGCCAGCGGCACCAGTACATGCCAGTGCAGATGATGTCCATTCCCCGGCTCCGTGTCGGGCGCGACCGTCACAATGACCGCCGCAGCCACGATGCACAAGAATTGCACAAGCACCCTCGCGACCAGGACCCCGCGCACCCGTCTCGACGGGCCCCCAAACAGCGCGTGAAACCGGCTGAAGCAGAACGATCCCGCGCAGAAGCCGGTGATAGAAATCAGCGACTTGATCCAGCGCGTCGAGGCCGCCGGGTCCGCGATGCCGAGGCCCACGTACACGGTGTTGCCCGTCTGCATGACACGAAGCTGCCCCAGATGGCCGTGGCCGAGCTGTCCAACAGGCCCGTGATGACGTACGAGAAGAGCAGGACGAGGTCGGCCTTGCGGCGCGAGACGGGGGAGGCCAGGTAGCTGCGGCCTGGGGAGATGGTGTCTGCGGGAAAGTGGGCGCGCGGAAGCAGCGCTGTATGCTCGCCGGTGGTGATGGTAGTGGTGGCTGCGAGCTGGCGGCGCAGGTCGTGCAGTACGCGCTCGCTGGTTGTGCCGTGCCCCTTGCGCAGTTCCGAGGTGGCCGAGGTGTTGCCTCGAGCCGTGGTCTCGTCGTTGCTGTCGGCCATGCTGAGTCGTGCGCGCCTGGAAACCTTTGAGATGTGTCGTGTGGTATAAGCACCCCGGAACAAGTGTGGACGATCGCTAAACTGATTGGATCTGTTTGATCGAGAGTGATTACGCCATAGTTGAACATTCGTGAATTCTCCTACATGCTTGAGACTTTTGCAGGTTTATTATTAGTGCACGGTAGCTGCAACGCCGACGACGCGGCAAGGACGTCATCCATTCGCATTTGGCGCGGGTAGGACGTAAGAGGTCCAAAGTTTACAGCTGCGGTCTCCCAACATTGAACCTACGCCACAATTCCCATGTATACCGTGAAGATGGATGTTGTCTAAATGGACGGCGGTATCCTTGGCTGGCGGCTGGCTGAATAGATGGATGGAATCAGCCCCTTGGATACGGCGCGTCATCCGTACGAGAGAAGTGACGGCGACCTGGAAGGAGACACCATCAGCAGCAGCAGCAGCACACACGACGAAGAGGTGAGCAGTCCACCAGGTCACGGGTGGCACACATAAGGAGTCGGAAACCAGAAGGCGTGGAGATGCCGCTGGAAGGCGTCACTGGCAACATTGAAGGGAAGATGCTGCCAGAGGGCGTTACCGCCAGAGCAGAGGGCAGATGACGAGACGGCGAAAGAAAGTCTTTCTCAGCGGAGGAAGCATACACGGAAGGCCTTTGGCGATGGAAGCGCGGAGGGAGGGAAGCGCGGAGGGAGGAGTCATCTGGAACCTACTTACCTTAAGATGAGGGCGCTGGCGAGCGAGCGAGTGAGTGACGTGCGGTATCACGGCACGTCATTACAATGGAACGGCTGCAAGCCTGCAACGGAGCCTTTGATCCTGAGAGATGCGAACGCGGAACGGAAGCAACAGCTGGAGGTCCTCTGATCGACTGAGAGATGAAAAGGACGAAAACCTTATTGAGCAGAAGGACGGGAGCCTCGAGGTCGTTGGCTGCGGAGGAAGGTGACGTGACCCGTGTACCGCCTTAGGTACATACCTCCCAAACCATTTGATCTGGCGTCCAAAGCTCCTTCCATCTCCGTACATCCAAGTAGACGGGAGGACCCCTTTCAGTCCCTTTCATCTCTTCCAGCTCCTGCCACCTGACAGGCACCAATATTCCTTACATCCTCGTGACAGTCTGGTTCCAATGCTAGGTAGCTGCCGCCAGCTGTCTCGTCCTTCCGCCCACCTTCATGGTGACGTACGATCTCTCAGTCGTTTGAGGACCTCATTCGCTTCCGCATTTGCCGAATCTCATTGGCGCCTTCATCTCTTGTGGTGCCGCCGTCTCGTCTCGCCATCTCTCAGGACTCGAGGCTCTACCGCAGCCGCGCTCGCTTGATAGCGCCCTCCTCCGGAACTCTTCTGTTGCTCCTTCTGCTGAAGAGCATTCGTTTTCTTCGTGGTCATAGCTGCTGCATCTCACTCACTGCCTGCCGCGCCCGATTACAGCACTCCACGAGTTATTCTTCTGCGACGTCGTGGTGCCCAACTTAGACCTGCCCAATGCGTCGTACTAGCAGTCGTCTCCTTCCGAATCACACGCCCTCATCACGCGCCTCCACCGAGGACATCTTCTCCGTGTGCCTCAACCCACTAGGTGGACTTCTAGCTTCGCCAGGTCAAATGGTCGCTTCCATTGGGGAGTCGTCTCGATCGCGTCCCTTGACGGCAGCGTGACGTCGTCCGCGTGTTCTACTACTGATGGTGGTGTTTGCTTCCAGGTCGCCGTCACTCTGTCGAATCAAGATGACGCGCCGTATGCCAAGGGGACCACTTCCATTCAGCCAGCCAGCGCGTGTACGCCTGGTGCCCGTAACCGTCACCTGCCATCTGTCCACCACCTGTGCTGTGCTGTGCCCATTGCGCATTTGGCCTCCTTGGTCTCCTTCCTGGCTCGAATAGGTAGGTGGTACGCCATGGCAGGAGTCTCTGCTGTGTACGTTCAATCAGCTGCCTGACTGCCTACCCGTGCCAGATGGCTAACAGGCTCCAATCGCCTCCAACAGGCTTTCAATGTCGTATCCAACGCCGTTTCCTTGGACGTGTGTGCCTACACGGAGGTCTTCTCTCGGTCTGCCGCCTATGACCTGGCTGACTTCTCTTCCGTGCCTTCGTCGTCCCAGGGTTCATGCCTCCGTAGCTCTCTCTTCGAGTCGTGCCGTGCCTCCGTGGAGGACTTCCGTATAACTGCGTACATTGGAAAATGGGTGCCGTTGAAGCTCTGTTGCTCCATCCATTGAGGAGCTCCCTCGATCTTCTTTCCGCTTACGCTCACTTATTTTACGCTGCGAACGTAACATATGAAAGGGGAATTTCGTGAAGGCCGTAATGTTCTTTGTCCTGCTGCTCCGTGGCTTCCACTCGCCACGTCGCTTTCTGGTGCCTCCGCTGAAGAGGTCTTCCGCTGCTTCTTCCACTGAAGAGGTTGCTTCGAGCTGACGTATCCCTCGTGGATAACGCCGCCGCCATCGTCATGGTTCCGTGCCTTCGTCATAGAAGGGCATCGCTTCTTTCCGTTCTTTTTGTGTTCTTCAGTTTCCCCTGGTACGGTGGCGTCACTCCCTTGTCGGTACGCTCCTTTCTGCCGTGTTGCGCCGGCAGCCAAGTTTGGCGATCACCTTCTACAGTGATGATCACATACCTTGTGACATACGATGACCACAAGGTTCTGCGCTTCAGTATTTCGGAGTTCTGCAGACTACTGATCGTTCGGTCCCATCATGGACTTGATCCTTCAAACATTCGAGGCTTCATCTGATCCCCACTGATGTCTCCAAGTGATATATCCGTTTGAGGGATAACACCGTTACCAACCATGGACTTCCATACTACTTCATCCAAGAACGTCAGACGCTCGTTCCCAGCGAAGGCAGGTGACTACTTTGTTCAACCAAATCGGGAGAAAAAAATCAATTTCCCATCTATGACTTCCGGCCCAACATGGTCGTTGGGAAGCACGAGTATTTGGTAACTTGTCTTCATTTATATGGTGAGGTTGAGAAGTACCATATAGAATGATCGTGACGAGGTGATGTTTCTTTCGATGCCGTGAAGAGCTGTCTCGATGGCAGAGATGAACCGCGGACCAGACTCGACGCATGACGCCTGATTTGAGCAAAGTCTCAGCGGCGAGGTCCGGGAAGCGGCCAAGATGACCATGACATGTCTGATGACTTGTGGGTACCGACACTTAGTCTATTTAGGTGGCGTCCAAGGGCTGATGTTGTCGCTATCCATTTAATGGGAAGCACGATGCTGCGGAGGCTCACGGGACCAGAGAGTCAGGCCACGAGAAGTCGAAATAAGCATATAGACCGTCTTTTAGTCTAAGGTCGTTGAAAGTTACGTTCGTTCACGGACCAAATGAGCTAGGCGGGTGTCTATAGCATCAATTAGAGTTCCCCGCCCCAAAACCTCACTGTTGGCTCAGCTGCCCATTCCTGGCACGCCGCCACTCCTTAGCCCGAGCTCGATTTTGACGACACGTCCGATTCCACCATGGTTCCTACACATGTTTGGCAGTTAAGATAGTTGTCGTCACTGGCGGTGCTTTAGGCTACGGCAAAGGCATCGTGACCAAGCTCATCGACGAAATCTGGCGAAGAGGTAGCCAAGGAGCTGGGGTGCAGCTACGTGGAGATACATGTGATAAAACGCGACGACTGGGAACGTCTGCTCAAAGAGATCCTAGACGAGTTGGGCAACCTGATATCATCGTCAATCACGCCGGGGTTTCATACTCCATCAAGTCGACTGAAGAAGTTACAGAGCAGGACTTCGACAACTCCACTGTCGTCGTCCTTCCGTAATTCTTCAGCACACAGCATTCACCGCTGACGTCCGTCCGCGACCGAGGCTCACTTGGTATAATCCTCAAAGGCGGTTATGATTAATGCGTCAAAGGCAGGTCGCTCGTTATCGCATTCTGAACCTTGATTCCACTCGCTCACTATTTACCCAAATCCAAACCTGTAATGCGGCTACTTGCCAGACGAATAGTCTCCTCGCGGAGGACGATGACAGTCGAGTACGGTTCGCAGCAGATTCGCCATTAACTCCGTCTCTCCTAGGGTTGGTGATACGCCAATCACGCACTGTAAAGGTCTGACAATGAACAGGCAAACGCAATACTCCGGAGAACCAGAAGGCTTTCGAGTCCGTGATCCTGATGGGCAGATGTTCGACTACGTCTGATATTGGCATAACTCCTGCTGCTACCAGGCCAGTGATGAAGCTGGGATCATCACAGGTGTCAACCTTGAAGTTGATGGAGGCGCAGCTGTGTTTGAACCCGGTGTATATCACGAAATCTGGTATAGTGGCATGGAGGAAGTGTTCCAGCGTGGAAAACTGTGAATGTGTTAGAAGACGAGGGATGTCACGGATCTGCTTGTTGGAGTTGGCAGGCAAATGTCGCAACGGATTCTGTGATTCAACAGTCCGGTTCCAGAATAACGAGGTATGGATCTCAATATATAACCTTGACTGAGCAACTCGGATTGCTTCATAGTCCTCTGGCTCCAGAGATGTTGTTGTGCTGGCAGAGACGACCGGGGCTGCCATTCTATGGGGCACAGCGTGGGTGGCTATGATGGGGTCTAATGTCTGTCTGCCCCTGAATATCTGACTTGCAATCGCCGATTACCCCTGCCCCTTGCCTCACTGAGAGAATCTGCTATGTCGGAGTCAGGCCGTACCATCTAACTCAAACGGTTCCCTCGGGTCGGCGGTCCTTGGCGCTGCGTAACCTGCCGAATGGCGTCGTCCTGAGCCCGGTCATCTTCCGCATTGCCTCTTTTGGACATCACAATCCTGCCCCCACGACCCCACGGGGAATCAAGAGCCACGTCCGGAAGCAAAACGGCATCCATATGCAAAACAACACGGCCTAGTGAGAATAATTGGCTTCGGGCTCCCCAACCAGCGAAGGAGAGACGGGCCGTTGTAGCTACCGATGCCAAGTCTGTGGCCTTGTCAGTGGTGGAACAACAGGGGCGGAAGCAGCTGAGCCCATCCTGAATAGTATTGCAGTTGGAGAGGATGGAGCCTCGAGTTAAATTGCTCGAATGACCGGGAGTATAACTAGAGGCGTAAGGCTTCCTCGACTACTTGGGTACGGTCTGAACTGAAGAAACACCCGACAGCATCACCAGAGTTTCAGTCAACAATCCAGATCGACCATGAAGAACTTCGCCAACATCCTTGCCGCCACGGCCCTGGCAGCCAATGGTGCTTCTGCCCATTACATCTTCGAGAAGCTCACGGCGGGTACCACGCAGTTCGATACCTACCAGTACAGTATGTGACTCTCCAAGCTGGCAGTTTGTACCGACAAAGCACTTCGTCTAGTAGCTTTCGGAATCCAACGCTGACTAGAGTTTCTTGAACAGTCAGGGAGAACACCAACTATAACTCGCCAGTCACCGGTACGTATACCAGAACTCTGAAGGCTTCGCATCTTGCTAATTGCTGTGAAGACTTGACCTCGAACGACCTTCGATGCAATGTTGGCGCCGACGGAGCTACCACCGACACGATCGAGATGACTGCTGGTGAAGCTTTTGCTTTCACCTTGGACGTCGTAAGTGATGCCCGAAGTATGACAAGACGACGTTTGGTCCTCCTGCTAACAGCCCCCTCAGGCCGTTTACCACCAAGGCCCGATCTCCATGTGAGGATCGACCCCGTACCCAAAGTCCACAAGCGTCAACTTACAAGATCAGGTACATGTCCAAGGCCCCCAGCGCCGCCTCGGAGTACGATGGCAGTGGCGAATGGTTCAAGATCAAGGACATTGGTAAGGCAGCTTGCAGCCGTTAATCCGTCCCTACCCATGGCTGACGATGCATGCAGGCCCGGATTTCTCCAGCGGGACCGCAGTTTGGGACATGGCTCGTAAGCACCATTCTCTACCTAGGCAAAGCTAGCTGTGATGCTCACCTCTGCAGAGACATACTCGGGCACGATTCCCACCTGCGTTGAGGACGGCGACTATCTCCTCAGAATCCAGTCCCTCGCCATCCACAACCCGTGGCCCGCGGGCATTCCGCAGTTCTACGTCGAATGCGCCCAAGTCACCGTCTCGGGCGGGTCGGGAACCTATGCGCCAGCCACGGCTCTGATCCCCGGAGCATTCTCTGACACCGACCCAGGCTACACTGTTAACGTGAGTTCCTGGGCCCGCGGCTTTGGTGTACGTACGACGCGACGGTCACTGATGTCTGTCTAGATCTACTCTGGATTCACCAACTACACCGTCCCCGGCCCTGCAGTTGTAAGCTATAGTACTCGTGTTCTCAAATGGCTTCGGTAGGCTAACGTCCTCTAGATAACCTGCTAAGCGTGATCACCCTGCTTGGTTCCCGTAGAAGCCAGGCTCTCAGTTGGGGATGGACTACTGTTGGTGACGGATTGTGTAAAGGGATGCAGTATGTGAATAAGATGCGTTGTAGTAAATGGGAATGAGAGCTTCCCATCCGTCTCGGCCGAGATGAGGGCATTTCGAGTATTTTGATTTAGATTAGTTGGCGACAGCTTCCCTGATTCAATTTCAACGGGCGAAAGCCACGAATCTGGTGGTTCAATGTTCCGTTCCAATGTTGTAAATGATATAATGCGTGAGAGCTGGTAGCATCTCAGGATTCCCGACATGGTAGCATCTCTCATTGATAACGGCTTGAATAGACCTGATCAGAGCCTGGAAATCAGGGCCGAGCTGATAGCCGTCGCCATCACGGCGCGTGCTTTAGGCTGGGACCACCCGATTGCAAGCATCACGTCGCCTTCGGCTTCGTGAGAGCGTCAGCAGAAGAGAAGGCGTCATCCCAGGGCGCCAGCAAAGCAAGTGAGTGTCCTCTCCCTTATGAACCCTCACACACCAAGTCCACGTTCGCAGTAGCGATCTGCAGTGCGTCGCAGGGCGCCAACGAGAGGAAGACGGCTCGCAGAGCGCGTCACCCAGGGTGCCAGCAAGCCCGAGTGATCATCGCGAAGAGCATGGCGCCAGCAGATGAGTACTCCTTCCTATTCTCATCACCTCCAAAGCCCGCGGTGCTCGTAGCGATCATCTACAGCGCACGGCAGCCCTTTGAATTCCACAACGGCGTTCGCAGCAGTCAAAACGCGTGACAGGACTCTCAAGTCCACAAGGCACTCACAGCAGTCAGTGCGTGGCAGTCATCTACCCCGGCTCAGAGAGAGCCTTCCTCAAATAGCCTGATCATTCACGCCCCAAGTCTTCCTTGCGAGAGAAGCATACCCGAACTGACAGGTACGCCGCCGTATCGACGAGAGAGTCTATAGATACGGAGGAACACAAATATATGGATGTCCATCAGTGTGATGTCGAAGAGATCAAGAACACGTTGACAACGGCGTTATCCCTCAAATGGAGCGTCACTCGGACGCATCAAGACCAAGATAGGGCCGAAGCAAAGTCTTCTAGCCGCCGAAGCAGGCTCAAAAGCATGCGGCAAAGCCTTGGGATTATCGATTAACGGCACAAGGGATGGGATCACCACTACAGAATGTTGATCGCCAGATTGGCTGCCAACGCACCATGACAGAAAGGGCACGACCGCCGTACTAATACGGAAGTACATAAATATCGGGATGAAGGTCCTTGATCCACGATGGCAGGCGACGTCATCCACTAAAGGATACGTCATACGAAGCGAAGCAGCCGTGAGAAATCCTCACGAGCGAACGACGACCAGTTGGCGAAGCGAACGAAGCCACAAGGTCACCAGAAGTTCTCTTGCACAACGGCAGATGCAGACGAACGAGTGGCTCGATGGCAGCAGAGTCACCCGGAGCAGTAGGAGAGAAGACCAGAGCCTCCACGGCATCCCCTTTCCATATGTCACAAATGAGAGCTTCGTCAGAGGAGGCATCAGAGCCTCAACGGCACCCCCTTTCGCTATTCAGCACACATCACAGCTTTAGACAGCTTTTGGCGGCATTTTCCTATGTACAGAGTCCCGCGAACGAAGAGAAGTCCTCCACGGAGGCAGCGAGATAGGCCCTCCTTGAGAGGCACACCCACAAATCCAAGGGTGAGGGCGCTTCAACAAGCGAGAGTGATGGCTGCCATACAGCATCAGAAGCACTCTGCCACGTGTCTGCCGACAACGTGCCTTCCTGCCAACTGCGTGCCTTCCTCCCCTACCTATCTACGGCTACGCGACTGCCTCCAACACGCCGTTGCCCACCCTTAGAGATACGAATAAGAGCTCGTTCTTTCATCAATCAGCCGCCGTGGTCAAGTGGTAAAGCGCTTCTGTTACGGCAGAAACGCTGGGTTCGATTCCCGCCGGTGGCATCAAGCGGGGAGCATGTAGTAGATTGATTGATTGATTGATTTTATCGTGGGTGCAGTCCCTCAACAGGGCAAACCACGCCTCCCAGAGCCATTGCATCGCAAGGTTGTAGAGGTGTCAGTCTAGATACATTCAGATCCGCGCACGAGCCTATCCTCGCTGTAGCGGTACCAACCTGGAGTGTCCAGATGGTTTTAGTCAATACTGTAGTAGTACATGGTCCCCGCTTGCTTTTTATTTTAAAATAATCCTACCAGTACCAAACCTTACACAAGGCTAGTCGCGGTTTCTTTCAACGCTTAAGAAATCCAACCCTGCTGTTAGCTTTTCCCCCTTGTTCTAAAAAAACTCATTATAAGTGGTAGTAAGTGCGTGCTGATTTTATTCGTGCCTTCCTCGAGCCTGCCCTGTTCTTTATAGAAAAAAGTTCTACCCGGTTTAACACCCCTGCACTGCAATTAAACCCTGAATACGATTATCAAATAAACCTGATAGATGTGTTTGATTTAATTTACCAGATCAAATCTGCCGAGATGGTCGGTTTATTTGGTTCGGTGGTGACGTTGGGACTTCTTAGTCTGAGAGATGGAAGCTCTTTAAGGAGGCACGGCTCACGATGGAGCCGCCGAAGCTCGTCTGATCGACGGCGGCATCACGAAAGAAGCGAGCACCACGGATGCGGCGTTCAAAGAGTCAGATAGACCCTCACGCAGTACGGTATTAAAGGCGATTGGAGCTACCTGGGCAGTTGGACCATGGATGGATTCTACCAGGGGTGACGAGCTCACCGCCTACCACGTTGAGTGATGGCATCACTCGTTCGATTCAGATTGCATTGCAAATTTGGATGATTCAGCTGAATTGGAGCGACTGGAGCCATCTGCAGTTGGCAGTTGACTGGGGCCACACCACAGCGGGATTGGCACCACACGAGGGATTCTACCGCAGCACGGATACACCACTTTCCTATTCGAGGAATGGTATCACCCGCAGATCCCAGTTTTAATTATGGTTTCGAGCCTTTCAGATCTCGTTGGAGTCATCAGGTTGGAAACAATCAGATTGGAGAGACCTGTCAGAGCCATCTGGGCAGTCAGGCTGCTGAACGCACGCACGCAGAACGATTCTGCGACGGCGTTGCGGTTGACCACCTTCCTATTCGAGCGGAAGGAGACCAAGGAGACCACACGGACCAGAGACCACACTGTAGCCATGATGGCGTGTGAGAACTGGTAGCTAAGGTGGTCACGTCAGGTCAAAGGGGTCAAAAGGAAGCAGGTGGATGAAGGAGCTTTGTTAGGATGCTCTAAGGATAGGCCCTACTTTGTGGTTTGAGTGTGGATTTAGTACCAGATCAGGCCCCCCAACCCATGGATAGAACAAGCAAGCAAGAATGGGAATATACCCCTATTCCGCGACACAATGATACAATCACAGATGACGGGTGACTGCGGGCAGCTGTGTGACAGCTCTTGGCAGGCGGTGCGGCTTGGGGCATCTGTGGCTTGCAGCTTCTGTGGCTTGCGTGGTCCTAGAGCAGCCAATGGTAATGGCCCTTTTGTAATAGAGTAGAGCTCCACCCAAAAGGCCGAAACGCCATCATCATCTCGAACCTCTGTCCAGATTCGCCTCCAAAGACCTACAGCTCACCCTCTCCCCTCTCCCCTCAATTCTGGTCACCGAACTGCGCTCCATAATGCAGGGGCCCACGACATCGACCACCATGATGCTGTCTCGTCAGCTCGTGCGGCGCCAGCCCATCACCGCTGGAGCTGTCGCGAGAATAGTCGCGCAAAGAACCTATGCCACCCCATCCGGCCCGCCGCCACACGGCTTCCGCACACCTCGACCGAAGCGCTGGGACGAAGAGAAGGAGAGCACCCTCGACCGTGCAGGCAGGTTCTTCCTCATGACTGAGATGTTCCGGGGGATGTACGTTGCGTTGGAGCAATACTTCAGACCACCGTGAGTTGCTCCACGCCCCAGAGACGAAGCAGCTGGCAATCCTAACGCATCGTCTCAATCAGATACACCATCTACTACCCTTTCGAAAAGGTTTGTCGCATCCACCATACAGCGGTTCCCTCGATCGATGCTTTCAAATTCGACAACAAACATCTCCAGCCAGAGCCAACGACAGGGGACATTGAGAGCAGAGCAAAGGCTGATGTATACGTGTACAGGGTCCAATTTCTCCTCGATTCCGTGGCGAACACGCGTTGAGACGGTATCCCTCTGGTGAAGAACGATGCATTGCCTGCAAGTTGTGCGAGGCTGTAGGTCTACCCCTCCTGCTCCCGGTGCTTGTAACTTGGGCTCGCGCTTGAGCTTGAGCTTGCGGGTCACATGTCGGAACTCGACTAACGCTCGTGTAGATCTGCCCGGCACAGGCTATCACCATCGAAGCGGAGGAGCGAGCTGATGGTTCCCGGAGAACAACTCGCTACGATATCGACATGACCAAGTGCATCTACTGTGGCTTCTGCCAGGAGTCATGCCCCGTGGACGCCATTGTCGAGTCACCGAATGCCGAGTACTCCACGGAGACCAGAGAAGAGCTGCTGTACAACAAGGAGAAGCTACTGGCAAACGGAGACAAGTGGGAACCTGAGCTTGCTGCAATCATCAAAGCCGACTCTCCATACAGATAACGGAGCACAGATGACTGCATCCACAAGTGCTATGCCAATTACTTTGTGGCACCCTGTATATACTACCTAAAATCCAAAGACACGCTTCCTTTTGTGGCACATGAATACATGCCCACCTCTTCTTCTCCCCATGTGCTATGGTGACAGCGGGGCATAAGAGATGGTAACAAATTTTCCTTTGACACACTGCGAGGTCCGCGAAAGCCGTAATTATCATGGTACAATTATGTCAGGCAGAATAGGATCATGGCCCAACGTCATTTTCCGGTGGGCCGGTTTTTCTGCGAGACTCCCACTTGGTTTGCCTCTTATCTGTAGGTCGAGCAGCTGGCACCCGATCGTGCAGCTGGTGGCAGACCGCCGGGGCCCGTCGGTCGTAGTTGCAGTCACGTGCAGCTGTCCTCCGAACCGCTGCTTAGCTCCGCAGACCCAAGCTCGGGTTGATCTGGACGAGAAATTTATCATGACCTCCTTCATTCGTTGAAGCTCAGTCTTACAGTCTCTCTCGCCCCATCTCCGACAACACGCCCTGCATCTCGACGACAAGAACGCTGCGCCTTCTACAACTCATACCGCGCCAATTGACCCCTTCTCGACCGTCATGTTCCGAACAGCTCTGATCCGCACTGCGGCCGTCGCATCCCGCGCCGCTGCTCGACCCGTCGCCCGAGCTGCTGTTGTCCCTTTCAGACCTGCATTTGCACCCGCCCCAAGATTCGCCGCCATCAATGCCGCGCGGATGTACTCTGCCGCCAGCGGGCTGAAGAAGGAGGAAGTTGAGGGCCGGATCATGGGTATCCTGCAAGGTTTCGACAAGGTCAGTACTTCCGTGTGGCAGCGCGAGATTGTCAAGGCCATGCTACGGTCTTGAATCTGGAGGTCGGGGTCAGACATGTTCGTGGCAACAACACGCCCGAATCAGTCCGACTTTAGGTCCCTACGGAAGGATTGGGCGAGCCTATAGATGGTCATATGGACCATCATTTAGTACCTAGAACGAATGCTAACCCCAGTCAACAGGTCAACGACCCGAGTAACGTACGACCTACCCTCCGAAGCCATATCTAAGGCGGCAACAAATTCTTGAACCAAGTACTGACACTCACCAGATCAAGCCCACCGCTCACTTCTCGAATGACCTTGGTCTGGACAGCTTGGACACAGTGGAGGTCGTCATGGCGATAGAAGAGGTACGCTCTAACACCTACAATCTGGAGCAGGGCATACCTAGCGGCGCGCTTCCTAGCCAACAACCAACAACCAACATCGGGATACGATTTGGATTAACTAACGGAACGCAACAGGAGTTCAGCATTGAGATTCCCGACAAGGACGCGGATGCTATTCACAGTGGTAAGAACTTCCTATCTTGGCATTTTCTGTCCATGGAATCTCGGACGACAGTTCACTGACACGGGACCACTTGTACAGTCAACCAAGCCGTTGACTACATCGTCAGCCAGCCTGACGCGAACTAAGCGCCGAACCATGTACATTAAAAGCTACGCCACTCCATACATTCGCGACCCAGACCTAGCGCAGGGGTCACATGGCGGTGGATAAGCATGCGTGTGAACATACGGTGGTGTTGCGCCCTCGGCAGACATAATCGATCGGTGCATGTGCTGGTACCCAGAGCATCGTTGAGTAACAGGCATCGAGAAAGACGTTACGTGGCGCGAGATGAGTTGGTCGCTCGATCCCGTCACCATTGTACTACTGTATAGATCTTTTCCTCCAATGCTACTGCATTCAATATTTACTGAGACGCCCTATCCGTGGTGTTCTTCCGTGCCTTCGTCATCAAAGGGCTTCCGTGGCTCCCGAATCTTCGTGTTAGGGCTCCATCGCTCGGGACCGAGGACCTTGGTGCTTCTATTGCTGTATAATAGCCATCATCGCTCGCCGAAGCGCCCTCATCCTTGGATGTGTGTGTGCCTCCGTTGAGGTCTCAGCGAGCCCGAGGGCGTCGCCAGCGGAGAAGCAGCTCCAGAGCTCGTCATCCAGCGGAGGAGCGGCTCCCGAGCTCGTCATCCAGCAGAGACCGCTCCAGAGTGCGCAGTAGCAAATGAGTACTCCCCTTACCTCATTGCCCCGAAGATCACAACGCAAGTCATAGCGTGTGACACGTTATCCAAGCCCACAGCGCTCGCAACAGTCATCTGCGGCGCGTGGCAGCACCAGAAGATCATGGCGCGAGTTCGACCCACCATGGCGTGTGGCACGGCGAGCCTGAGGGCGTCGCTAGCAGAGGAGACGACTCCAGAAGAGACGTCATCTCCAGCAGAAGCAGACAAATACTCCCTTTGCTTCATCACATCCCCGAGGCCCACGGCGCCAGTTCGATCTACGACGGCGCGTGGCAGCAGGGAAGACGGCTCCGGTAGAGCGCGTCAGAGGTCGTCAACCCGAGCACCTGGTTCACCCTGTAGACCACGGCGCTCAGAGCAGTCAGCTCAGCGCGTAGATGTACCCTGAAGTTCACGGCGTTCGCAATCATCACATCTGTAGCGCCTGGCAGTCATCTTCCCCTTCCCCGGCAGAGAAGCACGCCCCCCGAACCAAGCCCTAGCCCTTTCAAGCGAGGCACGGGCACAAGTCCTCTAATCGAAGCGGGCACCGAGCACCGAATCGCGTGGTAGTCACACCACGGCGAGCACCAAACCGAAGTCTTCTAGCCGCTGAAGGCAGAAGCATGCACAGATCCTCCGTGATTATCGACTAAATGGGACGAGGGAAGGTGTCACCACTGCAGAAGGTCTATTGCCAGATTTGGCTGCTGGCCCATCACAGCAGGAAGGAGCGTACCGCCGACGACTAGGTATGTCGCCGTATCGACGATGATACGGAGGAACACAAATATCGGGAAGAAGCAGAGTCCCCCATCCACGATGGCGGCAGGCACGAGCCAAGGAGCCATGACGATGGCAGGCGGCATTATCTACCACGGGATACGTCACATACAAAGCGAGTAGCTGTGAGAGGTCCTCACGAGCGAATGGACAGCTCGATTGATGGCAACAGAGTTATCTGGAGCGAGCAGGATATGTGGCGAATGGCGAGCCACGCAGCACGAAGCGACCTCTTCAGCGGGGGAAGCACCAGAAGAACTCTTCAGCGGAGGCAGCAGCAGAATAAGTGACGAGTGAAAGCCACGCAGCGGCAGGTAGAAGAGATCTCCAGAGCCTCCACGGCACCCCCCTTTTCATATGTGACGAGTGCGAGAGCTTCACGAGAGGCAACACCAGAGCCTCAACGGCATCCCTTTCTTATGTCAGTCAACACACCACAGCTTCGACGGCTGGCTGGCTGAGGTCCTGGCCCCTGGCGTACCTGGTTGGCTCCTGGCTGGCTGGCTCCTGGCTGCTCCCTCCAGTGGCTGGCTGGCAACGCGCCAACCACAATACCTGGTCTCGTAGCCGGCTGGCAATGCACACACCACAGCGCCTGGCTGGCTGGCTGGCGTTCCTCCTCGGCTGGCTTCCTCCTGACTGGCTTCCTCCTGGCTGGCTGGCAACGCACGAACCACGTCACCATGAAGGTGGGTGGAAGAACGAGACAGCTGACGGCAGTTGGCATACGAGATTGTCACGAGGATGTGAGGGATATTGGTGCCTGCCAGATGTGGCTGCAGCTGGCAGCATGTGAAAGGGCTGAAGGCGGTTGAAAGGGGTGAAAGGGATCCGTTGTGGTGACCATTTGGGTGTTGCCTGGCAGGGCCGTTGTCTGGTGTCAAGCACAGCGCGTGGCAACGCGTTGGTCGAGGTCTGTGTCATCGAGAGTCACGACAGTTGCTACGTTTGAAGCTTCCGGGAAGACTCTTCATTTCATAAGTGTAACCTTGAGTTGTGAGATCGATTCGTCAAGCGGCGAGCTGCCAGCCTGGATTCAACTCACGCCCGGTTCACCGTCATCTTGGTTCAAGCCGCACAAGATATGCCTAACTTACCAATGGGACCACTCCACACACGTCTCGATCAAATCCGTTATTCTGCAACAACCCTCAAATACGGGATCGATATTCCCAATGCAATCGTATCGACACCAGACGTAGCACGAAGAACGCGCCATGTCCGACCCTCCACCGACCCGTTCCCGCGCCCACGGGCCCTGAAAGTAGCGGCCCGTCCAACCAAAGCGCGTCGCAAGGTGAAATTCAGGTGAATCCAGGGACTGATGGCCAGCTTCGTAAGCATTCACAAGTTTTTCCCCGCACACTGGGTTGCACCTGCGGCTCGTACATTGGCAACCCGCATGCCTTGGCGCCGGCAGTGATTACCAAACAACGGGCTGCCGCTGCAGACTCCATAGATGTGTGCTGCGGGGATCGACAGTATCGATCCTGTCATGTAGGTTGTGGTGTGCTTTGGAAGGGTGGCAGCGTCCGCGGTGGTGATGCTGTAACACGGCTTGGCAGTGTATTACGGATCTCTTAGACACGCAGGTTGACACAGGGATGTCTGTCTATAGCTAATACTCTGTCCAACTACGAAAGCCATGGGGCGGACGAGGAACCGAGAGTGAAATCATTATCAGCTTGTCCCGAGATCCAGTCTCTCCGCTCTAGTTGGTTTACGCCTGTCCAGCCGCTCGCTGCTAGCATCGATCCAAGATGGCACACCACGGAGGGGCAACTATCTCGAGCGATCACGACATGGAGAAGGGTCTGCACAGGACGGACACGAGCGTGACGATGCCTCCGGAGCTGTTCGAGAAGGTATCTGGATCTGCCATCGTGATCTCGGTGGTCATTTGTTCGGCGACTAACACAAGCCAGCTATATCTCACCCCGAAGGTTCCCATGCACAGCGACTACAACAGGCGATTCGCCAACCCGACAGCACTGGGCTTTGTGGGGTGAGCCTCTCAGATTCGGCCATAGCTGTGATAGGATACGAGTTCTGACCCCGGCTAGATTCGTGATATCGACCTTTACGTTCGCAATGGTGCTCATGGGATGGGGCGGTGCCGAGGGGGCGTCACCCGTCGTGGGCATATTCTTCTTCGTCGGGCCTGTGCTGTTGACGTTTGCCATGGTGTTTGAGTGGATTATGGGCAACTTCTTCCCAAGTCAGTCGCAAGCATGGCTTCTTGTCCCTTCCCTTGTTCCTCCCTTCTTTTGGGGTTCGTCAGCGTCCGAAGAGCACAGTTGTCTGGCCAAGCAAGCCACACCCTCTGGCCCTCTCCATCCCATCCCAAACGAGGAAGATACGCAACACCTACTAACGCACCCAAGTGATGGTAATGGGCCTCTTCTCCGTCTTCTGGCTCTCCATTACTGTTCGTTGTGGCGGCTTTGGGGTGGTATATGTGCTTCATCATCATGGCGGGCGAGATGCGTCTAACGCTCAGGCTTCCTGTTGGTGATCTCAGTCACTTCTGCCCAAGGACCGACGTGGAGATTTCCGCTGCTGAGCATCGTGATTGACGGTGTTCTTCCAGAGTGGAAGTGAACCGGAAGGACATGCGAGTACTGTGGCGATTTCGTTCTGACTATCATGTCGCCGTAGCGTCGCTTGTAGTAATGATCTACCTAGTGAGACAAAGCATTCCAACACACGTCACCGAAGCAGCTTCTCTCTAATGACTGGTTGGCAGGCTTGGCGGATATAGCTCTGTCTGTCCGAATTCGTCCTTACAGCTCTGTCTGCCTGACGTATCTCCATAGCGTGTATCTCTACCGGTCGACGACCTCGCGACGACCTGCCTTCCGGGGTTCCCGACAACAAGCTGTCCAACTCCCGCGCACTGTTCCTCGAGACACATGAAAGCAGTCTAGCTTGATTGACGACACGGGCGGACGAGCCATAGGAACGACAACGTAGGCGTACTTCGATAGCGCGGCACCATTGTTATACGACGGGCTGGATAGCAGGCTAAAAGAAAACCAGATCTGGTCTGTGTCGATTAGAACCGTACTTGAACGACACGGCCAGTTAGTGTGATAGCTTCAATGACTCGGTCATAGTCGGGGATTAGGCGGCCCATGCTTTAGTACTGGGACTATATTAGCTACGCTAAGTTGTGCCGGGTTTTGCGGTGCCTCTCACCAGGCTTCCCACTTCTGACCCCCAATGGCTATGAGACGATTGAACAGTTCATCCCGCAGCGGCACCGCCGTTATGCGCCTCACAGTCCCCGTCCTATCTGTGATCTCAAGGCCGTCCGCGACCTCTCTACCAAGTGTCCAGCCCACTACCATCTTGGCCTTCCAGCCAAAACCACCTATCTTCTTCAGGTCTCTAATATCACCAATAGCAACCGTCCATTGAGGGTGAAGGTCCTCGCGATCATCGCTGCCAATCTTCTCTATGGTTGCATCCGTGCTAAATGCCACAGCGGGGATGGTGGACTTGGTTGTGATGTAAACATTGCCCTTGTGTCCCTTGTACCGGGCCTTGAAGTCAACAGGGCCAGAAACAAGGTCTTCTTTCACTCGCAGCGTGGCACCGAGACGGTTACGAGCGTGGTGGGAGCCGATCTTTGCGCGTGCTGCGTCGCCAGTAATAACAGCCTTCACTGCTCCCTTCGCGGATCCCTTGAAGAGTCCCATAATCTTGCTGGTTTTCCTGCCGTGTTTCGTCCCTTTGGCGGCATCAATATCCGGGCCATCAGTTTCGTGCGCAGTACGTGGGTCATGTTCCATCGCGGCCTCCAATTCCTCCTCGGTGGCGTTGAGTGGTGCCTCTGCCCCTGTGGCTCTCAGCTCTGAATCTGTTATTTCAGCAGGTCGCTCTGGTGGAGGCTCTTTGATATGAGGTGGCGGTGGGAGGGGAGCTTTGTTCGCCTCGCCTATCCGGAGCAGTGTGATGGTGAGCTGCGCATTGGTCGGGACGCCCTTGAGAACTGTGTTGCGCATCTCTAGTAATTTCTGCCACGCGGGATACCGTCGATTGAGCCACTCCAGACCCCTGGTGATGACGGGGTCTCCAAAGAAACCAAACCCTGCCCCGAATGTGACACCTTTCATGAACATGTACGAGCTCACGAAGAAGGAAACCAATAGCAGGGGTACGACCAGGCCGGCCAGTCTGAGTCTGTACAGATCCTGTGGAAATGGAGCAGTCGGCGACAGAGCGTTTGCGAAACGTTCATAGGTATCGGCAACATCAGTAATTCCATGCATGATAGGGCGCATCTTGTTCCATATCATGTTCTCCATGGGCACCTTGGTCTTGTCGTGCTTCGACCCTGGTTGCCCGCCCGCAGCGGCATCTTTGGCTTCTGCAGCTGACACAGCGAGACCCGTGGGATCAGGAACAGCATCATCCGGAGAGCCGCCGATAGGAGTCTCGGGGTCAGCTTGTGGGTGCTTGCCTGTGGCGCTTGTAATGACTACAGAGGTGAAACCGTTAAAGAAGTTTTTGGCCTCCTTCTCGACAGCTTCGCCCTTATGGTTCTCTGGTGCACCGGTTGCACTGTCGTGGCTTCCAAGAACGCCAGCCTTGGGCTTCTGCATTCCGCCCGACTTGCTGTCCACCAGTGCAATAGGCGCAGGTGGGAAGAGGAAGCCTCGTGAGGGTGGGTAGACGATCAAGGTAATCAATGTCAGCGCAGCCAGAGGGGTAATGAGGTCCAATATCCATGCTACGAAGTATGCCTGTAGGAGAAGTACAGCTTAGTATGCAACATGTAGCAGTGGACGGTCGTCCCTCGTCAGATGTCCTTACAGTGCAAAAGCCGGCGGTCCGGCGACTCTCGCGCCACGAACGGAGCCGAGCCACGTGCTTAACGGCAGCTAGAAGTCCGATGATGACACTATACCAACACCAGTCAGCGCATATCTCATTGAGGTTTGGAGATGGCGGTGGAGTGAATGGGCGCGCCAACCCGTGTCTTGGTGCGAGGTGCACAAAGGCAACTTGCCGAGTTCCAGGACAGATGAGGGTGGGAGACAGGGGAGACAGGCTGTCTTTCATGTCGGCTACTTACGTCATGTAGAACCTCTCGACAGTTGCGCGTAACTTGTCTGGAGAGAATTCCTCCTCATCGGCCACGTTGAGATCCAAGTTGCCCGGTACCGCATTCTGAACCTCTCTGACATGATAGATTTGCTGTATCAAATCAGTGTCTTTTCGGGAGTATGTGCAAGGTGTCGCACCTTGTTGAATCGTCTGATCAGGAGCCACAAGTCGTCATTGTTCATGCCGCCGACCAGGGGAGCAGCGATGTGGTTCTTCTGCTCGTTCCAACCCAAGTCGACGACCTCGTCATCGTGATACTGCTGGGCGAGACCCTTCTCATCGTGATCGTCCATGGCAAGCGCGTGAGAAAGCGTGGGCTCTTCGGCTAAACTGTTCGCAGCCTCTTGCTTCTCAGGCTCGCTAACCGGTTGTGTCGTAGTCGGAAGAGGCAGCAGGTCAGTCAAGGAAGTTCCAACAGCAGCAGCGCCGCTCGAGTCCTCGACTGTTTCCCCTGCGGACGACATTTTGGCGGAAGGCTGATGTGCGCGGGAAAGCACGTAAGATCAAAGGACACGAAAACACGGGTAACAGAGGATCACGAAAAAGAGAGGAACTCGACGTGGGAATCCAGGGATTTCCTTGGCAGACCTGTCTTGACTCTCCTGTCTCGCGTCTCCTGCCCAGCATGATGGTTGGGGGCTTTTGGGACTCAGAGCTGAGGGCAGATGACGTCGATGGCTGGAGTCACCGAGCCTAGAGGCCTCCCCAGCTGGACGCTAGAGCCAGGAGTACACGAAAGCAGACAGCTGGAATGCAGGTATCAAATACCTCTAGCCGGTTGAGAGGACCATCGTGCGTAGACTATCTATTATTGACCAGGCCTGAAGAGGGAGGGCATTCGTTAGCGTGCTGGCTCCTCCTCACAAGTGCCACCCACCGCATGCAGTTTGGTGATCAGTGACCAATCGTGATCCTCTTGGGTCTTGGGTGAATTCCAGGTCAGTCTCTCTTGGGACAGCCGAGTGGATGAACCCTTCCAATTCTGGACTTACAGAGGTCTCGTGAGTATACATGCTGTATATTCTGTATAGGAACATGTTATAGTTCTCAGCCGCAGCCCTGATCGATGTGACAGAACTTTCTTTCTTTCCAGAGTTCCAGTTGTCCCTTGGCTTGCTTGATGTGCAGCCGGAACGACCCATCCGCCCAGCCACTTGACTCCTGGCCTGGACTGTGCGCACAGCCGGAGCTGGCAGGGGCAATCCTCACAGGGGTCTCAGGGGCTATCGCCCACTGCAGATCCGGCTCGGTAGACGTCCAAGCGCCCGCGCCCTCTGAGCTTATCTCCTCCAAAAGCAGACCGTCATTTCGCTTGAAAAGGTGCCGCACGTGACGGTCTGAGCTTCTGAGATAACTCTGAACGTCGCGGCCATCACTGATCAGCGATTCAACGGTCGGCGGGACAAACTCTCCAGCTCTCCCACTGCCACCCCTCAAACCCACTAATATGACATGACCTTGAGTGCGTAAGTCGGCCTCACCTCAGCAATCGCCTCATCTATGACGACATCCGAACATCACGATGCGGGTGGTTTTTAAGGAATTCTCACCTTACATATCGTACAGGATGCCGCGTGCAAATGTGTCTTCATAGCCAGAGAAACTATAGTCAATTGATCAACTTCAAGTGTTCCATTGCTCCCATTCCATCCCAGTACCGCTGAACCAAGTATCACCAATTTGATACTGTTACCATCCCTCCCTCCAAACGCCCATCCCAAGATCAACCAGCCATGTCGCAGCAGCTCGTCTTCCAGCTGTCCGGGACCTGCAATGAGTACCCGTGGGGCAAGAAGGGCAACGACTCGCTGGCAGCCCGCCTCTGTGCTCAGACACCGGGCACCGACTTCAAGATAGAGCCGTCGCATTACTACTCAGAGATGTGGTTTGGGGACTACAACGACTTCCCCGCCCGCAAGCTCGAGACTGGCGAGCTGCTCTCCGACGTCCTCCAGGCCAACAAGAAGCAGCTGCTGGGCAAGAAGGTCATCGAGCACTACGATGCCCAACTGCCCTTCCTACCCAAGGTGAGACCGCCGACGGAGCCCCTCTTCTCATACAAGGTGATAGGCGTGCTTATGACTTCCAGATCTTGTCCATCGCCAAGGCACTGCCGCTGCAGATTCACCCTAACAAGGACCTCGCAACCAAGCTTCACAAGAAGGATCCCGAAAACTTCACAGATCCTAACCACAAGCCCGAGATTGCCGTGGCCCTCTCCAAGTTTGAGGTGTTCGCTGGCTTCAAGCCCCTGGATGAGATCGCGCCTCTATTCAAGCTGCAGCCGCTCCAGCAGTTCAACCCGGATGCGGCTGACAAGTGGACGAATGAGACGTTGCGCAGTGTGACCAAGAACATGCTCAAGGCGGATCTGCAAACAGTCAAGAAGGTCCAGACTGAGCTTTCGAAGATACCGAAGAGCGAACTCGGTGACGCATCATACATATTGGACCTTCTCCCTCGTCTCCAAGATCAATATGGCCCGGAAGATGCTGGCAGTCTCGTCGCTCTCCTGTGTATGAACTTCATGGTCTTCCAGGCAGGTGACGCCATTTACATCCCCGCCGACGGAATCCATGCGTACCTTTCTGGAGATATCGTCGAGTGCAGTAAGTACACCCAACATCTGGTTGCCTCATGCCTCCTTCTTTTTCGTGATCAGGTGAACATATTGGTGTAGAATGAGGAGGGTCCTTCTCCATCTTATGTACTGCCCACGATGCACTTGGAGTAAAACTGACCACAGACGCAGTGGCGAGATCGAACAACGTGTTGAATGTTGGCTTCTGCCCCCCAGCCGACCGCAACAACGTCGACATGTTTGCGAACACCCTAACCTTCAAAGCCCACAGCAAAGAAGATGTCATCCTCCCAAGTCAGAAGAGCGAGAAGAGTAAAAACGGCAAGACCGTGGTCTATAAGCCGCCCATGAACGAGTTCGACATGTTCAAGGCGGACCTGAGCGCTGGAGACACAGAGGAACTGAAGGCTTGCGAGGGACCGGGCGTCATGATCGTCACGTCCGGCGAGGGACTCATGAAGGCAGAGGGGCAGGAGTTCCAACTGAAGACGGGCTACATCTTCTTCGTCGCCCCGGGCGTCTCGGTCCAGTGGGAGAGTCAGAAGGGCATGCAGATCCACATGGCTGTTATCTAGATGGTGGTCCTTGGTTCGGTGTAGATATTGCACATACCTTAATGTCAGCATTTGCCAAGCATGTGAATGTATAGTCCCACGTTCGTGGGAGCATACTCTCCGGGTTCCTCGGGTTCCAGTCGCGACAGCAGCAAGTGGCCAACGTGAGCTGGGAGGAGGCAGTTACTAAAGTGCTACGAATTGGTCAAAGCCACAAATTGCTGCTTAATCCCATTCAGGAAGGGCTCCGATTTTTAAAGTACGTATAGTGTATACGTATAGTGTATTATACGTATTATACGAATATAATACCGGTATTTTCGCAACTATACGTATGGCGGAACGGAATAACCGGGGTTCCGGGTATATACAGGGGTTGTTCGGGTACTAAGGTGCCCCTTCCAGGTGGCAAACCCCCGGGCTGCGGTGCCTTGCGACCATGGTACCTGCCAGGGCACCCAATGTACACCCACCCAAAGGTATTTCTGTCTCTCTGGTCCATCTGGTCTAGGTTGTAATGGCTACGGTCGGAGTTCTATAGGTCTGCACCAGTATATTTAGGTGTGACTTTCACTATACAGCACTATACGGGATTAATACGACCTTAACTATGGGTATGGCGGTATTATACGGGGTGTGGTAATAATACCGGTATAGTAAAGCACTATACGTATTAATCGGAGCCCTACATTCAGGTTGTGGTGTGGTATGTCTTGTCTACATTGTGCCTCTTGCCCGGCCGAATTGACATGCCTATCGAAGTGGCGAGGGCCTTCGGACCTGATGATCACGCTCTTTCCTAACTGTGCCTTGCGATGTTGCTTTCCGGTACTTAGCTGCCCAGCGCATTTGGCTAGATAGATATTAGATCTAACTCTTACGTACAAGGTCTCTGATTCAGAGCGCCGTCCGTGAAATGCCCTTGTGTTGGAGCGGATCCGTCAAGCGAAAAGGGGTAATCACCACAACTTCTTTCATGGTCAATGTGGAACCTTGTCATGAATGCTATCCCAGGAATGCGCTCTGATTAAAGACATATTTGGGAAGACTCTGGGACACAATCGCAAGCACAAGTCTTCAGTAGCTTTATGGAGGGGAGTTTCTTCACTATGGACCTATTTAGTGATGATTATGACTTGCAAACCCTCACATGAAGTCAATGATCAGGATGATCACCGGCATCGATCGAGACTACCGTGCCGCATACTGCAGTCAGACTTCATCCTCCGACGTCGCATCTTCATCGTCCTTCGTCGCGACTTCATCGTCCGTCGTCGTAGCGCTAGGGGCCTTATCTAGGCCCTGAGTCGGGTCCACGTCTGTCTCCTTTCTAACTGGCTTCTTAAAGAGGTCCAAGACGAGCTCCTTGAGTTTGCGGGCAAAGTTCTGCTCGGACAAGGTCTTAGGCCTTACCTTCTCCTGGTCCAACGGCCGCTTGGCTATCTCCCCAAAGGTAGGCGTTACCTCCTCCTCGTCCAACAGCTGCTCGACCATCCCCCGCAAGATCATCAGGGCCTCTCCTAGGGCGTTGCTGCCCCAGGTCTCTCGTTTGGCCATTCCTCTCTTGCTGCTCGCCTGCTCTGCCGTGCGACCGATCCCGAGTGCCCTGTCCACTTGATTCGGTGATGCGTAGACCAGGATCTTGCCCCCCGTGCCCAAAAGCCAGAACTTGAACGCGGACTCGGAGATTAGTCTGTGCATGTATCCGGTCATGACGATTTGGTGCTTCTCCTTCTCCCAAATTTCGCCGTTCAAGTCCTTTACCATTCTTGTTCTGTAATACTTTTGCATCAAGTAGGGGTCTGTTCTAAACCGCCACAGCGCGGCCTGAAAGTCGCGATGGCTACCCATGAGCCCCGCCCTCTTGAACATAATGAAATGCTCCACTCTGGGGTAGTCAATGCCACGATGACGACCGTTCGCCATTTCATGAATTGAAGCATACCACATTGGGCTTAGCCGGCCATTTTTTCTGTCAAGCGTTTCATTGAAAAAGATGTAGTTTTCGGCGGCGGATCAGCATATATTCGACTTCGTGGAATAGCCGGAATTAGTGAATTGTTCTCTCGTGGAGCTGCCTTCAGTTTAGCCTTTCCACCGCTGTGGCTGGCAGCGCCGACAGTGGAAATTAATGCCGTAGACTCGGGGATCGTGTTCGTTTGATAGCCTCGAGACTTCGTTCCAGTGACGACCTCAAGGGTATCGGTATGCTGGTCTCCTCGATGCGCAGCTCTCCCGTCCAGGGATTGGTCTTTCATTCCGTGGACTTTAGTGACACCCTGGACCTGAGACTCCCGCGATTCGCAGCTGCTTCGCGGTTTGTGATGTCTGCTCTGGCATCAGCTGCAAGAGTCGAGATCACTTTCGTCTCAAGAGAGCCCAACGGTCCCTTGCGTCTCTTCGCCTCGTGTTCGGGATCCTGGGCACGTCGCTTCTTAGAGATAATGGGAGGCTCCTCTCTGCGAACAGGCTCAACTGCGACGTGGAAATCTGTCTGCCTGCCGACAGTCACCATTGCATTGCCGTTGACCCGTTGGGCTTCGGTCGGAGCTTTTGGTACCTTGGTTTTGGGAATAGATGCCCGGACCGGCCCAGGCTGTGAAGTGTTCAGGAGGCGGTCGGAAGGATCAGGACCAACGGTCGCAGCCTTCTGCCGAGCCGTGTTGGTCTCTATGCTTTCAGGCTTGGTACCCGAGGCGCTTTTCTTGGGACCTGGGCATCTCCTGTCAGCTTCGGCTTTCGTTTACGAAACTGATCGAACTCTAAGGGGACTTGAGCAGTAAATACTTACCATGCGCGACTGACTGAAGCCTCTGTTTGTCTTGCGGTACAGCTGGGGCCGGTCTCGCTGACTTGGACATGTCGGAATTGGTAGCATGCAACTTGTTTGAAGACACCGAGGGAGCAGATCGTCCAGCTGTGGAAACAATCACGTTCGCCGCCACACCAGCCGTATTGTCTTGACGTCGCGATGAGTCGGGCTGGTCGGTGGATGATGAGATGGCCGGGGTGCGCTCGGGCGACTTTGTCTCATCTTTGCTAGGGCCTTCACAGAGGCAGGTTAGACTCGTGTGATCCCGAGTGGTTGGGGGCCTCACCATTGCCTTTGGATCTTACGGCATCAGCTGGACTAACGGAGTTTCCGCGCTCGGGGACGTCCGCATCCAGAGGTTTCAAGGAGCCGCAGGTTTGGCATCTGGTCGCCATGATGATGGGCTGCTCCTCGGCCTGGGGTTCGTCTGGCAGGGAAGCCATCGTCGGGTAGTGGCCTCGTGGGGAGGCTCGATGTCAATGACTGGCTCGAGCAACCGATTTATTGTGGAAGATGTTTTCGTGGGAGATGAATCAAGTCGGGAGGAGCCTGGATATTTATTACCCTCCCTTAGGAAGATCTTGCTAAGCTGCAAGGCCGGAAGGTATTGCCAAAGCTGCACACATCAATACTTAGCCAACTTCGACACCGCAGGTTCGCCGCCACCGCGACACAAGGGATCCCATGTTACTACTGCTACCACTGAGTATCGGTAGCCATCGAAATCAGATACATCACGTCCCTTCGAGACAGGTTCTGACAGCGAAGTCCAGTCCGTGATTCTACCTACCGCTTGTTGAAGCTCAATGCTCGTGGCAATTCACGAGGTCGGGGTGATATTCATGTATCAAGGATTCATTGAGACTTGTTCATCGACACGGCGCGTGGCAGAGCAAGCTGAGGGCGTCACCGAGGAGACTACGGCGCGTTTCACACGAGAGAAGCGCCGCCAGGGGGGGTTGGCTAGCAAGGCAACCGACAGAAGCGCCAGAAAGTCAGACTGAGTGACTGTTCCCCTTGCACGAGAACCTCGTCGTCACCAGAAGGGACCCTGTCACCGCCGCACTGAATGACTAGTCCATCATGCGTGAGAACGCTGAAGTATGAAGGCGAAAGCAAGTGTGAACTGTTAATTCTAATTGGATCAGATATCAACGCCCGCTCAACCTCTTCTCTATCATGCGGAAGGGCAAGTACAGCACAGCCGTCACGACGAAAGCCATTTCAAAGCCGATATCCCCCGTATGTTCGGCTATAGGCCCCGTGAACCAGACCTGTGACATGGACGGGACAACCAGGGCGAACGAGAGCGCACTAGCGCCGAGAGCAGCAACACCCCAAGGCAACCTTGCCGCGTCGTTCCAGTGGTCGTGATGGTAGGTGTGGTACAGCCCCTTTCGAAACACGACATGTTCCGTGATCAGGATCGATACAAACGCCGCCGACCAATACCCAATGAGCGAGATGAAGTTCTCGAGGCTGTTGAAAAAGTCGGCTGCTGCCTTGATGCTGACGGGTATGACAATGGCCGTGACGACGATGGAATACACATAGCGGGGCACCACGACGAGCTGCGGGATCAGGATCTGGAAGTTCAGCGTGATCGAGTACATGGTGGCCGCGATATTGCCCAGCATTGTAAAGGCCAGGACAACGACCACAAACTTGCCGAAACCGCCAGCAGGGGAGGCCATGCTCGCGAGGATGCCACCGACTGCATTCGTTTCGTACGCTTCTCCCCACGCGGGCACGCTACTGATGGCGCCTCCGATGGCGGCCCCCAGCGCCATTAGCAGCTGCAACAATCATCATCAGCGACAGGTGACCCAACAGGAGCTCGGATTGAATTTGAACATGGAGCGTCTGAAGACCACGTGGGGTCTTGCTTGCGATTAAAGGAGTTACTTACCACGGACGGAAATATCAATCCCGCAAAGCCATACAAAAACAGCCTCCAGGAAGGAAACTGGGGATTCAAATATGTGGTAAAGTCGGAAGCAAGAGCGGCATAGGGGATCATGTACGAAGCTATAATCATGCCGAAGCTCAGCACTGCCCCTGCGGTCGCGGGTTCCGTCGGTGCTTGTTGATGCAAATGAGAGCCACCACATCCAGTGACAATGACAATGGCGACCACGGCGGGGAGCCAGGCCCATCGCTCGTAATGATGCAGGACGTCGTACCCGCAGAAAGAAATGAGAAGGGACAGGATCCCAACTATGACTATGCCGACTGCGGGCGTGAGCGACCCCCCAGCAACAGCCGACAGACATTGGCCGCCAACAACGCAGATGATGACACAGAAACCCGTGAGTGTTGCCAGGTTCAGTATGACGGGGACCGACACCAGGTAGCGTCCGAATGAATACCTGGCCTGGATCATCTGACGAAGGCCGGTCTTGGGGCCGAGGGTTCCAAGGTAGGCCGGTATGGCTGCGGTCAGGAGGCAAAAGAACAGGATAACAAGTGCGCAGTCCCTAAGACTCAACCCATAACTTGAACTGCCGAGCATGCCAAATGTGATGCTAGGGCACTTGTCAGCAAACGCAGGTCGTGCCATATAATGATAGTCGACGACTCACGGCAGAAGATTGATGTTCATGCAGGCCCAGATGGAAAAGTAGCTGGAATATCTGGTTGAACTCCGTTCTTCGAGAGGAACTGGCAAGACACCTCGTTCCTCGATGGGACCAGCTGATATGAGCCTGAGCATGAGCGCTCTCGCACTCCTCAACTTCCCAGCTTTGGCCCTGGAGACACCACTGCTCCCGGCCATCTTCTCGACGTCGGTGGTGGCGCTGACCATGGTCGGTTCATGTACGCCATCTTGAGGATGCTGCATGGCGGCGACGGCCCGAAGAATCGGGGGAGCTGGGCGAGGACTGAGACCAGACTCGGGATGAGTAACGACGACCAAAGCGTCAAGATGCCAGCGAGCACCCGTCCGGTAACACCTCGATCGGGGTCGTTGCAGCGATTGATGCCGATGAGGTGCTTCCTTGTGTGATGGTTAACTCTTCCCGAGGTACTTTACTCTGTAGCCGAAAGTAAGTTTGTTCGCAACTTGTTCCTGTATTCACCTCAAAACTTTGAAATATCGGATGGAGTTATCGCAATGGGGGGAGGGGTCTTTTCCCCACGACACGCCCAATGACCCAACGCCATGGATACCCGTGACGCCACCACAGAGTTTTCCGACATGGGAGTTCTAGACTGGACTCTGCGGAACTTTCACTCACAGTGTGAAGAAGGAACACGCGATGCCCGATTGGGGATTAGCCCCGGTTCATGCGCCTATAGAAACCCTGGAAGAGCCAAAGACACAGTAAGTACTATTGAGTAATACTGTATCACCAAGTACCGGGTGTCCTAGTGGTCGAACTATCGGATGCAACTGCCAAACTGCCACTGCATGTGGGCACCCGACGCCCGTCACCCGTCACATCCGATCTGCCGGGTTACGTCCGTCAGTGATTCGCCCGCTGCTGCCATCCGTTATCATCCCGACTCATCGTGAACCCGTCTTGGCTCCTTATCTGATATATGACCTTGACATCCATGACTGCGCGGTTCCATGCAGCCACGCCGGAAGCAGTCGATTTGGTGTTTTATTCAAGTGAATTGAGCTTGAATCACATCGCTTGAGGAAGAAGCATGAAAATATCAACCTGGGCAAAACACCTCATGTAGGTACTTACGGCATCGTAAGCACCGCAAGTTTGGATATAAGATGATGGAGTTCGTCTGTGATCAAGACTTGGGCCAGCCTGCTTTCAGATGCTCTATCGCTTCCTGCTCACTCACGACGTCGGCATACTTTGCATTGAGGTCAAATAGATTGGCGTTCTGGATCTCGTCACTTCGGTCGCCACACGCCGAACCAACAACCTGCGACCATGGCGACCATGTTAGCAACGCGGAAGATAAAGTCCAAGTAACAGGTAAACATACCATGGGACGGTAGCCGCACTGCATCGCGTCCAGCGTGCTCGCCCTCACACACCCCGAAGTCGAAACCCCACACACCACCACCGTATCCGCCCCCATAACCCTCAAGTCCGTCGCCAACGACGTCCCAAAGAAAGCCGACGCATACTTCTTCTTAATCACCATCTCGCCCTTCTCCGGCACCAGCCCCTCGACCCAATCGCTCAACCCTCGCGTGCCAGCGACATTCCATATGTTGAGCGCCTTGGCCTTGAGCCAGAACAGTCCCGCGTCCTTCATGTCGGGGTCCGTGTACTCGACCGCCGTCCACACGACCGGCGTGCCGGTTGCGCGGGCCGCGGTCAGCATGTCGCGCATGACCTGCGGGCACTTTGTCGTCGGCGCGTGCGCTGAGCAGTCTAGTGGCGAGCCGGGCGTCCAGTATGCTTTGCAGACGTCGATTAGAAGTAGGACCGGCCGCTGTCCCCATCCCATGCGGTTCGCGAACCCGCTTTTGGCGTACGAGGCCGCATCGCCGTGGCCCTGGAATGCTGTCGACATGATTCACTCGATGTTTGACGGTGGCTTGGAGGATAATGCACCTCGGGAATCTCAGAAGAAGCTCGAGAGTCGGTGCTAGCCAGTAGTGCGTCACTATCATGAACCTTCGGCCCAGACCCTGCGTGTGTCCGATCGCATATCCGGTTCCCGGTCTTGCTACCGAGCGAGCTCTCCGATCTCGGCGGAGCATTGGCCGGCATCTTGCTTCCGGCGACGGGTGCGCTCTCCATGTCAAATGACATTGTCGAAACCCGACGGTGTGAGAGAGCAACAAATTCCATCAAAAGGAACATGGTCCCTCAAAAGTGTCTGTACACTACCAGCTATAGGCGATCAAGGGAATTGATAGTTAGTGGAAGAAGCATTGGAAGTAGCTTACTGAAATGCAGTTGCTGGTTCCAGAGTGCTTATTGCGGCACAACCAACACCTAAGGCTCTTGATTGACATGCGCGGACGGAGATTCACAAGGGGCGACTATGTTATATCGATATTGACGCCCATCTTTCTACTACGGAAAAGGGGGTGTTGTCTGACACCGGTATATAAGCTACATCATGAGGTATGTCCGCTACATCAGTGTGAAACTCTTAAAGCGTCGCATTCAGCAAGGCTGCTTCATCGTCCCAGAGGATACACCTCTTTTCGAGTAGGATCCCCGCGCATAGGCGCCGCCAAAGCAACTATCAAGTCAGAACACCGATGGTAGGCCTGTGTAAAGAGGTGAGGTGTTTTAATGCTTTTGTGAGACGCTCGAGTACACTGCGGGCGGCAGACCCGGTCACCTTGAGTCGAGAAATTTCACACCGACAAACAATTCCCATCCGCGGGACCACCCTGCATCGTTTCCCGCGTTATCATGCCGATAATAGGTCGTGGTCTTCGCGGCAGAAAGGTTATCGGGCTTGCAACTACTACCTGGCCACTGGGATAAAGTGCAAAGGGGCACCCAATGTCGGCGTCTAGGTACCCCTTTTTCATGGTCTTGGATCGATTCTATGAGTCCATCTTATGAGCTTACTCGCAAAGAGAGCAGCTAAATCCGACGAACTTCCAAGAGGTCTTTTGGTGAGTTGGTTGTCTTGCCAACTAGGAGCCTTTCAGACTTCCAGGACCTCCAAAGTAATCAGCGTAACTGCTCGCGGGTCTGGCTTGATAACAGATTTCTACGCAGTGAAGTAATCCCGGGCCTTGTCCGTACCGTCGCAGATGGACAATGGTGTCACTCACAACCTTCTCGAGTACATCCTCGTAGCGGTTGGCGGACGAGCCCCAACGTAATAGGGGTTGGAGTTCATGACACCTGGCGGGCTAGCTGCTACCTGTATGATATCGGAGCCGGATGCCATCGACAAAACCAGGCTATCGGTGGAATCCAGTGACGACCGAACCATGGTCCTCGTCGACTTCAAGGTCGCTGAGAGCATATTAGTGTCGAGTTGAGATAGGGGTTCCAGCACGGGCGAAGCTAGTTAGGGGTCGTAGCCTCGACGGCCTGGCCATTGACTGCCCATTTACCAAAACTTGAATCTCGAGTATGTGAGCGAGTGAATTATACATTCACTCGCGATACTGAGCCCCCCACTGAATCTTCGTTGAAGGATAAACTCTCTGCTTGAGACTCATGGACCACTCAGCTCCGAGACGTTGATTGCCGCTGAGACCGGGTTGAGTGATTGTGTTTGACAGCCGGTGAATTTCCGCAGATTCCATGAGGCTTATATGCAGAGTTCTGGTTCGGCAGGAAGATGGAGGCCCCGTGCTGGAGCAAGCACATTCATCCACCTGGCACCTCCGAGCCCCTTCTCACCAACCGTTGATCCGACTTCGAAGGCGGATTTGCAATGGAGACATCAGCATCATGGTGTTCAAACGAAATATGCTTTCTCTAACCCGTGGCGAAGCAGGCAACGAGGTGGTTAGAGTTTCATGGTCGATTACGTCCGGAGACTGCAAGAGTAAGTAGTCAACGCTGTCGCCATCCTTAGCTCAAGACTTTCCACCTTCGCATCATCGCATGTCCGCCATCGCGTCGACGTTTTGCCAACTTCATGGCCTCACTAATGTCCGGACGGTAATTGGGCAATGCGACCTCGTTGGTCTCGAATGGGAAATCCACCTCCGATCTGTACCGGAGTCAATCTCATCTCAGGGTTAACCCTGCTGTTTTTCCAGCACCCCGCGCGGGCAAGGTGCGCTAACTGACCAGGTTGTGGTGGTCGGAAGTGACCCGGTGCTGATCATCACCAATGCCGGGCTTCGCCGGGCGGGCCTGCAACCCCATGCCATCACCTTCCCCAGTTTAGATTGCCCGGTTGGCCGTTCGCCTTGCGGGGATGAAGACCGTGAAATGAGCGCTGTCAGTGCGGCGGTGAGATATATGAGCATCCTGATTCCTATCACCTCTGGATGTCAGGGGCTCATCATGTCCTTCCCTCTACGTGGTAGTTCCCGAAACTCGTGCTGAACCATGTGGAAGTCTCTGAGCACGTTGGCCCTGGCCGGTGGCCTGTTGCAACGATGTCAAGCATCCTATGTCACTTCGATGTCGCTGAACGCCCAGCAGCTCTTCAATGAGTCGATGAGCTGGATGGACGGGTGGTACGACCGCGACGCGGGCTACCTGTACGATGTGGATGGGGGTGCGGCACTCCGTCATGAGACACGTAGTTCGGTCTGGTACGCGTTGGGACTTCTGGCTCGGAACCGAGATAGTGATGTCCTGGAGGCGGAAAAGATCATCACGAACGTGTTTGGATCCCAGTTTACGAACGTGTCGCAGCAATGGTACGTGGTGCCCGGGTGGCCGAAGCTGCATTGTGTCGCTGACTTTAATGCAGGTTCGCCGACTATCAAGTTTACCCCGAACAGCCCATGGTTGGTGATGCTGCCTATCCGCCGGTGATATATAACAGCTGGGATCCAAACTGGCGTGGTTTCATCGGCACGACGCTTGTTATGATGATGGAGGAATACTCCGACCTCCTGAGCAATGCTACGCAGGGACTCATCCTCAAATCTTTGGCCGCGGCGACGGTTGGTGACAGCTATCGCGTCGGAGGCGTAGATGACGACAACCTCTATCCATCTTACAGCAATCCGGTCAGTTCAAGTGGAGACATGGCCAGGTTGCTGTTTCTAGCTAACCTCGATTCTAGGCGATCATGCGTGCTTTTGTCAGTGGCTGGACAGGTCGTCGAATCAACGACGCCAACATGACGACCTCTGGTGAAAATTACGCAAAGGAGATCATCGACCTCTTTACTAGAGCGAACACTCTCAGTGAGTTCAACTCGGGCACTTATACTGGAGTATCTCTGTTCGGGCTGAGCCTATGGTCGAAATATTTACCTGATGACTCCATCATGTCTGAATATGGGCCGAAGATGCTGCAAGGCACTTGGTCAGCCGTTGCCCAGCTCTGGCATCCTGGCATGAAGAATATGGCGGGTCCTTGGGATCGAGCTTACGGCTATGACATGAACCGATATGTGTCTGTAATGGCACTATGGTTCTCGGCCCTGATTGGCAAGGACAAGTCCTCTTTGATCTCGAAGGTAAGGCTTCCTATGGACCCCTTTGCTCTAGATTGGCAGCTGACCATCTCTCCATCTAGCCTCAAGTAATGTCACACGCTGCGGACTACGCATGGGGCCCTCTCATAGCTGTTTTGGCAGACTTTCAGGCTTCGCTTCTGCCTGAAGGCACTCTGATGAATTTGACGGCGTTCAGCGGCGAGCACGTGTTCGAGGCACAGGCATACTACCCACCGTACGACAAGGTACCCAGGAACATCACGACCTGGCTTTCACAGAACCTCACGATTGGTGCCGAGTCGTTCGATGAGACCGAGGTAGGCGGCCCAAGTGAGTCACAGGAAAGCTTCAACCCTGCTGTGGTGCAGTGGACAACAGGCGATGACATCGCGTTCATCTCGGTACGTTCTATCTACCTGTTGTCTGCAGTTTTTCAGCTAACAAGAGGCAGCTCTGGCCGACGGAGACGGCGTTAGATGTGGATGTGTCTGCGGGAAAGCTCAACTTGACCTATCCAAACGGCAACTCGTCGTCTGTCTTCACACTCGTCGTCTCGACATTCACCAAGATGAGGACGCTCACCGGGTGGGACGGAGTTCAGGGTCTCGACGTCAACGTCTCAGGCAACGCCAATACGAGTTACAGCCTGTCGTTTGGGGGCGAGTATGGAGGGTCGAGCTCGACGATTCGGGACTTTGAGATATGGAACTTTACGTATTCTATGGATGATGACTTTGTTGGGACGCCTAACCTATGCCTGGAATTGAAGCTGTGGGAATAACAACATGTACGGTCGGAACGACACGGAACGACTTGAATGAGGCCAAAACGCGCCAGGAGGCCCGTGGCTGGGCAGACCCAGATTCCTGGCGAAGGAATCGCATAGATATGGAACAAGACTTCAATAGCCTCATCATAATGCACGCCAGACCATGAAGACATATTTCGGTTTCCTAAGCGAAGGGCCAGATGATTAATGAAGGCTATTTCGGGCTTAACCCCCTGACCTGGCTCGGAATCAATCCGCCACCAAGGCCACCCGGGCCACCCGAGGGCCGAGTCACTAGATACGGGCCTTCGTAAACGAGCAAGAAACCCGTGATACATTTCTCTCTCTTAAATGCCTGCGTTGTGGAATGCGCGAGACGCCAACTGCTTCGTTCTCGTTTGGGGGGCTTGACACGCACTAATCCCAATTAGGCGGCGCAGCATAAGCAACCTGCAGGCGCCGACCAGGGGGAGGTGCCAAAGGTGGTCAATGAGACCACCACCATGGAGGAACAATCCCGCCGAGTCGTTAGAATCGCGGCCACTTACACAGGTAGACGAAGCAGATGAGGCATGGACGTCCGGGATCCCTCAACGCGAGGTAGCGGTTTCCACGCTGCAGAATGGGTTATAAAGACCAGTCGCCAGGTCTTGGAGCCTGGCAGCTACACTCCTCAGATATTCACAACTCAGACCCTTCCTGACTCACATAGCAGCACACCCTTTCTGTTACCGAAAACACCTTAACTTGAACTTCCAATCGTCTACGCAGAAATGGTGAAGGTCAACTTCAACCCAGAGACCGAGATCCCTAGTCTTCAGGGCAAGGTATTCCTTATCACAGGCGGTAAGGACTCTCCTGCATCATATACTCGCTCCCTTCACACAACTGACACGACAACAGGAACCGCCGGGCTCGGGAAAGAGACGCTGAAGGAGCTAGCCAAGCACAAGCCCGCCCATCTCTACTTCACCGGCCGCAACCAGAAGAGCGCCGACGCCATCATCTCGGAACTGAAGGCCATCGACGCCTCGGTCGGCATGACCTTCCTGGAGTGCGACTTCGGCTCCCGCGCATCCATAGTCAAGGCCGCAGAGAGATTCCACAGCGATCGTCTGGATGTGTTCATTGCCTCGGCTGGCCTGATGGCCGTGCCGGCGGAGACTACGGTCGACGGATACGAGATCCAGTTTGGGACGAGTCACAGTGTGTCCTGCCTCCCTTTGGCCTTTCATCAATGAGCACGAGTCGCTGACTTTTGATGTGTTCAGTGGGAAACTTTACGCTTCTGGCCCTGATGCTGCCGATCATGCTTCGTACGGCGAAGCAGCCAGATCCCGACGTGCGATATGTCGCCCTCACCTCTCTGGGTTATGGGCTCCATCCCAAAGGCGGCATCATATTCGATACGCTCAAGTCGAAGCAGGAAGATAGGAATACGTGGGTTCGATACGGACAGGTCAGTTGCGCAGTCCTTCATCATGTCACGGTGTTGGCCCTGACACCATGCTTCATACCCCCCAAATCTTGACTCTAGAACTTGGTCTCCCATATTGAACCATGGCAACTCCCCAATGACACATAGAGGCTAACCCGCAGCCGTCCAACAGTCCAAGCTAGCCAACATCCTCACAACCAAAGAGCTAGCCCGCCGCCACCCAACCATCACCAGCGTAGTCCTGCACCCAGGCACCGTCAAGACGGGTCTAGTCGACAACCTGTCGTTCGCAAACCGTATGATCGTCTACGTCACCAACCCGCAGGGCCTGATGACGCCCGAGCAGGGCGCGTGCAACATGCTGTGGGCGTCGACGACGCGGAAGGAGAACCTGAAGCCCGGGCAGTTCTATACGCCTGTGGGGCAGGCTGCCAGTCTGATGAGAGAGGGGGAGAACATGGAGCTGGCGAGGCGCTTGTGGGAGTGGAGTGAGAAGGAGATTGCTGGGCTGAAACTTGGATGATCGGATACAGAGACAATGACTTAGACCTAGGCCCAGAGAGGGGTTCGGCTTTCGACGTCTACTACACGACGAACACGGCTTGGGCTCCAGATTCTAGTCACATGGGGGATGAGACCATGTCGGAGCCGTTCATCCAGCACACGACGCAATGTATGTGACTTCATTAGGCACTTGCCTCGCCGCAACACGCAGTGGTCTCTCGAGGTTCATCAATATACACAGGGAACTCTCCTTTACCCCTTGCGGATCCCCGTTTCCAGCATTCAAACCGGTATGGAACTGTTGAACGCGATGCAGGGCCCGTAAAAGGACACCGTAAGTGAAGCCGTCGTGTTCACCGCTGCCTGACCCAACGCCGAGGTTCCGCACTTGAGGCCCAGCACGAATGCTCCTGCCATCATGTTTGCGCCGGCTGGCGATGTGTGGGTGTCTGAGGTCGCATGGTTAGTGACACTATTCTCATGAGGTGGTCGACTTCGGAGCTCGATCTGAACGCATGACCTGCTTCTCGAAAAGGGCAAAACGGGCATGTTGGGCAAGAAGTATCGATGGAAGAGTGGACTTACGGTCAATGGGGTAGTAGGTATCCACGGTTGTAACGCCCAAGTTCGTCATAACTTGCGCTGTAGGAGTAGATGGTCAGTACATGATGGGGTCATGGTAATTTCGGGCAGAAGCAAGCCCAGTCCAGACAAGCCTCGAATACGGGCAAAATGATGACCTGAACTCTTGAGAAGGACCTGTCGGTTAGGGTGTACATACCAGCATACTCGCCATGGGCCACGTGATAGACACCAGCCGTCGTGCCACCCAACTGAGATGCCGCGAACCTGGGGTAACTGGTCAGGGACGTCCTTTCCGTTCACCGTATCCTTGTTGCTTTGCTTACCATGCGTAATAGTCAAATCTCGAAGGCCCCCTGGTATCATTCACATGTCAGTAACTCTACTGTGCTCTCTGAATTTCTCGATGATTTCCAAGAGCGACGACAGGTGGGACGGGAACAAGCCAAAGAGGTGGGAGTCTAGAAGGCAGGTCGGTAGGTGTGCCGCAGGGAAAACTTCTCCATGATCACAACGCCAATAAAAATCGGTATACGAACCAACTGCAAGTTCCACTTTCGCAGATGTTGTTCGGTGTAGCCGAACTCAGAATCACCTTCGCGCCCTTGGCGAGGAACAAACTGGCGGCGTTCTTGTAATACGCAGGGTACGTCAAAACCGTTTCCGCGACCCCATCGTACGTCTGCATACATGCCGTCAGTAACACACGTCCACAGGCTTGACGAATCAAGGGAGAGCTCATTCACCGTCGCGCAAGTCTGAGTTCCGTCCCCATAGCAATCAGTCCGCCCATTGTCAGTTGGCGTCAGCGAGCCCCCGTCGTTGTGTCTAAACTCGACGACGACCCAGTCCCCTGCCTGGACGACATCTGCGATGGCCTGGAACCGTCCTTCTCTGGTGAACGAGCGTGCAGACCTGCCTCCAATCGCGGCATTGCTGACGACGTAGCTGTCTGGAAAACTGTACTGAAGGAACTGGCCCCAGCCTTCGGTTCCCGAGCCGCCTCCGTCCTTCGCCATGGTGGAGTCGCCGACCAGATGGACGGTCACCCCTGCCTGCACGCTTCCTAGAAGCTGCAGCAGGCACAATGGCAAGTAGAACTGCGTGGAGAGCTGCATCTTGAATAGCTGAGAGATCTACGACAGCAGGCTAGGAAATATTAGATATTTACAAGGGAGATCGACAGTGATATATACATATATCTCCCAGGTTTCCCCCGGAAACTGGTAAACCTTGGTATTCCGATCACCTTCAGATGCATAGCCGAAGCCATATACTATGCCACCCGCCCACCGCGCTGTCTATTCCGATGACTGGACCACTGGTTCCTGTCCTGCCTCTTGCAGACATGAAAGCACTCAAGGGACATCTCGTATAGTGCCCATGTCAGGAACAGCAGGGCGCCAGCCCACGCTACCATTTAAGCATATGCCGAACCGTTCCGGGCACCGGAAAGTCCCATTGGAGGCGTTTCGAATGTCCCACCAGTGGCATCGCAGAAGCGAAGATTCACACCGGGACCAGAGCCTCCGCAGAGAATACCACACAGATCTCGGATAGCTGCGGGAACGGGCAGTACGCAGAGATCATGCAGGCCGGGGCATTTGTGATATGCCGCCAATTGTCGTTGGATCGGTGACGATCTGCCTTCCTGCTTTATACCTGGTCAGCGAACGTCACAAACAGCTGTAAGGATGTACGGTCTGGTAGCGAGACGAAGAGCCGCTGCCATTCCGTGTTACGAGCGACGAGATCCGCGGACCAGTCAGGTTAGGGAACAATTTGTATCCGGAAAGTTCTTCTCTCAATACAGACAAACTTGCAAAATTGTGCAGCCTCAAGCCGAACGCTTTATCAAGTAGCCGTTGGGTTCAGGGCCATTGCAGTCCAAGAATTGCAGTTATAAGAATCGGAGCAGACTAAGGTAGGTTCAGATCCCGGGATATCGCAAGGGATACGACATGAAAATGGAAGAAACAAGTGGAGTTCGTATGTGGGGAGACTTCATTGCCTCGACAGGTCGAGATGTTGTACATTTATTGGTGGTAAGAACAAGCCTAGTATCCAACGTCATCTTGCCTCTGCTTGATCGACATGTCCACAGCTCTATGCCAGTGTCGTATGCGCGCGCGTTGAGCTTGCTCGTACTCGGGCATCTCCATGATGGCCCTACCAAATTGGCTAGGGCTCTTCGCCCCGGCCAGCTCGTGGACACTCAAGTCGACCTGGTTCAAGATGGATGCGGTCTGCGCGTCGAAATACAGCCCGCAATGTCGCATCTCCTCCAGCAGGTCGAGCATGCCTGACAGGTCGCCACGGCGATTCCAGTAGATCTCGAGCAATTCGTTGTAGAACGGCGTAGACACGCCCAGTACATAAGACTCCAAGCCCAGCTCCTTGATACGCGGCAAGATGGAGAACACAAACGGCGACGAGGCGTGAAATGCGGTATCGAGCCGACGAAGAGCCAGTAGAAGGTATGCGGGATAGAGCGGACCGTGGATGTAGAAGTTCAATTTGCTGGGATCAGTGTCGTCCGATTCTGCGATCGTCTCTGAGGCTTCCGCGATTCCAGATGCATCAGCCGCATCGTCGTGTATCGCAGCCTTGACCTTCTTAGGCTTCTTCTTCGATTGCTTCTTGAGCTGCCTCTTGGAGAGTGTCTCAGCTTGCTCCTGGTCGGGAGTCGACACGCTCTTGGCAATACCCAATCTAGCCGGCATGATGAAGACCTCCTTCTCCAGGATATCCCACAGTTCAAAGTCAGTCTGGGCGCCGGTGATCAAACCCTCAATTCGATTTCTTTCGGGGTATCTCTTGGCCTCGACTTCCAGACTGCGGCCAAAGGTGTGGGCGGGCTCCTCCCAGCCCTCGTCAGCCAAGCCATCCTCCTCCCGTGTTTTAGCCTCGTGTGGGTGCATGGCTGGGGCCTGGTGCTCGATGGTATCGAGTGCCTTGCGCGCGGCGGCTCGAAGGCCGGCGGGGAAGCGCAGGAGGGCTTTGTTGCGATCCCTGGCAGCTCCGGCGAGGAGGCCGGGGGCAGTGACGGTGGCAGGGCGGGATTGGCCGGCGTCGTGGGCTGCCTGCTGCATGATGAGCATGGCTGATCGCGCAGCGACAGGTGACGGCTCGGCGACGCCCTCCTGCAGGGTTGGCTTGAGGCCGCGGGCCTTGATGTCAGCGAAGATGCGCGCAAAGACCTGTCGCTCCGACGGGGTAATGGTCCCCCGGCCAGTGGTCCCAGTGGTCTCTGAGGGAGTGGTTTCCTCGCCCTCGATGGGTATGTCCTCCCCGGGCACGTCGGTGGCGAAGGGTATGTCATTCCCTGCTCTTAACCTGCACGTCGCATGCAGTGAGCGCGCAAGGCTGGTAGGGGCTCGAGGAGACACTCGCAGGATGGTTCTCGTCTGGTAGAGGAAGGGCAGCAGCGTAGAAGACATGGCGATGGGACTATGACGGATGGGTATCGTACGGAACATGCGTGAAGAAGACCAATTATGTAGACGATGTATCCAGGGCACAAGAGACAATTTAAAGAAATACGTGGGAAAAGGTAGGCGCAAAGGAGAGGCTATGAATCGTGTTGGCGATGCAGAGACGAAGACGCGAAATTTCAACGAGAGCTCCAGGGTAGGTACGTACCTGTAGATAGTGTCTTATCGATAATGGATCTTAACTGATCACCCCCTGGCTTCCCGAGGCATCCTCTTTAGCGTGATTGTGATGCCTGCAAGTTGCAAGTCGCGTCGGCGACTGGCTTTCGCGTTAATTGACTTCGTTATCGTCATTTTCCATTTTCCCCCGTCGCGATACCAGGTGGCGTGGGTACTGCCACATTCTCATCATAATCTTTCTTGAACGATTCCCGAGGCGAGTACCCCTATCTCAACATCGCCCTCGATATCTCATCACACGCGCTTCTCTGCACCTTCTTTGGCGTTTCTTGCGACACCTGTGTACAGTGTCGCATACAATCGCGGAAGCAAGGTGCAACGCCCGTTCGCTTGTCGCCGTCATCACCCGCCATCCTCTCGTGTGCATTGGAACATTCCGAACCCAGACTCAACACCACCAACTATCACCACCTTGAACACTCCCCACCCCCCACTCCATCACTGGCAACGGCGCAAGCTGGCTCGTGAGCCCATCTTCTCGTTGTTGTTTTTTTGCCAGCTCAACGTCACATCTTGGTGTTATAAATCATGGCTCCCGAACTCAGCGCCTTCGAGGCCCGCAGGAGAGCCAATGTTGCGAGTAATGCCAAGCTCTTGAAGGACACGGCGGAAGTGGCTGCGAATATGCGTAGGGCCGCAGCTCCAGCTCCCAGGCCCGCCGCCGCCACCACCACCCCAAGGAAGAGGAAGGCGACTGAGCCATCACCGCGAACCCGTGTCATGCCTACTCGACAGACCCGACAAAGTGCGCGGCTCTCTGGCGCAGATTCCGAGTCCAATGGTACCCCTACAAAACTCGAGGACATCCCGCTCGAATTGCGTCCACGCGAGTCGAAACGGGCTCGGACGGCTGGCGATCTTGTCTTATCGGATCTTCAAATCGAAGGTCAGAGATACTCAAGCACCGGCGCACTTGCAAATTTCGTTCAAGGGGCCCAGCCAGGAGTTCGAACGTTTACCGAAGATGATGTCAAGGATTCTTCTGATGAACAGTTGAAGACTTTGCGAAAGGGTATGGACGAGCTGAGTTTGTACGCCGGATGGCAACCGAACGGTAAGTCGTGGTGGGATGATTATCGGATGGCTTTGGGCCCTGTGGACTAACGATATGTCAGATATCAAACTCACCCCGGAGCGCATCTATGCTCTGACGTTTCACCCAATCAAGGAAAAACCAATTGTTATTGCCGGCGATAAGAAAGGGACTTTGGGCTTTTTTGATGGGTCACAGCAGACGCCAGACTACGACGATGACGATGAAGATGTCAGAATCCCGCTTCCCCAAATCGGCGCATTCGAAGTTCATACCAGAACGATATCCTCGATAAAGGTTCCTATCTTTGATTCCAATTCCGTAATCACATCATCTTATGACTCTTCAATCCGATGCTTGGACTTGCAGAAACAAGTTAGTAGCCAGATTTGGCAGCCAAGCGACGAGAGCGAGGATCTGGGGATCACTTGTCTCGACATATCCCAGGAGGCCAAGGACACCATCATCTTCTCCACCTTGGAAGGCGGGATCGGTCGAGTCGATCGACGCTCCAAGGAGAAGGCCGAGATTTGGGGTCTGACGGAGCAGAAGATTGGAGGATTCTCACTGCACCCGCTACTCCCTCATCTAGTCGCCACGGCCAGTCTCGATCGGACCTTGAAGATTTGGGACATGCGAAACATAAAGGGCAAGGGGGAGCTCCGGCACCCCTCACTTCTGGGGGAGCATCATTCGCGGCTCTCCGTCTCGCACGCGTCATGGAGCCGCGGTGGACACCTTGCCACGTCCTCCTACGATGACACCATCAAGGTCTTCGACATGTCGGGAGCTTCGAAGTGGAAGACCGGCCATGACATCTCTGAGGACGAAATGACACCCTCCCATACGATTCCTCACAATAATCAGACTGGCAGATGGGTCACAATCTTGAAGCCTCAATGGCAGGTCAATCCTTCGGATGGCGTGGACAAGTTCGCGATTGCCAACATGAATCGATTTGTCGACATTTATGACTATAACGGCAAGCAGCTGGGTCAGTTGGAAGGCGACGGGATCACTGCAGTTCCCGCTGTTGCCGAGTTCCACCCCACCCACAATTGGGTCGCGGGAGGTACTGGATCCGGAAAACTCGCCTTGTGGATGTAGAAGACTGGGATTGGCAGTACGACGCTGGTATTTTGAGATGAGAGGCTTGGTGCAGTACCCTGTAGATATATACCTAGGCATCCTGACGATACAGGCGTTTCTTGGCGTTGGATTAGTCTTCGGTAGTCAGTTGTTGGCGACACTGGGACTGTGGTTGAAAAAGGGAAAATTTGAATGATGTTTGAATAGTCACGAGCCTCGTAATCCTGTAGCATATGAGTTTGCCAATTGGAAGTTCGCTTTTGCATCGAGTTGAGCCGTCGACCATTGGGTCAGGAATCCTCGTTTCTGCCGTCGGTTCAGAAGCCGGCCCCACTCGGCAGCCGCCCCTGATCTGGACCCGGGATCCAGACCACTTCTCCGCACGGAAGTACCATTCGGTAAGAGGCTCTCGGGACGACGTGGTAAGTACCTTACACTACGATGAGCTACTTCTGACCGGTCGTGATTACTCAACATCGTCCTCGTATCTCACGCCTCGCGATGTCTAAAGAAACCCCTTTTCCGGGAGTCCCCGTCGTCACCGGCGCCGCAGGCAAAGGTAAGCCCGGAAGCTCTCATCCCTTTACTCTACACTGCCGCTTCTAAGCTCACTACGACCTACAGGCATCGGATCAGGGGTAGCGAGGGACTTCGCCGCAGCAACCCGCATCGCCAACACGGACTTCAACGCAGGTCTCCCCAACGCCGTCCGCGACGAGATCACCTCACCGCACCTCGCCGTGGAAGTGCGGGCCGTCTCCGGCGAAATCTCCGACTCAGCCTTCGTGACCTTCTTTGACGCCGTCGTAGCCGCGTTCCGCCGCATCGACTATGCCGTCAATGTGCCGGCGTGACGGGCTCGCATCAGCGCGTCACGGAGACCAGCCTCGATGATTTCGACCGAATTACTGGTGTCGATTACCGCGGTGTCTGGATGTGCTCGCGTTCTGAGTTGGCGGCTATGATTAAGCAGGAGCAACCCACGTCGCAGGCCGGGACTCGAGGGCGCGTAGTTGAGTCGGCTCGGCATCGTGGGGAACCCCAGAATTGTGAGCCGCCACGACAGAGGGCGCTCCCTTGTTTCATATGCTGATGAGATACCTGTAACTAGGTATATACTCCACGTCCAAAGCCACCCTCGACGGCCTGCGAGGACGAAGAGGCTAGGAATAGTCTTGAGCCGCGGATCCAGAAGTCGAATATAGGCCGTAACGTATTGGTCAGGTGAACGGACGGGGTTGCGCGTGTAGTACTCTTCTTGTGCTCCATGAGGGCGCCATTTGTGACAGGCCGTGCTTTAGTTTTCGATGGTGTTTTATGTTCTTACTTGAGATGCCTGCTGATGTCCAGGGTTCGGGCTACGTTGGTATTTCTTCTTGGCCAGAGTCGCAGTGTTGAAAGTGGCAGGTCGTCAGAATATGTTTTGCAGGGAATGCGTGCCGATCGGGGGGCTTCCCACCCAGGTTCTCTGAGCATACTTGCCGGGTACCTGTGCTCCTATGGGTTATTGTTTGAGCCGTTCGACGTGGGCATTGCCGGGGTCTGCAGTGTTGACGCACACTTCCAAGAGTATAGGAGCAAGTTCTGCCGGTAAAGCCACGAGCTTACGGGAATTGACAAGTATAGCAAAGCTATCGCTCTGCTCACGATTCCATACAGTTCTCAGACTGCAAGTTTTCTTATGTATTTGCCTGATACAGCAGCTCATCAGAATCTCCTCTTCCGGCTGCGCAATTCTCTTCACCACCCCCGTCTTATCGCCCCTTGATCCACAGAAGGTCACTTACATAATTTCCAGTCCGACCTAGGCAATTTGCGTCCTCGACACTTCATCTTCGGGACATACGGTGTCAACAGTACACCGTATTGTCTGGCCGCGTAAGGAGATGATCTAGATGGGATGTTGCCAAGGTCACGATGTTACCGCCGAGCTTTGGAATACAGCGGGATAACCGGGTCCCTTAGTCTGCTCAATGCTCTGCGTTGGCAGCAGTCCCCCTTTTGTGTTTCTCGCCCGGCGCACTGTCGGCAGGGTCTCCGCACATGTCCGGATGTCCGGCTGACTCATATTAGGAGCAGTACGGCATGGGAATCTGACATATGCACCCTCGGTGCGGGGATCCCGACAAGCCAGTTATTATTTCGGGAAGGTAAACGGTGGTGCCACAGCGACATCGGCATAGCTCGTAATCGGAATAGGCATCGGTGAGAGTGACGTGATCAGATTTTATTGTGGCATCGAGCCCTTCGGCGTGCGTATTGCTTCTGTACAGGAAAAGATCAGACGGCACGCTTCCATTCCACATCATGTCATATCCTACCGCCACCCAGATCTCCCTATCGGCCGCAGAAAACAAGGCAGCGAGTCCACACGTCGTCGTTGTTGGCGGCGGCATCGTCGGTGTCTCCATCGCGTGGCACCTCGCCCACGACACGAACGTCACCATCGTCGCCGAAGACATCGGCGGCACGGCGACGCCCAACTCGTTCGCCTGGATCAACGCCGCCTACGGAAATCCGGACTTCTACTACGAGTTTCGTCATCGCTCCATTCAGCGCTGGAAGCAGATTGGCGACGAGCTGCCCGGTCTGCCCATCCACTGGAGCGGATCGCTGAACTGGAATATGTCCCCAGAGGAGCTCGAAGATTACCAGAAGCAACATTCTTCGTGGGGTTACGATATTGTCCGCGTCGAGCAAACTGAAATCCGCGAGCGTGAGCCGGAGCTCGAGTTAGACAGCATTCCAGACTGGGGACTCTATGTTGCTGAGGAAGGGCAAATCGAGGCCCATATTGCAGCACGGCAAATGATATCCGATGCCGAGGCTAGAGGTGCTGAACTACTGAAGACCACTGTCACGGGCTTCCTCAAGCAGGATGGGCGCATCAGCGGAGTCATCACGGCCGCCGGAGAGGTGCAAGCGGACCACGTCGTCGTCGCGGCAGGCGTCGGCAGCGTGGCACTCCTGGCAACAGAGAATATCACACTACCAGTGACGGGCACCGCGGGCCTACTCATCAACACGAAACCGACATCGAAGAGATTGCTGAACGGCATAGTCAATGCAGAAGAGATACACCTCCGTCAAACGCTAGATGGCCGCATCCTTTCCGGCTCCGAGTTCTCGGGGGGCGATCCCGGCGACGATCCGCAGGCCACTGCGGATGCGCTCTTCGCCAAGCTGCAAAGCACGTTGACAGGGGGCGATGAGCTCGAGTTTAATTACTACACTGTCGGGTACAGACCAACGCCTGATGATGGCCTGCCGATACTGGGGCCGGCCGGTCTGGACGGGCTTACCGTTGCTGTTATGCACTCTGGGGTCTCGAACGCTGCGATTGTTGGTGAGCTGCTTAGCAAGCTGATACTCACCGGGGAGAGTGATACAGCTCTCGCCGACTTCCTGTTAAGCCGCTTCAATGAAAGAACTCGATAAGTAATCAAGATTCATAGCCACTCGCTAGGGAGGGGCCACGACTGACCAGAAGAGGTGTGTCACACGGTCCAATATTATATGCAAAGTATGCAACAGTCACGTAGCAGTTTGACCTAGAGAAGGGAGGAGTGTCATGATAGGATATGACCTTCACGACTTCTCACGAAGGGTGCACCTGAATGCTTAGGTACAATACATCAAGGTACATTACATCGTCCCAAACCGATAAACAATACCATATTAGCGCAGCTCAGGGCCGCAAGATAAGCATATCCATCATCATCCGACATTGATAATTGCAGGCCAAGTGCGCGCGCAGAGGACGAAGGCTTCTCCCCTTACACCACTGGCTCCCAACTGAACCCTGTCGTCCATGCCCAAAGACTCCTTATCAAGTATCTCAAACAGCTCCCACATCCGCAGCTGAAGCCGTCTGATGACTGGGTTCATCTTCAGGGCCTCCAAGGAGATCCCGTTCAAGGGCTTCCGCTGCATAACCGCGGATATCATCGACCCGGAGACGAATATCAGATGCCATCTTCTCAAGAGTTTTTCGCGTAAAAAGATGGTACTTTAGGTTAGGATATTTAACCCACAACTTCTCCATCTCGCGCAATCCCTTTCGGATCTCCATGGTCCACTTCTTGCTGTCGTCGAGAGACAAGTGCTTCATCGTAAGCTCGGTAGCTGCGATGCCATTCCCTTTGATAACATTCGTGTTGGCTGCCTCTCCGTTCGCCGATTCACCACTGTTCGTTCCCTTGGTGGAGCTCTCCCCATTAGCCTCGGTGTTGATGGCCTCCTCAGTTCTGTATCGGCCTCGCCAGTCCGATTCACCACTGCTCGTTCCCTCGGTGGAGTATCGTCCTCGCCAGATCGATTCACCACTGCTCATTCCCTTGATGGAGCTCTCCCCATTAGCCTCGGTGTTGATGGCCTCCTCAGTTCTGTGTCGTCCACGCCAGACCGATCTACCACTGTTGTATCGTCCACGCCAGTCCGATTCACCACTGTTGTATCGTCCACGCCAGTCCGATTCACCACTACTCGTTGCCTTGGTGGAGCTCTTCTCACTAGCCTCGGCGTTGATGGTCTCTTCAGTTCTGGCCTTTCCGCTGACCGATTCACTACTGCTCGTTCCGTCGTTGGAGCTCTTCTCACTAGCCTTGGTGTCGATGGCCTCCTCAGTTCTGGTCTTTCCGCCGACCGCTTTCTCAGTGCTTGTTTTGTCGGTGGACACTTCGCCGCCGGCCTTGTTGTTGATGGCCTCTTCAGTTCTGACCTTGCCATTGACATCCTCACCACCCATGGAGTTCTGGCTGATGGGATACCGCTCGCGTGCTAGGTGATGAACTTGACGATCCAGCCCACGAGCACTCTCGGTACCTGTGATCTCGGCGTGATGTGTTTCAGTGGTCGTGTTGGCATCCATCCCCCCCAACACGGAAAGCGGGGGCGTGTCGGGGTCACTATGATGCCCACCAGATTGGCCTATTCCTGGTGCAGCGCCTGAATGCCGACCATCGCGAGATCCGACAGAGACATTGGACCTAACGTCCACTCCTCCCATGGGTGCTCGCTGGTGTAAGTGATCAACAGCCGGGACAGGTGAGCAAGGAACAGTCTCATAATAGAGCTCGTATTGAATCTTGAGCCGGTCCCGCTCATTGCGATGCATCATCATGGAAATATGAGCTTTGAATGACTCGAGCGACACTCCGACCAGGTTCAGGCCACATCCAACATGAGAAGTCGGATCGAGGCCAGCCCACATCACCCACGCGGCACGCACTGCCGGGACATAGGTGTGCTGTGTGCCAGAGTTGTCCATAATGTTCCATTCTCTGCTATGGGCTTGTTGTGCGTGTGTTGAGACGCGCGTGATGAGGGCTTTGTAGAAAACGAGCTGCGGGTCGACCGTACCATTTCCCAGGTCGATGGTGCAGGCTTCGATCAGAGGGCACTGACACTGAACCCGGGCGGGAAAGCGGGGATGATCATGACTATATACTCATGTGAGCTGGTGCAAGCCAGGTAGGTAGGTTTCAAATGACGAAGGAGTGCCGTAAGGAAGATCGGTGGCTATAGACTCACTGGTACTCTATCAAGAAGACCATTTCTCCTCGGATCTGGTCAGGGTGGTGGATGAAAGGCATCACTGCTGATATCTCGATTGGCGCCCGAGATCTGTAAACCGCAGTGAGACAAAGTTGAGGGCGGTTGACGAAGATGCCAACGAAAGTTGTGCTGTTTTGAAGTATCAGAATCTAGGAGTAAGTCTGCGATCTTATACTTAGTCCGCTCGATGACGGCAAAGAGATGGCTGTTAAACTCTCCCTGTGGCTGTCAAAAGAACAGTCCTGTCGAATGCATGTGATGGAGAACGTGCTGGAAGAGAAACAGAATGCAGGACAGCGTCAAGCGATTCAAAACAAACAATCTTCTCTGGGGCGAAGGACGGCTCGTTTCTACTTACATGTAGGTAGGCCCGACATGTAAAAGGCGGGAAGAAGGTGTGTATCATGGGTTGCGGTGGTCTGAACGCTGAACGGCTCCCACCATTCCCATGGGAGGAGCACCTGTGACCTTCCAGGAACGGACGAGCGACATGTGCATAAAGTATGCTCTCGAGGCAGCAACATCTTGCCAGTGTGCCTTCGCCTTCTTAGTCTAGACAGAAGGCAGGCAGGCGGGATGCTCGTTCGCCAAACAAACCTAGGAAGTCTCATTTGATCGTGTGACGCATCGGCTTGAGCCTGTAGACGCCATCCGCGGTAAGGTTAAGGTGGATTGAGATGATTTATGGCGTTTTATTTTGATAGACTTAGCGTGCCGCACGGGGCTCTGCTTTTTGTTGTTTTCTGGGGTATTTGGGGTTGAACAGGCTGTTTGCTTCATTCACCTGTGGTTGTGGTCCTGTTCATAGATGTAGAACACTAAGCATTTGCGCCGTGTCGGGAGCGCCACGCCCATATCGCCGTCTCGAGTGTAGGCCACCCATCATTGCCATCATATGGAAAGGTAACCGTTTAGCGTTGGTGTGCGAGAGGTTGTGGGAGAAGATACGATCCTTACTGCACTGCGCAGGAAGCATGACCAAGCTTGGTACGACGACCAGGCCTGATACCATGTCGAGCAGAAAGGTAAGCCTGAGGCGGGCGTGGCTTCGCGTATTGAGGCGTGGCTTTGCATATTGAGGCGTGGCTTCGCATATTGAGCTTTGTCAATGTTCGCCAATCTACGCCTCACACTGCTGCATGTATCATGGCCATCGCTATGTGGCGCCTTCGGTGGCAGTCCCGTCACGTCGAGCGTTTCTTTGCCATGCAATGTTCTGTCTCATACACATGTATGCGGGTATACGTTACGGTCAATACATCTCATCATCGCTCATCTCTGCGCCTGCCTAGGGTTGGCAATCTCACCCTGCACCAGCCCGACCAGCGCTGCGTGTACGTAGGGCATATCGGTCGGCTGGAACGTGACTGACACTTCTGTCGTCACCGTTATGCCATTATTTCCTATACCGCGCATTTGTATTGGCGGATAGTGGCTACCATGCTGCCTGACGATGTACTCCTGACTATCCACACGGGACAGGCCTTTCTTCGAGAAGACGGAATCGAATGTGGACGTGGCCCAACCCTGCTGATGCTGCCGTTCGACTCGTTGTTGAATTGTGCGGCGGAACAGTGGTCGAAGCAGCGGGATCGAGGACACAATGATGACAACGTTGAGCTCGATGCTGAGCCATATCACGTATGGGCACAGGTCCCCTGGTTGACTATCAGCAGATGTGGTACGGAGAGGAAGCACGATCTTGCGAGGTCTTACAAGTATAGTCCAGCACCTCACTGAGAGCCCTCGCCTCGTATGTCTTCACGATCGAAGCTATCATCGCTCTGCAGAAAAGGTCAGCAAAGCCTTGGCGATAGGGTTCTTTGTTACCATACAAGATGCTCAAGCACAGCAGGCATGCAAGTCCAAGCTTCGCTTTCACTGATAACCGCGTGTGCTCGATTAGTATCGCAGGCAGCGCAGTCAAGAAGAGGTCGGTGAGGGTGTTGAAGGCTCCCTGGAAGTAGCCAAAGTCTGTCTGTATCTGGGGGTTCCCGCACTTCGTGTAGGTTTCGTCGGTCATGCTCCAGAGAAGATTGATGTCGCTTCCACATTGGCTGTAAAAGACAATGATGGTCGCCACGTTGACCTGTATCCGGCGTGGTCAGTACTACAGTAACAAGGCGGCGCCATCAGAGGTCTACTCACCACGAACTGCAGCGTAAGCATCGTCCATATAGGCCACTTCTTCACTTTCGGATCGGTACCAGCTAAGTAGAGCAAGGTCACACAGAAGGCCATGCGCCCAGCCATTGGACTCAGGAAAGCATATGCCAGAGACAAAGTACCGATGTGCAACGTCTCCATGTGTTCAGCTTCGCTGAGGTACAACATGTGTCTGCCAAGACCACTGGAGACAGCGACGGTCACCATGGAGGAGAACACGATACCAAACGCCTGTTCAATATTGAGTCAGCGCATTGCACACAAGTTTATCGCTGGAAGATCGTACCAAAGCCACGAGCATTAGGAAGTCATCCCAATACAGCCGGTGCGTCTTCTGCAATTTCGTCCAGAGTCTGCCGAGCACTGTCGCCGCCGATATCCCAATCAACACCCATACTACACGCACTAGAAGCGGTCCTTGATCATGGTCTGGGTATGGCGGCGTTGCTTGTGGGTTCCCCTTTGCGCTGAGCGCTGCTGTTAGGTCTTGTGAGCTCATCGTGTTGGTGCCGCAGCGCTCCAGGAGGCGTGTTGGATTATGGAGTCGGGGAGGATGAGCGATGCCCTTCAACGCGTTCGAAGAGATGCGACCGACAGCCCTATTGAGAACGGAAAGGATACAGCCATGTCCTGTCTCATTTACAATCGACCAATCAAGGTGAAAGCGGTCGACGTATCACATGCGGTATCAGGGGTATGTACTGCAGACTGCCCCTGCGGAAGAAGCGTGTCAGCCATTCTGCGGCCAACAGCAACCTTCATGTCAGCAGAAGGCAGGCCCTAGATGCAGGGGAAATTAACTATAATGGCCGGGAGGGAGTGGTACCTTGCATGGGCGGAATCGTTGAGCTTGTGAATAACGTGCGTGATGAGACTGCATGATGCAGACATAAACACTGCGGTAACTTACCTACCAGATTGACACCACACACGTATGGGTTCCCCGACGTCATGTTTCATCTGAATTGCCGTCGCCGTTGCGTGGCCGATTGAACCGACCAATTCGCCGAATTCGGCCTCGCTAGGAAGTGTTGCTCCTCCTTTGCAACCTGGATATGTGATAGATCTCTGACGTGGTAATGGCACCCATGCATGTAACCAGCGGGCTGCCGACCCGATTGGGTCTGGAAACACCCATCCTTCCTCAGATCGCATAATATTCCGGTTGCTGCAATGAGCCGAGCGGCATCCTACCTGGCCTGCATGGGATATATCACCTGGGATTCGCTCGCTGCTGATGCAAGTCATAGGCAATGTGAAGATCGCCACGGTGCTTTAATTCCTTCTCGAGTACTTCCATCAGCTTACGCAAAACTTGGCCCATCCAAGGCCACACTTGCCGGTCTGTCTGCCGGACAGACCTCGATGCCGTTTGGGAGAGGCTGCCCGATGATCCTATGGCCTTCCTTCGTCTCCTCATCTTCCCCAAGTAACTTCATCAACCATGTCCACTCCTGGTACATGTATTGCCAAGCTGGCTCTTCGCCGAGACGTGTTAGAACGGTCTGGGCGGCGCGGAGCATGGTGAAAGGCCGGTAAGCATCCTCTATCTTCTCTGCGGCAAGCTGTCCAAAAGTGTTTTGCGATATGCCTGCAGGCACAACGTTAACTACCGCTTTTCACGTCGGCGATTCCTTCAAGACCACCCCGAGCATCTGGCTGATCCTTCTCCGTAAGAACATCCTTCAGCGTTTCTTTTGGCCGAGACTTCTTGCTCATGCTTGTGGCAAACCTCAGAAAGCTCGGAACGTGCTGTCGTAGTCAGATCGTGAACCAATTGACAGCATCTGTCACTGAGTCTCCCACAGCGCCAATAAGCACTGTCAGTGTCGGGAGTGCAATCAGAGACCAAAACACGAACGTCGGCTTTGCGGAGTTGGCTTGAGGCTCGAAGTCGCCTGGGAAACAGTTGTCAGCGGTCCTACGATATATCTATGGCGCAGTGACTTCGTCAGTCTACTCACCATATCCGATAGTGAGTTGAGCAACGTAGGTGAAGTAGATCGCTTTGAAATACGACCAGTTCTGGCCTCCAGTTGCTTTCTCCGCTTGCCAGAAGCATACTGCACCAATGAACCACAGGATCATGAAAGCACTCAGCGCCATGGTCGAAGCGAAGAGCCGGTTGTTGTGCGCTGCGGCAGTCTGTACTTCGCGCATTAATGGCAAAAGGCTTGTACTTGTACATCCTACTACTGTACCTATGAACTGTACATCATCGTTTTCGTCAATAACCGAATTATGTTGGGCCGCTCAACCCTCCTTTCCTTTCCCAACACTGGTGTCAAAGTCATTCAAGAACTGCCACCTACCCTGCTCCTTCCAGCCCTTCTGCCGCCAGCCGTTCGCAGGCTTGGGGTACTTCTCGACCAGGTCGAAGATGCTCGTATCGTGAGCAATGATAGCCATGATATTGTCGTTAGCATCGAACTCCTGGAAATGGCCTACACTCTTCATTGCTACCTCCTTGTCGTCGTGGAACGAGCCGTTCGGGTGCATGAACGGCTCCGTCGAGCTGTGAGTCGGATGTATGGCTTCGAACAAGGCTCCTGGGCAGACAGGAGCATCCTTCGTATATGGCGGTACGGTAGGATTTGGCTGAATGTTTTCGGGCAGTGGCAGCCATTGCGTAGGTCTGAATTCGCCGCCGTGGTGCGCTATGTCGCCCCCCATCATGATGAACTCGGGCGGGTCCGCGGAGGTGCGTGCCAGACCGCACATATGGCCTGTTGCATGGCCGGGCGAGTTGATTAGGTAGAAGCTACCGTCGCCGTAGAAGTCGAAAGCGTCGTACTGGCCTAGCTTGAGGCCTTTCCCTTCGGTAGCGAAGTCGATCTCACGCAGATTGCGGTCTTTCCACGCGCGCTCATCGACCGGGCTGTCCTCGACGGTTGGGAAAGCAGGTATAAAGCGTTCCTTGAAGCCCGGTCCTACGATGAGGTCGGTGGATGATGGGAAAGTCTGCGGGTCGCCGGTATGGTCGAAATGGTAATGGCTCCAGATGATGCCGCCGACCTTCGCCGGGCCATCCCCATTCTCCTGCAAGATATCGGCGACATTCTTCTCAACCTTGAGGTCCCAACCTCCTTGCTTTGCGCCGTCGACAATGGACTTGGGGGCGTTTTCGACGTCTTTTCTGAGCCCGAGATCGAAAAGCAAGTGGTCGTACTTGCTCGGTTGCTCCGGATTGCTATGCTTGATGGAGAAGGCGTAGCAGACTGCCTTGATCTTGTCGTATCCAGGAAGCACAGGGTTCATGAAGAGGTGCACTGGCATATTACCGACGAATCCTGTGGTGTCAATGATGGAGACATCAACTGTATGCTTTGACGCTGGGATGTTGAGCTCTGGCGGGGGCGCTGGTTGCGGCATGATGAAGATGAATGCTCACGATTTGTGATTTGTGTTGCTCCGAATGCTTGACTCGGTGCAGCAGTATTCAGTATTCAAGTCTGACGACGTGTTGTGGTGTTGTGGGTAGTATGTTGCCACCGAGAGGGGAGAGGGTCGTTACGATTTGCATCCCGGCACTGTGCGAGCATGACGCACTGATAACCAACTATCTCGCAATAGGTATTCGACTATCTTCGGGTTTAGGTACTCTTCATCGTACAGCCCCGCCATCGGAGATCTCGAGCGATCGAATTATCGGGAGATCGATTGCCTTCGCGAGCCCGGATAGGTTGGATAGGCCACAAAGACCGCAATTGAATAGCCACGGATGGGGACCTGGAGCATAAGTACCTACCCGCGATGGCACTGGCACAGCCAACTTGGCCTGCTCCTAATAGGAAATGTCGGACCTCCATAACAGGTTCGTGTGAAGACGTGGCCAATGTCTTCATACCACGGCGGGATATACTACGGGAGGAGTGATGCCACAATCATTCTTCCTACCGTAAGATAAAGGAATTAGATTCACCTCCCAGGTATGGAATGTAAGACGAGGATGAATAGGGGTGTACCTCCAATAGGGCCTGGCACCTTGGGGGTGTTTCGATTGTTGGGCCTTGATTCCTTCGATTAGAGTTACTACTAGAAGGACGCCGTCTCATGCAACGAGTCTCAGCTCGCAGGCAGCCAACGCCTTGGAGACTCATATCGCTCTCATTGCTTGGCTCGAGTACCGACGACTGGTCGGAGAATGTATAGTGAGCCTGGTCCAGGACGTCCGCGAACTGTACTTGGCCCCCATCGACGTGGTGGACGGCGATGACGAGGTTGGCGTCTGCTACAAGGGCGTTTCCGTCGCCGAAATGGAAAAGCGCACACAAAGAACTCGCTCTTCACTCTACCAGAGCTCACTACGACGTCCTATGGATTACGCTTCCGGAGTCAAGAACGCAGGTATTTGACTCATGTACATCATATATACAGCCGCCCATTGGACACGTCTGTCTCCAACAGAACCAGCAGCGCGATGCTGTAACAATCAGGTGCGCCTACCATCAGTCCCTCTACAAGGGCAAGTCTGTGACTTCATGCATGTGGTTTTATACAGTGGTGCCCGGGTATCTACTCATTCAGGGCCATCATAGCATCATTACTTGGTCGTCGTCCGGTTCTCTTTCCATGTCTCCATAGTCAGTCGCCACATCATCGTCTACTATCAAGAACTCGTGCATCAGTGCCTCGTCCGCGCTGATCCTTTTTGTCGGGTCGAGATCCATGCACCTGGTAAGAAACTCGATGGCTCTCATCTCTTCGTGAGTCAGGAGATCCGATTTGCCATCCTTCCCGCCGTCGCTCCTGCACGTACTCCAAAGCATGATCTTCTCAAAGGAGAAGCCCTGGGCGCCGATACTGGGTATGTTGGTATCAAACATGCAGCCGTGTAATTGCCCGGCCTGCTTCATCCGCTTGTTCCCAAAGATGGTGGCGATCTCGATCATGGCTTCGACGTCGTCCGCGCTGTTGAAAAACGGAAACCTTTTACAGAGGATGGTGAGGAGGATGACGCCGGCCGACCAAATGTCGATCTTGGTGGTCTGCTCGGTACACTTGAACAACACCTCGGGGGCTCGGAACCCACGTGTGCCCGCTCGGTTGGCGCGCCGCGACGGGCGGGTATCGTTCTTGGGATAGCCGGCCTGCGGACCGGCCTGTGCCGAGCTGAAGGCGACCGACTGTTGCAGTCGCTGTTTCCGCACCTGTCGCTCCTCGTGGCAAAGACACGGCTTGCAATCGGTGCCTTCCCGCTCAGCCAGACCGAAGTCGACCAGCACGCCCCGCCTCTTGTCCGGATCGTAGAGGAAGTTGGTAGGCTTGATGTCACGGTGTATGATGCCCTTGTCGTGAACAGCAGCAAGGGCTCTGAACAGGGAGCGGAAGTAGAGGCGTGTGTCGTATACGTTCATATGAGGGTAGTATTTGCGGAAGTCTTGGTGTCGGAAGTAAGGGAGGATGGCGAGCACCTGATCGGCCTCTCGAAAGGCGGTGATCAGGGGACAGACCGAGTGCGACATGCGCAAGTCGTGGAGCAGCTCGAGCTCGTTGAGGATGCGGGCCGGTGAGGAGGTGACGTAGATCTTCTTGATGGCGACGAACTTGGGTTTCCGGCGCGGGTGACGGGTCACCGAGTTGGAACGGGAAGGGGAGGCGCGCATCAGCGGCGGAGGGGTCCATTGGTCCTCCTCGTCGGCATCGAGGTCCCAGTCGTTCTTGTAGTGGCTGTATCGTACGTCTTCGGCTTTGTAGACGGTCGAGAAGGTGCCTACAGGAACATCCAGCATATCAGTATGTTATTGTAGGTGCAGGGTAGGGAATAGGCCAGGCCGGATGTCGCACCCTCGCCAATGCGCTTGATCAAGCGGTAGTTGTCCTTGAAACTGGGAAATGTGTTCTGGAGCTTGTCCATGTCGTGTTGGACGCTCGAGTCGACGGGCTCGTTTTCGTCAGACGAGTCCGAGTCACAGTCCTCGTCCTGGTTCTCCTGTTCTTCATCTTCGGGCTCGTCCTCGACCTGGTCGTTGTAGTCATCCTCGGCGCGTTGGGTTTGGCTCTGGGTCGACTCCTCGACTTCGACTTCGTCCTCGGGGTCTGAGGTATGGCCTGCGGGTGGCCCATCTTCGTGGATATGGAAGGGCTCCTGGGCGAAGCGATGACGGCTTGCGGTAGCCATGGACTTGGCTTGGCTTGGCTGTTGGGCAAATAGGTCCAGGCCAAGGGTTTCCTGCGTTCCTCCGTCCAGCCCTCCTCCTCTTCCAATTGTAGCTACCCGGGCAACACCTGGGCAGATGGCACAGGCTCCAGAACAAATGATTGTAAACGGAGTCGGAAGAGACAAAAGCAAGGAACGACCAAAGGACGCGCTCGCTGGGAAATGCAAGGGCGCAGGCTCAAAGGGAATTCCACAGTCGAATCGAATGAACAGAATGAGGATTATGTATCAGTCGCCAGGGTGTTGGGTGTTGAGTGTTGGCGGGGTGTTGGTGTTGATGTTGATTATCAATTAGGTTTGATGGTTACTGGTGGCTGTCTACTACCTAGTAGCTTGCGCCGGAGATTGACGGGGATAACGAGCGACGCGTTGAATTCCTCTGTCGCATTGGAAGTTCTTCGGCGGGGGGTTCGGGAAGGGGAGGGGCTCGCAGACGGCGGGGGACCGCGTCGCAAACTAAACAAAAACAAACCGTTGCTAAGGGCCGGCCATCAACACCCATCCTCTCTATTTCCAGTCTGTATGAGTGACAGCGACAACGACAACGACAGCTAGAGGAGGCTGCGACGACACCACCCAAGTTACCCATATTGCAAGCGCAATAACGTCTGTCTAACTTGGTCACTTCCTTTTGAACCTGTTCCTCTTTAAGCTAAGACCTCTGCGTCTGCGAGCGCCGTCACCTATTGATCGACCTGGCGCAAAGTCGCGACAGACTACTATGGAGTCGGTTAACTTTGACATTAACGATGCCCTCAAGCATTACATGAGCGACCCTGCTGCCATCAACACCCCAGAGGCTGACAGCGCCCTGGTCGACTGCGAGTCCGACCCCGAGTTGCTGTCCAACATCGCCCTCATCAACCCGATCCTGAATCCCATCGTCGATGCCGTCGCCGAGAATCCCGATGCCATCACACGCAGCGCCTACTTCGACTCGCTGCAGTTCTTACTCAAGTGTGCACCCGCTTCCCTTGTCTCTTCCCCTGAATCTGAAAGCTATAGTCCAAGGTCTAGTGCACCACCGCAAATACAAGAACCAATTTCTAAGCTCTTCGTACAATCCAGATATACCCAGTTGCTGCCCACGCATGCCCTCAGCAAGATCTTCGACCTGATCATGAGCGGCCTGTCCGCCGAGGCCGACGCCATTAACAATGACCTCGAGAACCCGGACGAGCAGGAGATGATCGCCCACCACAAGTCGCTGCTCGAGATCTACGGCTTCCTGCTGCAGTGGACCATCGCCTGCGTCGAGACCAAGGCCGCCGAGAAGTCCTCCACCGCCCCGGTATCGCGCGCCAGGGGTAAGGGCGCAAAGGCGAAGGCCGCCGCGAGCAAGGACAAGGACGGCAGCTGGGACAGCGCCGCGCAACTGCAGTCCGCCCTGGACGTCATGTCCAAAGTCATGAAGCTGAAGCTCGGCAAGATCTTCTTGACAACCAGCGAGCGTGACACCTTCATCGGTCTCCTCACACGGCCTGTCTACATGGTGCTCGAGAGTGAACAGAGGGTCAAGAACACGGCCATGCGGATGCACGCGTTCAAGGTGCTCTGCATAGCGGTCAAGCATCACGGACATGGCTACGGTAGGTCTGTCAAAGAACGTGGCATGTTGGATATGCTAACGCGGATACAGCTGCTCAAATCTCTATTGTTCAAAATTTGACATACTTCGAACATTTGTCCGAGCCCATGGCCGAGTTTCTTCACATCCTAGCCGAGCAGTACGACTACCCGCAGCTGGCGGACGAGATACTGCGGGAAATCGGCAACAAGGAGTTCAACAGCAACGACACTAGAGGTCCCAAGTCTGTCTCGACCTTCATCGTCAAGCTCTCCGATCTCGTGCCGAGGTTGGTGATCAAGCAGATGACCATGCTGGCCAAGCAGCTAGACAGTGAGGTGGGTTCCGGATTCAGCAGTCATTTGTTTGAGCACACACTGATACTATCACCTAGTCACATACGCTTCGTTCATCCTTAATCGAGGTCTGTGGCAACATGATCTCACACCTGAGCAATCAGGAAGAGCGAAGCGACAACCACAAGTCGCAGCTCAACGCTTTCTTCGACGTACTTGAGGAGCGCTTCCTTGATGTCAACCCATACTGCAGATGCCGAGCCATGCAGGTCTACACAAGGCTGTGTGAACTCGACCAGAAGTTCCCCAAACGGCGGCAAAGGGTGGCCGAGCTCGCTGCCCGGAGTCTGGAAGACAAGAGTAGTCACGTCAGGAGGAATGCGGTCAAGCTTCTTGGTACTCTGATCAAGACCCACCCCTTCACTGTCCTACATGGCGCCCAGCTCGCTCGAAAGGACTGGCAAGAACGCCTCGGCAAGGTTGATGCCGAACTCGATGCCTTGAAGCCTCCAGCTGGCGAGCCTGGGTTGGGCGACAAGGCCAACACGACTGCCGACGGAGACTTAGTGGATGAGCCGACCCAGGTGGAATCGCCCCAGAAACCCAAGGAGATGACCGAGGAGGAGAAGGTGGCCGTCGTACGAAAGGCCCAGGAGGATGCCGTAACATCCGAGGCTATTGAGAAACTGACGCTCACCAAACGCTACTACAGCGACGCGCTCAAGTTCATCCATGTCTTGCATGAGTCGACCAGCACTGTCGTCCAACTTCTTGGCTCAAAGAACAAGTCCGAAGTCATCGAGGCGATGGACTACCTGGAGATCGGCAACGCCTACAACATCGAAGACAACATGATCGGCATCCGTCGCATGCTGCGCCTGATCTGGACCAAGGGGAACAGTGACGAGGGCAAGGGCGTCCAGACGCACCTGATTGACTGCTATAAGCGACTGTTCTTCGAGGCCCCTGACCACTTGAGTCCGAATGACGCCGCTGTCTACATCGCGAGGAACATGATCAGCCTGACATCCGGTACCACCCCCGCCGAGCTGACCAGCTTGGAACAGTTGATAGCAACTATGATGAAGGGCGGCATGATTTCTGACCGCGTCATAACCAAGCTGTGGGAAGTCTATGGCTTCCAGAAGCGGGAGATCTCACGCTCCCAGCGACGCGGTGCCATCATCGTGCTGGGCATGCTGGCTACGGCATCGCCCGAGATCGTTGTCGGCGAGATGGAGACCATGCTACGGACCGGCCTCGGATCCCACGGGAGATCCGACCTGCAGTTGGCCAAGTATACTTGCATTGCGCTGCGGAGGTTGAACCCGACTGGTCGGCAAGCTAAGGACTCGCCGGTCAGTTTCAGTCGTCTACCGAACGAACATGCCGTATTGGCCAAGTTGGCGGCTATCACCGAGGTTCCCAGTGACAGCAAGGAGTGGTTTGGTGTCGCGGAGCAGGCCATAAACGCCATCTATGCTATTGCGAAGCACCCCGACACCTTGTGTTCCGAAGTCATCAGGCGCAGGACCAAGGCTGTCTTCGCTGCGCAGCAAAAGTCGCCTTCCACGTCTCGCCCTGGCTCTCGCGACCAGGATGCGACGGCCACCGTTGCTGGTGCGCAGGGTATGACCCAGAACTTCAACACCATGGCTCTTGATGCCCCCACGCAGACCATCAACCAACCGCCACCAGAGCCGCCCGCAGAACCAAAGCAGAAGGCTGCCATCGCCCTCTCACAGCTGCTCTTCATCGTCGGCCACGTGGCCATCAAGCAGATTGTCCATCTTGAACTGTGTGAGCTCGACTTCAAGCGCCGGAAGCAGGAGAAAGAGAAGAACTTTGTCGCAAAGCCGGTTGAGCCTCGAGCCTCCACTGGTCGTAAGGGCAAGGCACCTACACCAGCGCCCGAAGAAGAAGAGGGCGACGAGCTTGACCTCATTGGTGGCACGACCGAGGATGATTTCACAGAGGCCATGCTGCACATTCGTGAGCGCGAGCTGCTATTCGGTCCGCAGTCACTGCTGTCCAACTTCGGGCCTCTGGTCGCTGAGATATGTTCGCGGAGTGATATCTACAAGGACAAGGGTCTCCAAGCCGCAGCTACGCTGTGTCTTGCCAAGTTGATGTGTGTCAGCAGCGAGTACTGCGAGGCACACCTGCCGCTCCTCATCACCATCATGGAGCGGTCGCCCGATGCCACAGTTCGTTCCAACGTCGTCATCGCCCTCGGTGACATGGCTGTCTGCTTCAACCATCTCATTGACGAGAACACCGACTTCTTGTACCGCCGGCTGGCTGACGATGACCTTTCCGTCAAGCGAACGTGTCTCATGACCTTGACCTTCCTCATTCTTGCTGGTCAGGTCAAGGTCAAGGGTCAGTTGGGTGAGATGGCGAAGTGTCTCGAGGACGAAGACAAGCGCATTGCCGACATGGCGAGGATGTTCTTCACCGAGCTCAGCACCAAGGATAATGCAGTCTATAATCACTTTGTGGACATGTTCAGCCTGCTCTCCGCTGGCCAGATGGACGAAGAGCCTTTCAGGAGAATCGTCAAGTTCTTGCTGGGCTTTGTTGAAAAGGTGAGCATTGTTAGCGTACCCATGTGAAACCGATTATTGCTGACAGACTGTAGGACAAGCACGCCCGACAGCTCGCCGACAAGCTGGCAGCGCGTCTGGCCCGCTGTGACACGGAACGCCAGTGGAACGACGTTGCGTTCGCCCTGGGCTTGTTACAGCACAAGAACGAGGACATCAGCAAGGTTGTGAGCGAGGGGTTCAAGGTAGTGCCGGCCGCTGCGTAGTGCTGCCTGGATGATGAATGATGACGGCAATGGTTTCATGTGTGGATTGTGATACCACGGCGAAGGAGTCTGGCGTTGTGTGTATCGTCCATTGTTGAACTGGGGCCCTTACTACGATCTGTGTACAATGTTCATAGCAGGGGAGCATATTATCCGGTTGTAATACTGCTTGAGCAGAAGCCCGTTTGATTATGGCTGAGCCCCTTTGGGCTTTCGTTGTGAGGTGCTCGCTGGGGTAACTTATCTAGTGTTTGTGCCCATCCCAAAGACGTCGTTTCTCTCAAGGCACTTCTCACCGACATGTTCAGGGTAGATGGTGAGATTAAGGCAGCTTCTGGAGAGGAAGCGCTATCTCGGCTACAGAGGAGCGTATGGGAATAGGTTTCCCTTTGGCCCTCGATTGTTGTACGCTCTCATCGCTGCTCTGTTGCTATTGCTCAAATGCGCTGGGTATTAGACCAGCCTACCCATAATGGGCGGTGATTCGGCTGGAACAACCGACTATCCTTTCAGCTCTTTCAGCAGCCGAATGGCAGGATCGTTAATGGCACGCCCGGTGTCATCAACAGGCTGGTCGACGCTATTTTCTACCCAACCCGTTTGGAAATGTGGGCGCCAGCCATTCCTTTCATATTCACGCCGGAGGTAAGTGGACCTCTGTTATTTCCCTCTCTTTACGCTATCCACGCGTGGTGGGCGGTCGTACGGCATCCGGGCCCTCAAGAAGTCACTCTATGAGGAGTTGACGCGCAACTGGTACCGTCCGGACAGGTGCAGAGACACAGGGAATCGTGAGAGATCACGAGTTTGTCTTCGTCAGTAATATTAGTATTAGGAAGGAATGCAGAACTTCACATAGACTCATAATCATGTAGTACCATCTTACGAGCTGGCCAACTGGCTCCCGTCCATGTACCAGTGCATGGATTGCTGCTTTTGCGATGTCCCGTACCCCGAGCACGACCCCTTTCCCACGCCGCACCTCTACGGCCATGAATCCGTGCTGGTTGCGTCTCCGCGTGCTCAGCTCATAAATTGCACGATTCATTCGCGCGCCGTCCACGATGGTCCCATAGGCACCCCTGGTATCATCCACGGTGGATACGTTGATGATATCGCCAGTCATACCTCAAGCTGCACCATCCCGCGGACAACCTTGCTGCGAAAATACGCGGGCGACCATCTCGATGCAAGATTTGAGTAAGGCTCTACGATTACTTCATTGGTTTCTCACATCTCTGGGAAAGGATCTAAAGCATTTCTTGGCGATGACGGTGGATAGTTTCTCGCTATGCTATAGTGGCTTGTCTCCCCGAGCCTGGCGAGACAGCAAGAAACGCAGCGGCGGTTTGCTATGAACATGGTCCTCTCCTCGACCGCGAGCAAGACGGTCGTCATGACCGAGACAGGTTTGTAAGTGGAATCCTGCCCCTATCAGAGACGCTGTCCTGCCAGAAGAGACTCTAGATCAGGAGCCATATGGAACACTTCTTGATAGCACCTGGACTTATAGATCACACCGCTGGCCACATATATCCACACATCCCCGGCATGGTTCATGTAGGAGAGGTAGTGGTTTTGATAGCGGGGCCCCATGTTCTCGCGTGTTCGGGACTATTCCAAGGAATCATAGGTGCTCCGAAAGGAACAAGACGGCGTTCGCTGAGCTGGGAAACGCCAAATCGCTGACCTAATTACACTTAATAACAGGTATGAATCGAAGATCGCCGGTACCCTCTCGTTCCTAGCTTTTCTCCTCATCCTTTCCTTCTCTCTGAAGCACATTCTCTGCCTCGGGCCAAGAACAGTCTGGTTCATTCCCGTAAACCCTCGAGGTACCACCGAGATACTCAGAATACCGAAAATAAGTGAGTAGGGGTAGACGGAGCAGTCTTGCCTCTTACCACTCTTCCATACAGCGCCATCGTGTAGGATCTTGATTCAGCCAAGAGCCTGAGGCAAACAAGAAGATATCTCAAGACACCGAAAGCGAGTTGTAGCTTCTGTGGAATGCTCTCTAGCGCCATATCACTCGTTCCTTGCAGTCGGCGAGAGCCCCGACTCTTGACCTTCATAAGCACACCCTCTCCTAGTGGCCATCCTCAGAAGACGTGCGCCATCCGGTGATGATAATTATTCATTTATCCCTAGCGAACCTAATTATGTCTATCCGGTAATCCCACAGCCACGGCCATTCACAGCCACGGCCATTGAGTGAGCCAGGGGTACAACTGAACCAGAGACCCCTTCCCAAAACGTCTGTGATGCAGCAAGTAACAATCTATGCATGAGAGTAAGTATCCAGTACGGCGAGCCACCCATCACGCCAGACATGCTGCGCCGTGCCCTAATTCATCATCTCGAAACCAGAACGAGAGCTGCTAGTCGAGCTACACCAAATCCCTCCATCAAAACAAGGATTTCCAGCAAACCAACAAAGACGTCGACATGGCCTTCGCCCCGCTCTATAGGCGTCGGTACTATACGACTGTGCAAGAATCTCCCTAGGATTCTGCAGCCGCCGTCTTGACACCACTACTACCACCAGCCCGTAGTCTGGGTCCAAGCACTGTGCTTCCGGTCAGTCTGGCCTCCATCTCCGAGAGCGCACTCTTCTTAACAACAAGCTCTGGGTCGACTTCGTCACCACCCACAAACGTCCAACTCTCCTCTTCCGATTCGTCATCAGCTGCAGAGCCATCGGACTTGCCAGCCGTAATCGCGTTCTTACCGGCCTTCGACTTGACCAGACTCGTGGCGTATTCAAGATCTCGATAAATCGACTGAATTGCGTTATCCACGCCGTTTTCCTGTTGACCACTTTGTTAGATTGGACTCTCCAAGTGAAAATGGCAAGTGAACAAACCTTTCGTATAGTCTCTCCCAGTACCCTGGCTTTCACGATCATCCTGTCGCTATGTGTGGCCTCCCAGAGTGCCTTGGCGAAGCTGTTGGCGCCCCATTTCTTCAAGCAGATGCCGACACCCAGGTCTTCCAGCCTACTGCCAAAGAAGAACTGATCGCCAAAGAAGGGCCGGATAATCGTGGGGATTCCCGCGCGAAGGCTGGCCCCGGTTGTGCCAGAGCCGCCGTGGTGAGCAGCTGCGTCTATCTGGGCAAACAACCAGTCATGAGGGGCGCTCTTGATCTGGAATATCTCGGGCGGCAGGGTCTGTTCCGGCATTGCGGCCTCCTTGTCGCCAAGGCGATCAGACCAGCCTTTAGACAGGATACATCGAACACCCGCCTTGAGGACGCCGTCGATGACTTCCTGCGTCATCTTGGCCGGGTCGGGTACGATGATGGAACCGAAGCCGACGTACACCAGCTTCTTGTCGTCCTTGCGAGCCGTTTCGATGAAGTGCCTGAGATCATCCGGTGGAGTCCACTTGGTTCCCTCGTCCAAGAACCAGTACCCGGTCACACGGATCCAATCGCTATAGTCCAACGGCGGGGCGACGACGGCAGGGGAAAAGTTGTAGAGGAAAGGAACCTTGTTCGGCTGCATCTTTTCCAGATTGGTGTTGGGCAGACCAAGCACCTTGTTCCGCCAGCGATTGACCTGGTGCGCAGTAGCCTTCCAGAACACGTTGTCAAACATGACATAAGTAACGTAGTTGTAGGCGCCGCCCATCTTGTGTTCGGGCATGACGAACGCATGAGGGTAGGCGCGCGTACGGGTCCACGGCATGGTGAAAGCTCGGAAATAGGGGATGGATAGTGCCTCGGCGATGTGAATGCCAGCCATGGCGCTTGGGCTCTCGATTAGGAGGTCAGATCCCTGGCACGCTGTGTAAGCAGACGCCAGCAGCTCGTCCAGCCAACCTCGGAACTTGGAGTTTGCCTCTCTCAGGAACGCCCATGTGAATGTGCCATTCTGGATGCAGATGCGCATAAGTTCGCTAGGGTCGCCCTCCACCGGAGCAAACTCGATGCCATGCCCTTCGACCCAGGTCTTGAACTCGGCATGCGTAGCTATCCGAGGCCTGTGGCCCTCGGCCTGTAGGCCTTTGCAGAGTGCGATGTAGGGCTGAACATCACCTCTCGAGCCGATGGTTAAGCAGGTTACCTTCATAGACTCTGAGGGTTTGAAGTTGAGGAAGGATGCTTTTGGATCGTCAAAGAGAATCGTGGGCGAGGATCCGCTAAGGCCAGTAGCCTCACGGGGCATCTTGAGTTCATGTTCAGGGGCCTCGCGCAGCCGAGCTTGGTTGAGCGCGTCTCGTTCCGCGATGGCATCATCCACGTCCTCCTGCTCCTCCTCAATTTCCAACAGGCCAGCTTCTTGCATGTAGCGTGTGGTTTCGAGACTCTGGAGTATAGTAACGGCGCAGTCGTCTCTCACGTCCGCCTGATTGAACTCAAAGAAGAGCTCCTCGTGGCCACGAATGACGATAACCAAGCCAGAGTAGCCGAACCGGAAGCCCTTCTCCTTGTCCGCGGTTTCGATGTCCTTCAGGGGCAGAATCAACTTTGTACGAGTGCCCGGCAGCAAACTACGGAAGCAAAAGTTCCGATCGCTAATATAAATCTTGCCATAGAGCGGCAAGACTCGGATTAAGAAGCCAAAGTACGTTGCCTGAAGTTTCTCCGTCTCCGGCAACGCAAAATGCGCGCGGAAGCGGTCCATAGTAGTCGCTAGTTTACCGTCGGCATCGTCCTCGTCATCGCCCAGTTCGTCTTCATTCCTGAGGCCAGGAGCACCGTTATAATGCTTGCGACCTCCCTTCCACATGCCCGACACCTTCTCAACGTACCCCATTGACTCTGTTGCTAAGAGGTTGCTCATCCGACGACTAGTCTGGTTGAGATAGTTGGCAAAGAACCCAGCTCGCTGCAACGGATATGCGCCCATCTTCGCCAGGTTCTGAAGAGTCGGCGTAGCTGCAGGGTCCTCCGTCGCAGCACCAGGCTCCCTCATGTGCCCAGTCGTTACAGCATGACGTGGTTTCACAGCAGGCAGGGCTTCGTGCCTTTCACGCTCACGTGCTGGAACCTTGCCAGACGGCCTGCCTTGACCAGAAGAATGTGAAGTCGAGAGCGAGCGACGTAGAGTCGGTCGGTGAAATACGTCACTACCCCTGAGAATCTGACTACCAGACGGGTCTTCGTTGGACGACGCCACCAAGCCAGACATACTGGGATCCTCAAGGGAATGGACGTAAGAGTCAGATGATTCTTGTGGATCGGTTGGTGCAGAGCTGTTACGATTGCGGTTCTTGCCCATCGATCGGCTCGCACTAAAGCTTCGTCGCGGTGATGTATCGCGCGTCAGCTGGTCCTGGTCCAGACTCCTTCTCCCAAACTGTCGGTTGGCATCAAAGCTACTGCGAGTCAAATCACCACTAAGGCCAGGATTCGGCTCGCGAGGACTGTGAGCTGAAAATGGGGCCAAAGTTGCCTTGACCGTTTCGCGAAGCTTCGGCGACCTGGGCTCACCACCGACGGTGCTATCCTTTCGCCTGACGCTCACAGAGCTCTGCCGAGGGGAGTCTTCAGCGGGTAGGCTTGAGTCCGTAGCATTGGGATGTGGGTTAGATGCATCCTCAATCAGGATCTTGAGGACGTTGATCGCCTCCCTACCGAAGCTGAAGAACGAGAAAAAATACTGGGGCTTATCAGTCGTCATGGTTCTGGAATGGTGAGCTGGAGCCTCACCTCATCGATTGCATAGGTCTCATCATTGTCGATGACCCGGACTTTGCACGTATCCGCAAACTCGATCATCTGGCTGTCTTCGACATCCAGCACATTCTCGATCGGTATGGAAATCTTTACACTGTCGCCGTCGTTATGGGATCGGAAGATAACCCTCTGCAGGCTCTTTACCCATTCCTTGGCGCTGGGTGCACTATCAGCTCGAAAGTTGTATGTACGGTGATGTGTGACAACCGAGAACTGAACACCGTCCTTATCCTTGTCCGTGACATTCGCCGAGATGGCGTAACGCAGGTCGATCTGTCCATGGGGGAAATAGAGATTGGACGCATCGCGATAATACGCCAGCACGTCTCCCTTGAGACGGAACCAGTATCTGTTGTACGCAGGATTCCTCTTGCCGCTCTTGGATAGATACCCGGACTTTGCAACCTCCCGCTACATTTGGAGTTAGCAGGGCCCTCAGGTCATGGGGCCATTGAGAACAAGGTCTTACAGCTTTCTTCGGCAGGTACGCGTAGAAGCAGATATGCTTTGAGGTAATATACAAATATCCCTGAAGGAGGACACTCTGCAGTAACCAGCATGGATATTCTGAGCAATAAGTCAGTCACGCAGCCTAGGAATGACGGGGAAAATAATACCTTCTATAACCTCCTCGGCGTGGTCGAGTTCAAAGATCTCTTTGAGCTTTCGTGCCAGGGCGCTAGGACCTGCATCTCCACCTTCACTTGTTCCGTGGTCTCCTGATAGCCTTTCGAGGTCGAAGCTCGGCCTTGAGGACATCTCAGCTTTTGCCTCCAACATGCGACTCATGACTGGCGCGAGTCTTCCTTCACGATCAGTCTTGGTAACGTCGACAGTGGAGGATGGTGAGTCGACGGCTGTAGAGCTCGGGTCTTCGCTTTCACTTTCTATAGGCGATTCAGGGGGCTGGGAGTTCCTCAGCTTGGAGTGTTTCGACAGCGACCGACTCGCAAGGCGTGGAAGCTGAGGCAACGACCGGAGAAGCTGCCCGGACAATCTCCGGCGATGCTTCTCGACCTTTTCCTTGCCGGATGAGCTACCGGATGAGCTCTTCTTCAAAATAGTAGTCCTTGCAACCTGCTCTGGTTGCTTTCCTCTGGCGCCCCTCCCGTCCTGAGTACCGGCGTCGTCCTCGTCGCTGGACTGGCCCTCGAAACGATCGTTGAAGTCGACGTTGGAGCCGGCAGCTGCGAGCAAGCCGAAGATGGACTGGTTCATGTTCATGAACATGTGAGGACCTTGATGGGGAGGTAGGACATCTTCGTCGGCGTCATCGGCATAGTCCTTGAAGCGATCGGGCAGTTCCATAGTTGGGCGGTGGCCCTCTTTCTGTTTCTTCAAGAGTTTCTTGATCACACGCCGCGGGGAAGCCTCTTCCTCCGCTGGAGGGGCCATGGTTCGTGGGAAGGCTGCGCCTGTCGGCTCGTTCACGCGGGATAAGGATAAGGCACTGTCGAGTTCGGTCTAGGTTTGCGGATTCAGTGGTTCGCGCGCAGCCACCAGGCAGGGCGCGAAGTCTAATGGGAGAGTGAGCACGAAAGGCAGCGTTAGCTGAGGGCCTAGATAGACAAGGCAACCTTGCGTGGCTGAGAATATGGTTGCGGCAGATGCGAAGCGCTCAACGTTGCATCGAGGCGCGCGGCGGTCAGCGGCGAGAGCGAGAGCAAGACAGCACGGTTGAGGGTGGGTTTAGAACGATAGAACGATAGAACGATGGATGGATAGGCCGACGACCACTCCTGGAACCGGAAGCAGGGCTCGGATCAGTTGACAGAGTATAGAAGTAGGGGTGACAACGACGACATGTCGACAGCAGTTTGTCTATCTTCAAAGGGGGATACGACAGAACTGGCAAGGTAGGTAGGTATGCTCTTCTGGATATGACGTTGCTATGGGAGCTGAGTACCTAGGTTAGGTAGAAAGGGTTCAGAGACAGAGACGGCTGTAGTTGAAGAGTCAAAGAGTCGAATGTATTCATATAGGTCCATACGGGACTGCACCTTCGGGATGCGGATACATGAGGTGTAGAATAGATAAGGTACCTCGTTGGTGACTGGATGACTGGGTGATACCGGTGATACCGGTTCGTCAAGGTCAGGTTGACAGCAGGTGGAGGCAGCCTGGAGATCGGACAACTGGAGTGACTGGTGTTGAACCCTGGAAGTCCCCTGCTGCCGACCGCGGTCCATGACTGTCGCTGTATGCAGCCCTGTGATTGACTGGCTAGCTTATCGATAAGATACGCCGCAGTCAGCTAGCGCCAGCCGAGGCGCGGATCCATGGATGACGTGGGGTGTGTCAGGCGGAGTGTGAAGTGTGGGCCGACCAGTAGCGCTGACTCCGCTGAATGTACAAACATGTACTTGTACGCATGTGTTCGGCAGCTCTCCACCTTCAGGCCCAGGTTCAAACAATGAACATCATCCACATGCAACTGGAGGAGTCCAAGAGACGCGCCTCGATTCTTCTGATCGGGAGGGAACAAATGAACATTGTGTTCTCGATGCCAGAGCTGCTCGAGGCCATCTTGCTTCATCTCGACATGGTCACACTGCCTGTATCAGAAGCTGGCATGCCGTTATGGAGGCGTCCATTCCAGTACGATCCAGCACGCCTCATACTGCCAACCCAGTGAAGCAGTTTGAAGGCGCTTTCTTCGACGTCGGCGATAATGTCCTCTTAAAAAAGTCCGGCACCACATGCAGCTAGTAGGAAAATCATGCGCAAGGAAGCGCGCTGGTCGCGGATGCTGGTGTCCCAACCGCCTCCGCGTTTTCTCGCTTACTTGGCTGCCGAAGACGACCAAGAAGCTCACTGATCCCAAGGGGGTTTCGACAACTTCTTTCGAGACCGGCGCGGGGCATCAGTCCTCGGGTTTGCGCAGGTACATGCTCAACGATATCGTTCAAGACCACGCCGGTCACCACGACCGTAACTCCTGGTGGTTCCAGGTCGTGTGAAAGCAGCCGCTGGAGCTGTTCCCCGCGGAGTTCAATCGCGAGAATTGTCGAGAGCTGTTCCAGCGTACCAGCGCCGTGGTAGAATTCTACCACAATGCTAACCAAACATTTGCCACTTTTTCCCGCGATCCTGTAGAGGCGGCACTCTTTGACCAGAGGTTTGGAAGCGAAGGCTATCGCCACGTGGACGTCCCGCCTTGCGGAGGACTTACAGGAATATGGGTGAGCCGGTTTTAAAGATAGAGCATCGATTCATTTCGCAACCGCGAGAATAAATGAGAGTCTATGCATGACAGGTCGAGGACGGGGACAAAGGACTATTAAGAGCGGGCTTAGAGATGCCACAGATTGGTTACATATGTACCTTGTAAGATCGATAGCCACCGAGAACACCTTCAACTACAGCCCACCCTGGACAGTGTAGCCCTACACTATGGCCTGGGCCACGAACGTGTGACGATCAGGCCTGCAGTACAACTGGTCAGGACTGATGGATAGATAAAGCTAGATTCAACGATCTATGAAGAAGGAAGAAGGGAGAAGGAAGGCCGCTTCAGGTGGGAGGTGGGCCTCCCATATATAGGTACATGTGGAGGTACAATGTACTTGTACCGTAACAGAACGCGAGCGTGAAGCCCGCCCAGTGCTTCAGCTCAGTCGTAGATCGGACTCGGACGGGGATTCGCCTAAACTCCATGGTGCCACCCTGAGCGGTGGTGTTACTGAAGTTCCAAGATAGGGAACGATTCTGGTCCGGGGCCAGGTGGACCATTGCCGGTATCTTCAACTTATCGAAGACGTCGAATATAGGGGCCCATGTGCGACTTGGAACCGACGTGTAAGCTTGAAGCAAGCGTGCTGGTGCCAATCGACCCCGACCATTGGACATGGTCCACTGGCTGTTCTCTTGTTCCCAGCCATGATCTTCGTGATGGCATCGTCGAACGCAGAAATGCCTCTCAAGTGTCCTCGAAGTTGACTAATGATGTATATGGGAAATTTTTTTTTTTGAAGACCGGGTGGGATGTGCGGGTGCATTTTCGCCGAAGAAGGCGGTGGGAGTCCTTTTGGATAGTTCGGCGGTTATCGCAGGTTGCTATTATTGATTCAGGAAGAGGGACAATCGACGATAACGAGATATATTGCCTATGCGGTCAGAGGGGGGACATCAACTTGTTGGTATGCACTTGAGTAATCGGCTGTGATTGAGATCTCCAGTGTTACGGTATTACATAATACCTCCACATATTTATGTACATATATACCTCTAGCTTCCCCTTTCTCTTCTGGCCTTGCCTCTTCTTCCTTAGATATCGTTGAATCTAGATATTTCATCCCATCAGTCCTGACCAGCGCAGCTGCAGGCCTGATTGTCACATCCAGTAAGACCCCACGGCTTGGTGTACCTTGCCAACTTCCGAATGCAAGTTTTGGCCTGTGAACATGGTCCTAGGCACCAATTCAACATGCCCTTGAAGTCCTGGTGAGCGAGCTATCTCGTGAAAGGGGTTGAATCTTTGTCCACAACAGCTTCCAGCTTCGTCGAGGGTAGGCCCGCCTGTGGCTGTTCATGCCTCATGGTTGTTGGTGTTGTTACCAGCGGGAACCTCGAGACCCGAGATGGTCTGGGCGATCACCATGTGCAGGATCTGTCGGTTATTAGACTTCAAAGCATCATCTTTGTTGTTGTCAGGTGTCACACTCGGGCGTTCCAGCCGAGGCCTGTGAGATTTGGCAGAATGTCCCGTAAACTGCGGATCAGAAATGCCGCTTCAAGCCTGCCCAAAGCAGAGAGATGGTGGTCTGTTAGGTATGAAGGGAAATCCATGACTTACAGCATCAGATCGAGATAGACAATGGTAATATATCTGAGCCACGCCAAATGCGGGTGTTCGTAATATATGCTGGATCTTGATGATTCTTTACTTGTTCCCATTTCTCCATTTTCTCTGGGTGGAGGTTTCAAGTCAGGACCACTAGAAGATCACCAGCCGGTCGTAATGCACAACTTGACAGGTCGACCCCTGACATAATGAACCGTGGGCCGGTCACTGCCGTCGTATCTCTGGATACGATAAGATACTCTGACTTCCTGTTTCAACAAGAAGAAACCTGAATTCTTTTTCTTCGCACGGGGGAGTGAGAATCTACATATACTGGTATTGGCAGGGCTCCTTGTCGAACCCGACCCACGGTTCATTATTCCAGGGGTCGACCTGTAAGTACGTCTCAAGAAACACGATGGGTTGAGGATACCACATTGAGGTTTGCGCCGCTTCGAGAGAACGTGATCCTGTAATATAAACTCTAGAGGACACCACGTTACGGATAGGTTACATCAACAAGAAGACACACGACGTGGACCACAAGCAACATCGTGGAGCACTCAAGGGAATCATCTGTACTTAAGTAAACTCTACTAGACTCCAAGAACTGTATCTACCAAATATCAAGTTCATAGTAATACGCGGGATAGTGATATGTCTGCCCGGTGGACTCGGCTCGATCCGAACAGACTCCAAGCACTTGAGTTTTCCCCAAGACACCAATATCTGCAGCTTACCTACACCTCGACTGGGTTGGTACGTATCAGACATTGGCCACGAGGTATGACATGGTAACAAAACCATTCCGGGGCAAAAGGGGCGCTTATGTGGATGATACGTACAGCCGAGAGCGTGTGCTAACAGATACACGCGAGACCGGTCAAAGCGTAGTCCACATAGTCTACCTCATCCAGCGCGATCGTTCTGGAAAAGGGGCGAAAGAGGAAAGGGGCGAAAGGCGAAGAGAAAGGGGTTTCCCTGCCCCACTGCACCGGGATGCATCATTGTGGTCTGTTTTGACATGGACTTTGAAAGCGACTCGTAACATGGAAGAAAACATCAACTACAGAAGAGCTAATGCATTGGTTACATAATCGGGAGACCGGGCTTCCTGGAGACTGATTTCCTCAACACCGCCGAGTGAGGTGTTCCGTTGGCGAGCTTTGATTGGAAGGACTGTAGCAGAATGTGGGCCAAGGCTATATATTTTATGTACCTAGGTACCTACAGCGGCCATGCCGGTGACCCCCACAGAGCGGCACTTGCCAGAATGACAGGGTTCAATGATTCTGCGCCTGTGACTCGCCAGAGACACAAGACCGCATCATTTTGCGAACAGACACCCAGACAATAATCACATGCGCGCCGCCTCCTTCCCCAGCCGTACTCTGCAGTACCTGCAATCACCGACAACGACGACGACAACGACGACGACAACACGGATGGTCGGTTGCTAGAGAGGGTCCTGCTTACGTCACACTCGAGGACCGAGGCGTCGGCGAGCAGCAGCACACCAGCACACCACCACACCTGCACCACCATGTCGACAGCAGAGAAGCCCAGCCCGGTGCGGTCCATCATAGCCGGCGCAACCGCCGGTGCCATCGAGATAGCCATCACATATCCCGCCGAGTTTGCCAAGACGAGGACACAGCTCAACCGCAGGCTCGCCCAGGGTCAGAAGCTGCCGTGGCCGCCCTTTGGTAGCCAGTGGTACGCCGGCTGCACCACGCTGATCATCGGCAACTCGGCCAAGGCCGCCATCCGCTTCGTTTCCTTCGAACAGTACAAGCGACTCCTCGCCGACGAGAACGGCAAGGTCTCGGGTCCGCGGAATGTCATTGCCGGTTTCGGTGCCGGCGTGACCGAGTCGCTGCTGGCCGTCACGCCCACCGAGTCCATCAAGACCACCCTCATCGACGACCGCAAGTCGCCCAACCCGCGCATGCGGGGCTTCCTGCACGCCGTCCCCATAATCGCGAGGGAACGAGGCCTGCGCGGCTTCTTCCAAGGACTGGTACCCACCGCCGCGCGACAGTCGGCCAACAGTGCCGTGCGCTTCGGCTCCTACACCTCCCTCAAGCAGCTCGCCGAGTCGTACACTGCGCCGGGCGAGAAGTTAGGCACTGTCGCAACCTTCGGAATCGGAAGCGTCGCCGGTGCCATAACTGTGGCCGTGACCCAGCCGCTCGACACCATCAAGACGCGCATGCAGAGCATAGAGGCACGCCAGGTCTACAGAAACAGCTTCCACTGTGCCGCTCTGATATTCAAGCAGGAGGGCGTTCTGACCTTCTGGAGTGGCGCACTTCCAAGATTGGCGAGATTGGTGCTGAGCGGCGGCATTGTCTTTACCATGTACGAGAAGGCTATGGAGTTTATGGATAAGATGGACCCGGAGAAGCAATACATATAAATGAGACGGCCCACGCCTGAATAAACGAGTTCATCCAACCAGGAAGCCGAAGTAATGGCTAGAGCGATCATCCTTGATACGCGCAACGTTCCATCTTGTTCTCCGGTCCTTTGTCTTTTCAAGCCGCTCAACCGAGAAACATTGTCTCTTGTTGGTTTGTCCCGTTCACCACTTCGAGGTGCAACACCATTCTGACCGTCTGCGTGGTGGAGACGCAAAGCAGAGTATCAGTCGGTTCCTTGATATGAACTTTCTAGTTTATTGATTCCACCCACTTGATGAGCAGCCATTCAACGTTGTTTAGGAATAATTGGGGTACTCGAGGCTGAGTAAGGTAGATACAAGACGCCACACTCCTGACTCGACAACCACGGTAGGAAATTACGAAAAACTCATGGGCCCCGTCACAAACCTCTAAGCTCATCTATATCAAGTTGAACATTACCTCTGTGTGTACAGAGGAGTTTGGTCTGCTTTGAATAAACCCAGTCCTCCGCCCAGTGACCCGGGTACGGCGCCTACAAGGCGTGCACCTCCTCGGGGCTGGCGTCCTGCTCCGGGCCGCTACTCACGAGTTCCTTCTCGGTCTCGGGCTGCTCATAGTTGATGCCGTTGCTCGCGATGCAACCATTAGTTGCCCGGGAGCCATGCGAAACTGGTGGCTTATTGACGAGGACGAGTCAATGTTATAGGTAGTGGCGGTACTCTATCAGGCTCGTCGTGAGATCCTGGATACTTCAAAGGTAGCCCTGTAGCCGCAGTGGTGGTCAGGTGGGTTGTGATGGCCCTGGAATTCGCACGTCGTCGACGTCGCCTTCGACGTCTTCCAAGTCGCTTTCGGGGTCGATTGGGATCATTTCTGGCATTCTGAGCGCGAAGATTGTGTTTTGCGAAGCAGGTGGATTGATTTGGTATGTGTAAGAGACGAATGAAGCTGATGTTGGGTGGTTGCGTTGCAAGTTGGATGATCATGGAGCAATGGAAGTAGGTAATTAGCAATGACCGCCAAAGTGTGATATTGTGCAGATATCCAATGTAAGTCCCGGTTGGCAGTTGGGCAAACAAATGGGCAGTTGCACTGGGAGTTGAATTCCGCAGTGGCATTCCAAGTTGGCAAAAATGTCACCATGAAAAGATGTCACGAATGTGTTGGCTGTACCGGGCATGGTTGCAGCGCCATGAGCTCAAACCAATGCAAGCCAGAGGCGGCGTGTCCAGAGCATACGAGAAGATGTATTTTCACTTGTTATCGCGTCGCCGCGCAAGTTGGATGTTGGTCAAAAGCATCTTTATTCAGCAGAACTCCTTTTCGTAGAAGCTGACCACAGTGCTCTGCTCGAGAAACTCGAAGCCTGCTACTGTATGTGCAGGTATGCGCGTAACAACCATCCCAAGTCGTCAGGTATCCGTGCCCATGATCCGCAAAGAGAAACTCCCCCAGTGGTAACCTCCTTATGCGACCAGCTCAACGACACCACCAGCTTCGGTGATTTTCTTCTCTGCCAGCTTGCTGACCCATCTGGCTCGGACAACAAAGGGTACTTCTGGGAGGCGGCCCTTGCCGAGGACCTTGGAGTATCCGAGAGGGAGGAGGTCGATGACGGGAACGGTGTCCTTCTTCGAACCATCTAGGTAGGCGTCACGGGTCTCGGCGGGGACGAGCGACCAAAGCTGCAAGACGATTGATCAGCAATCAGACCTCCACGAAAGACAAGAGCTGTGCCCGAGAGTCGCGCGGTGCATCATCGCCGGCCACCGTGTAGTCAAGAGGTGGAATAGAGGACACGGAAAGGGTCCAGAGTGACGGGTTATGCGGAAAAGGTCGGGGCGAAAAGGGATGAGGAGTTTCGTACCTTGTCGAGGTTGATGACGGGCTTCCAGTAGTGGTTTCGTTGCAGGTGGAAATGTCTACGTTGACGAGTCAGTACATTCTGAGCTGAGAGGAACACTTGGCAACCAAATCAAAAGCGGAATGCTCATGACAGGCGCCTGGTGGAGGAAAGGGTGTTGGATACTGACCTCATACCAACCTTACCGAAGTAACCGGGATGGTACTTGTCGATGTTGGTTCGGTGGTGGTGCTGACCACCGGCCATACCACGACCACCGGGATGCTTGCGGTGCTTGCCAACACGACCCTTACCGGCCGACACATGGCCGCGGCTGTGAGAAAAAAGTCAGCCCATCCTCCCTACGTCAAAATCCGAACATATGCATTGAGCATTCGAGGCCAGTCCCGTTCATCGCGCTGTCGGTCATCATCTTCCCTTTCGCCTGGTCGATGCTTTCCTGCCTGCCTGCCATGTCATGTGTGCTGTTTCTCGATTGGCCCGACAGCTTTCCTATGCGCGCTGCCCGAGCACGGTAGAACCACGACAAGATGAACGATCGATGCGCGGAGAATTGGACGGGACGAGCCTCGAGGAGGGAACGAGGGAGGTGTATAGAACGTACTGCTTTCTCGTCTTGCTCAAACGGGTAGGCATGGCGAGAGGATTGATGAGGTTGTGTGTTGTTGATGGGAGTTGTTCGCCTACTCGCGGTGGTGGGGTTTTGGAGAGATGTTCGAGACGGGAGTTTGTGAATTTCGTTTAATTTTTTCCAGTGTGCGGGCTTGCCCGGCACGAGCCACTTCAATGATCCACTACAATACATCAGCCACATCAACTGCTTGCTGCACTCCCACCAGCCACACACTCCAGTCTCTCACCTGCAGCTGCGACTGGAGTCTCTTCGTCTTGATCAAAGGAAGCAATCAAAAACTTATCAATTGAAGCCCCGACATAGGCCATGATGCACCTGACACCCCGAGGTGAAATATCTTGGTCGCACTTCTGAAAATTGTAGCCTCCACCACACAGACGCTTTTGCTTCCTGCTGTCCAAAAGTCAATTCAGGTCGACAGCCAGACAGCTTGGATACTCCTGAAGCTGTGAGACGCGGCTGCATAGGCGACGAGCCTCCTGATATTCAGCTGTACCCACACAGGTTCCTGCTCTACTCATTTCAGAGTTAGGCTTCGACGGTAAAGAAGTTTCGTTTGTTGTCACGCTAATTGATTCTCTCGGTGCCGTCCTATGGCTGTCTTTCCCTATTCCGTACAAGTGTAAAGGGCCCTTCGCAACCTGTCGTGGGCTCGGGCCAAGAGGAAGCGAGGGAACAACTGCATTCCCTGCGCAGGCCTTTAGGAGGAGAGTGTGCTCAGTAGAAGACACATGAAAACGTCAATTACGGAACTCGGATAGTGCCGCCTCATCCATAGGAGCCGGCCGCAGACATGGACGAATTAGCCGACGATATTAGAAGGATTGACTTCCATCATCCATATACCCCCTACGATGTGCAAGATCAATTCATGTCGACAGTCCATAATGTGCTTCAGAAGGGAGAGGGACAGGTCGGCATTCTGGAAAGCCCTACTGGCACCGTAAGCGTCCAGGTCTCCTTATTGATGATATGCTGACCATCCTAGGGAAAATCTCTTTCCTTGATTTGTGCGGCTTTGACATGGCTGCGTGATCACAAGCGAGACAGTCATGAGGGCTCCGTTGCAGATGCAGCCAAGGCCTTCAAAGATGAGCCAGATTGGATCGTGGAGCAGATGCTCAAGAGGAAGCGGGAAGAGCTTGTCAAGCAATGGGAAAACAGAGAAGCACGACTGAAAGACATAAGAGACAAGGAGAGGCTACTGGAGGGAAGGGGAAGCAAGAGAAGAAGAATTGAAACCCGCGGCGATGGAAAAGCGGGCAACGTCTCCGAGGACAACGACGACGACGACGACGACCAGTGGTTACTGGGATTGGCAGACGACGAGGACACACTTGGCCAGGATGCCTCTTCCAGTCTGAGCAGGGAGTCGAAGGAACTGATGAAGAAACTTGGGCTGGGACCCCTTCGAAAAGAAGAGGAAGATGAGGTGGGGGATGTTGGAGGGAACGAAGTCAAGGTATGTAAAGGAAGTCAGGTGCGAGCTTGATGGATTCCAACCGTCTCATATATCCCTTTTTAACTTTCTCTAGATATACTACACCTCAAGAACACATTCTCAATTGACACAATTCATCGCAGAGCTGCGCCGACCCGTGTTTCCGCCTTCTATCCCCACTGCACTGCTTGATGAGGACTCGACCACAGCAAAGGAGGGCGTCAAGCACCTGCCGTTGTCTTCTCGGCAGCGGCTGTGTATTAATCCATCCGTGTCGCGTCTAGGGTCCCTGTCAGCCATCAACGACCGCTGCGCCGAGCTCCAACAAGCGAAGTCGAAAGATAATTGCCAGTTCGTACCGAATGCGGACAACCTCCATCTGACCCACCAATTCCGGGACAACGCACTCGCTACTCTGCCTGACATTGAAGACCTCTTTGGGCTTGGCAAGAAGCTTCAGATATGCCCGTACTACGCCTCGAGAACAGCAATACCAGGGGCAGAGATCATCACTCTTCCGTATCCTCTCCTCCTACAGAAGACTGCCAGAGACGCACTAGGTATCAAGCTCGAAGGCAATGTGGTCATCATCGACGAGGCCCATAATATCATGGATGCTGTTGCGAACGTGTATGCGTCCGGGATCAGTCTGAGCGAACTAAGGCGCGCGAGACAGATGCTTGGCGTTTACGTGAAGAAGTTCGGCAAGAAACTCAAAGGAGAGAACCGAGTCAGGGTGGCCCAAGTCGCCCGGGTCGTGGATGGCCTGAGCGGATGGTTGGATAATGCCCTGAACCTCAAAGTAACAAACTCCTGCCTGACCAGCTGAGGGTTCCCATTCGTTGACGACTTACATAGGCAGATCAGGGCATCGTCGATCCCAATGCCTTACTTAAATCCAAGGGCATCGACCAGATCAACATGTACAAGCTCATCCAGTATGTCCAGGGCTCCAAGCTAGCCTACAAGATTGAGGGCTACGTGGCACAAGCCGAGGCGCAAGGCGATCCTCACTCGTCACATACTGCCTCCTTGTCAACGCCCGTTCTCCACACCCTGATCTCCTTCCTCGTGTCCCTGAATAATCTTAGCTCCGAAGGCCGCATCTTCTTTCACAAGATGCTCAACAAGGACAGCCAGGACATCAAACTCTCGTACCTCCTCTTATCCCCTACCCATGCCTTCTCGTCAATCACATCCAGCGCCCGAGCAGTTATCCTTGCTGGTGGCACCATGTCGCCGTTCGAAGATTATACGTCGCACCTTTTTCCAGATCTTGATACCAAAAAGGTCACCACTCTCAGCTGCGGCCACGTTATTCCAGCGTCAAACCTCTGTGTCTGGACATTGGCGGCTCCCAAGCCCAAAGACGAAGGCAGTGGCATTGACTTCGAGTTCAGTTTCCAGAAACGGAGCGACAAGGCAATGATACGTGAACTGGGGATCGCAATTCTCAATGCCTGCACAGCGGTCCCAGACGGTGTTGTCGTATTCTTCCCCAGCTACGGATACCTGGACGAGGTTGTGGCGGCATGGAGCGAGAAGAGTGCCTCCCAACCCAAATCGATCTGGGAACGCCTTGAAGCCAAGAAGTCTGTTTTCAGAGAGTCGAAGGGTGGATCCAGTGACGAGGTCTTGGAACAATACAGTAAGGCCATCCTAGGCGACGAAAAGGAGGCGGCAAAGAAAACCGGCCCATCATCCAGTCAGACTCGGGGTGCTTTGCTTCTCAGCGTTGTGGGCGGGAAGATGAGCGAAGGCATCAATTTCTCGGACCGCCTGGGCCGGTGTGTCATCATCGTCGGGCTTCCGTATCCAAACATCACCTCGCCGGACTGGAAAGCGCGCATAGAATACATCGAGTCGACGGCGCTCAAGAGATTGACGGAGGGCGATGTGAAGATGCCCAGGCACGAGGCATTAGCAGCTGCAAAGCAGGCAGCTCGTGACTTCTACGAGAATGCGTGCATGCGTGCCGTCAACCAGAGCATTGGCAGAGCAATCCGGCATATGAACGACTACGCGGCAATCATCTTGATCGACAGGAGGTTTGGTACCGAGAAGATCCGGGCCAAGTTGCCAGCCTGGATCCGGGGAGGCCTCGTGGAAGGCAGCGAGAGTGGGGGTCTCGGGCAGATGATGGGTAGACTGAGCAGCTTTTTCCGGAGCAAGCAGTCATAATGCGATAGACTTCTCCTGGACACCCATGCCTGTTTTATGAATCATCCACGGATAATGGACTACTATATATAGTGACACCTCTGGCGGCGCTCCAGACTGCAGACACGCCTCTTCTGGCTGTGCCGCTTCAGTATCATCTCAACAATGCGGAGTGAGGCAGACCATAGTCGAGGTCCCTAATCTGTCGCCAATGTGTTGTGTTGTATGTATGGAAGCAAGCAGTATGCGCAAACTATCGACAATTTGAAGCCGACTCCCCCAAACTTCATGTTGTCACTTCATCTATCGGTAACGACTTACTCATCGTGCTCGACATGCTTGGAATGCTGTGCTGCTGGAGCTGCTAAATTTTCTGGGAAGTATTTATACCAGCCAGGGTTTAGATACGCGTCACGGGTACGGATTGAGTCATTGTGGCTTGCAGACGCAGGCCTGGGATTTCCAGTCATGTCAGCCACATTCCAAGACGTGCAGAAAAGAGGCCCAAGCTCCCTTGGAGCTCCCCGCAAACGGACAAGGCCCAAGGAATTGGGCAACAGGCGTGCAACCTTTTATTAGCGTGACCCGAAGGGTACAAAAGGGGCCCCCTCGCCTCGCCCCAAGCGATCCTCTTGGGCGGACGGGGGAGCCTCCAAGCAAGCTGAACGCGTCCTACCGTACCGTATGTACCGCACCCTACCGTATCTCTCCAGTACGTACAAACAATACAGTATTTTGTCGCATGTTTCCGCTTTGGTACGTATCACCAGTTTTATTTGCATCATCATCGTCTTCAGTCGTCCAGTGTATCTTTACCTTTAACTCTGGGCTCTTTGCGCTTCACCTTCATATTCACCCTGGCGATGACCCACATGCATCGCATCGCCCAGTCTACGGCATGTCGGCATACAAATACAAGACCTTCCCCAGACACTTGGAATATTGCGATGTAGCCCATTGACAGCTGCACCCTATCTTTCATCTTCCTCTTTGATCCCCGAACAGAGCCATTCCTCCGCCTCGGTTCCTCACACTACTCCAGGCTTGAGCCCCGGCTGCCTACATGACATACATGACTCTGTAGGTAGCACCCCTTGCTGCACACCCCTTTCCCCTTTCCCTTTATATGATTCACCATCTGCCTATCTGCTTGTCCATGCTGCGGCCACCTTGACCCGAGAGGGAGGTACTGGATGCGAACAGCCCGTGCTCCGTCCAATTGGCCGGTCCGAGTCTTGGAAAACCGTCAAGTGCCGGTGCGCCGCCGCCCGCAGGTGCCCGTTCCCGTTCCCACCTCCGTTGCGCCACCCGTGACCCTATGCGCCGATAACTTTCCTCTTATTACCTACCTCCTCACCTTGATACACCTTCTCACGCGGACACCCCCAGCTGTAACCGGATTGATACATAATAGAACCGCGACTAACAATTGTCATTCATTGAGGCAGGCTCGACGACTATCCACACATTGGACTCCGAACCGCTGCCTCCTATCTCCCTCTGCCTGGTCAACAACGCGCACGCAACACTATACTTCCAGACTCGAACCACCAAAGCCATCTTCACTGACGACTCACCCATTCGCACCACCGACCTGAACCATCGCGCTGTTCACTGCACTCTGCAGAATACGCGGAAACTCTCACGAAATTGACGGCTCGTGCTTGACTTCAGACTGGACTTGCAACTTGCGCGTGGGTGTGCGATGATCACCATTGCGCATCGCCCAAGCCAACTGCAATGGCCAAGACTCTCAAATTCGGACAGCGCCTTCGCTACCCCATAACCGTATCGAAGATATTCAAGAAACAGGGCGACAAGGTCACCAAGCAGGAACCCATACTACAGTACACCTTCAAGTTCGAGCGGAAGATTGGCGACCCAGACCTCAACGAGGAGCGCATCATCCACGAGACCGGCATCGCAGACTGGGACAGCCCGGTCGAGGGCAGCGTCAAATCATGGCGGGTCAAGGAAGGACAAGTCATCAACGCCAACCAAGACCTTGTTGTCATCGAGGAGACATGCGGCCACGAGATACAATACGCCGGCCTCTGCGCCGTCTGCGGGAAGGACATGAAGGAGCAAAACTGGGCTAGCGAGGTCCTCGACACTGAACGCGCCACAGTCGCCATGGTCCACGATAACGTCGCGCTCACCGTCAGCCAACATCAAGCCGAACGCGCCGAGATGCAACTCCAGCGACGGCTGTTGAAGGACCGCAAGCTCAGTCTGGTGGTTGACCTGGATCAGACGATCATCCACGCATGTATAGAGCCAACCATTGGCGAGTGGCAGCGGGACCCTTCAAACCCCAACTACGACGCTGTCAAGGACGTGCGGAGCTTCCAACTCGACGACGGCCCGCGCGGCTTGGCCAGTGGCTGTTGGTACTACATCAAGATGCGCCCGGGTCTGGCCGAGTTTCTCGAGAAGGTTGCCGACATCTTCGAACTCCACGTCTACACCATGGGGACCCGCGCATACGCTCTGAACATTGCCAAGATCGTCGATCCTACACAGAAGCTCTTCGGCAACCGAGTGATAAGTCGAGACGAGAATGGCAGCATGACCGCCAAGAGCCTGCAGCGCCTCTTCCCCGTCAGCACAAATATGGTGGTGGTCATCGATGATCGCGCCGACGTGTGGCCTCGGAACAGATCCAATCTCATCAAGGTCACGCCGTACGATTTCTTCAAGGGGATTGGCGATATCAATTCTAGCTTCTTGCCCAAACGCGAAGACATCATAGCAGCCAGACCGGGACCACCTCCACAACCGGTCACCGGCCGGACCGTGCAAAGTAGCACCAGTGGCGGGGAGACAGCTACTGCCGCCTCTGTGCCCGACGCGGCTGTAGCAAATAGTGCTGACGAGAACGCCATCCTACAGTTGCAAGCCGAGGAGCAAGAGCGGGCGTTGGAGAAACAGCTCAAGGATCGCCCGCTTCTTCATTTGCAGGAAGAACTGGACAGGGAGGACGAGCAGGCCGAGAAGTCGTCAGCCGATAGTAGCGACAGTCCGGAGCCCAGACCCAACGGACATTCCGAGTCCCCGTCACATCAACGGCACAATCTCTTGCGCGACGATGACCAGGAGCTCAAATACTTAGAGCAACATCTCAGCAGCTTACATCACGCATTCTACGAGCAATACGACGCGCGGGCCGCTAGGCGGCGTCCGGCCGAGATTGCGCCTGGTGTCATACCGGACGTGGGAGCGACACTTGGCTTTCTCAAATCTCAGGTACTCCGGGGCACGCGGATTGTCATGTCAGGCCTTGTCCCACTCAACACCAACGTGCGCAAGTCTGAGATTGGAATACACGCCGAGAGTTTCGGGGCCGAAGTACACACACGAGTGACCGAGGACATCACGCACCTGGTGATCAGCAGTTCGCGACCGCGAACGCAAAAGGTCCGGCAGGCTGCACGCTACCCCTCGATCAAGATCGTGAACCAAAACTGGCTAGCCGACTCGTTGACGCAATGGGCCAAAGTCGACGAGACGCCTTACCTCATACATGTTCATCCCTCAGACCGTGATGCTCAGACGCCCGGGGAGGACGGGTCAACCTCGCCCCCATGGCCCAGGATCACCATCGTCCAGTCCGGACAGCAAGTGGTGGGAGGAACGCAGGACAACGACGCTGCCGATCGTGGCGACGCGGATGATTCTGGCCAAGACGAAGACGATGATGATGACGGTGACAGGGATGAAGACGACGACGGTGAATACCAAGACAGGTATAATGTGATGCCATCTGAGCTCCGAGACGGCGAGGTCAGTCCCGTCGGCGACATGGATAAGAAGGCATGGGCCGATGTGGACGATGAGTTCAAGGAGTTCATGGGCTCGGATGCGGATTCCGACCTCGAAAGTTCCCAGGGCACGGACCAAGGAGGCATGGACACAGATACGGATGAGCCGAGGGGCCAGAAGCGGAAAGCGAATGACGCCGACGACGCCGACGACGGGAGCGCCTTGGCTAAGAAACAGCGTATCGCCAAGGCTAGGACTACGGGCTTGCGCAATGTGAAGAATGCCGGCGAGGAGGATGCTGACGGTCTACCTACACCCGAGGATACGGCCCACGAGGCGAATGGAGGCGATGATCTCGGCGAAGGAGATGATGACGACGGGGATGGCTTCGATATTGAAGCAGAACTTGAAGCCGAACTAGACGCTGAAGGTTAAGTTTGACGACACCACGGCATCGGGGAGGTGCGGGGTTGTGTATGTATATGTACAGGAGTATGTGATCGGGATAGGCCTGGATCTCTGGAATACATTTGCTCGGTGGTCGTGGACATGTTCCTCGAGGCGTTTAGCGAGCAAGCAAGTAGGCAGGCTGGCAGGCATGATACCGGCAGGTCAGTTTTGGCTGCATAGCGATAGTCAGGCGTTTCGAATCTTTATTGTCCTCTTGGCCGAGTTGCCTGGACTCTTGCTGCTCCTGGGTTCCACGCCCAAACTGTGCAAATGAAGAGTCATTGGTGATACGATCTTACCCATCTACCCACAACCTTGTCTAAACACGAGATCTCCCTTGTACGGCATACAGTACGTGGAAAGGTAGGGAGCAGAGCCTCTCAGGGGGCTCACGTGATACGAGCTTATGTAATATGCACCGAGCCCCCACCCATGTGGGACCTGCGCCCGACCACATGCATAAGGTAAGGGAAGTCCATAGCACTCCAGGGCTGTCACCAACACGAACGAACAAGCTCCTCCCCCAATCGACTCTACGACATCCACCTCCACCGAACCGGCGAAACAAACGAGTTTTGCGATCGTCGATTGCCCGCCATGCCGCAGGATATGCCCCCCGTTGGGGGCTACGGCCCTGTGCAATACAAGGTGAGAGCCATTTTCTCCGTTGTTGATGCGCCCTGGCATGGGAGGAACCTTGGAATACCCTGGGCCGCCGGGTGGTTTCGACTACGTCGTGTCGTAGTTGGGTTTCCGCGATGTGGGCGGCTGGCGAAACCTCGATCGGGGGAATCATTGATCAATTGGCACGAAGACGGTCCAGCTGGACGACTCCAAATATGAAGGCACCAGGCCGATCGGTTCCCGCGGCCTTCTCGAGTAGGACTTCACGACGCGCGTACTGTTCGGACGTCGTCCTCTCCACTACCCTAAGCCAACCACTTCGATCCCGATCCGCCGGGAATGCCCTCAGAGCAGAGAGCAGCTAGGCGACCGGAAGGATGAGAGCTGGGCAAAACGAGACTATGATACTGGACTGTGGAGCGAGGCTAATGGCCACTTTCAACAGCGCAATCTTCCCGCAAGCGGATTCCGTCCAGCGACACTGCTCGTTGGAATGGGTGCCGTCATGGTTTACGGGTTCTACAAGCTGGGCCAAGGTATCAAGGAGCAGAAGTACGTCCACCTGCGTCGCCCGTCACTTTCCCCCATGTCGAAGTGCAGTCGCTTTGAGTAGACTGAGTGCGAGCGAGACTGATAACAATTGGGCTTTACCCGTCCAGTGAGCTTGCCCGGGAAAAGATGTGGTCCCGCATTCACCTGATTCCCCTGCTACAAGCCGAAGAAGACCGCGATCTCGTTCGAAGACATTTGGCAGACCAGGCGAGAGAGAAGGAGCTGATGGGCGAGAACTTCAAGGTCTACAACTCCGACAGGTATGTTCCCTAGGCGGGTTCAATTGGGTGGTCGGATGTACTGACGTTGCTTGGGCAGATACGTGAGACCGACATACGCTGTTACGCCGACCAACACAACGAAATAGAAAATGCCCTGGAGGGTACCGAGGATTCGTATGATACTTGAACCGAATTCGGCAGGTGTGGTGGCATTGTACATATACCAGGAGAAAGGCCATTCGAGGTCACCCTCTACAACATTGAGAACTTCAGCATCTACATCTCCACAGACTAATCACCGTGCAATGTACCAAGTCATCGCTTGTGCGAATACGCTTGACCCCAATCCCAGTCACGCGACGAACAGCCATTTCATACTGTTCAGGGGTAATCACGCTGGGCTGAGCCGCCACAGGAGGCCAAAGCTTTGACTCAATGGGCACGGCAGGGGTTTACTACTTAGATACAGACACATAGGTTTCCTTCGAGGCCACCATTACCATTGACATCTTGCTTGATGGCTGAAAACTCCGACGCAACGAAGCCGTCTGCCAGCGACGCCGATATAAATGAAGCTACGCCACTCGGGAGCATACGAGTGGTGTGCTGTCAGTGATGGGTTATGACTCTTCAGCTAACAACAGGGTCATATGATCGAGCGTCGTCTACCGTGGATTGCAACCAATATCGACCTGGTGCCACTTGGTCTTCCATTATGAACAGATCAACGTCAACATTTTCGAGACTACGGAGACAGAGGTTCCACGCTCATTGCTAATACATCTCCACTTGTCCGGTCAACTAAGCCTCGCTGTAACAAGTTGGACAGCCCCTCTGTGTATGTATAGAGATATTGGGTCTGCCTTACTTGAACTTTAGGGGCAGCTGGTCCAAGCTGGTCGTACGTCTAGTGACAATCACATTGGTTAACTTACCCTAGTTTCGACGAAGTACCCCTGAACAGACCACGGACCAAATCCAGAGCTTGTTGAGGAAGAAGAGTCAAGGATTCGCCCAGCCAGATTAAATAGAAACGTGTTAAGTTATAGGAAACTATGCTACATCTGGCTCGCATCCTCGCCTTCGCAGCCCATGGCTTCAACGCTCCGACTGACACCGCACTGCCGTCTGCCGACAAATTCATGAATGCATGGATGGTATAGTGGCATCCCAGAAAGGTAGGGGTTGTAGCAGAGCCCAAAAGGGCCAAGGCTGCGAGTTTGAACAAGGTACTATTGAGTACGATCGTGAAGTTCAAGCTGAGAGATTCTGCCCGTAGTGACGAAGTAATGTAGAGCTTGTCTGAGTTGGGTATCATGCAGTTGAGGTAGTGTATAAAGATCTTGATACTATTGTGTCGTTTTGTGCTGGAAAAAAGCAGTGGATGTATGTCTGTCCTCGATTTATTTTAATTTAAGCTCTTCGACCGGAAGGGAGGAGCCATACTCAAATACACCAAAAGACAACAAAAAGCAGAGCCCCCGTGCTGTATTTTATACAATGGGAGCTTGACGACTCCAGTAGGTGAGACGTCATCTTCCCAAAAGCTCAGAACATACCAAGGAGATCCGAGTCTGTCATCCTCGAGACTGGCCATGGCGATCTCAAGGTCGCTAAAATTTCGTCGGTCAGCGTGAGCGCCTGTTAAATACGCGAGCCGAACCTCGGAAACGGCATGGACGTCACGCAAAATAGTAATTTTCGAAAAATGGGCGGCGAAGGCCTGCTGACCTGGCTGACGAGACGGGTATGGCGACGACAACTGTGATAATCAGCACAGGGGAAGGACCACCATCGTCATGGGAGGCTTGTATATGCATATGTGCCACCTACCTACGGACAGTATGCTACTTATCTCAGAAGCAGGATCGGCTGTCGTCCGATGATAGGTCCTTGCAGCCAAGCGGAACTTCATGCATAGCGCCTCACGATGTCAAATTTACTCTGGTAACTATAAGCCACAGAAGACTGCCAGCTTCTGGGAACATTGCGATAAACCAACGTAGCACCTGCTTACGTTGACGATGTTCTCGGAGGCAAAACACTTGCAGTACACTTCCTGCTCCTGAAGAATAGGGGTCGTAAGCGAGACGGCTGAGAGGAGCTGGATACGACCCTTCCTCTTTGAGCCAGAATTGGACGTTGTCTGATACATTATTCACTCCACAAGATCGGTGTACTCCAAAGCTTGTCATCCATAGTTGGCGTCAAACATCTGGACTCACCCTCGAGGTCTGGACCATGGACCGTGGTTATTAGCGATGAAGAGGCAGCAGGAGGACCAGCCTTAGGCCTCGGTCCATAAGTCATACGCCCACACATTCACAGAAGACACAGTTGAGCTACAATGCCGAGTGACGTAATTATGTGATTCATGCTCGTTCTGAGCCTCCGTGTTGCCGGGGCGTCATGCAGCCACGAAGTCATGCGGAATGTCGTCCGAGAATGCAACGTCTGTGCCACTGGGACCATGCACAGCACAACGAACAACGTTTCCACCCCCCGATCCAGCGACCACACGTTGCTGTCATTCGAAAAGTGAAGTCCAGCCAAGAGTCACAGGGTGGCGATATCTTACTCTGACGGCAAGAAAGGGGTGAGGATCAAACGCGACAGGATGAGCATGAATTCGATTGCAAGACATAGTCCTTGGACTGATGCACTATGTAATAGGCCCATCAGCTCCGCGGACTCTGGGAACGATAAAGGGTTCCTTCCGGTAGCACCAACTCAAGGGGCTATCATAGGACGTGTTTTTCGACAGACGACTGGCAGTCAAACTTGGTTAGGCGGGAGGAATCAAGCCAGAAAATAAGATTATTACATTGGATATGGACAAGGCGGCTATGCCAGGGGCCGGGGCTAAGTCCGGGCTGGTTGGGAAGCTTGGCAGCCTCCTCCTCAATGCTCTTGCGAAAATCTTGGCTTCCTCCTTTAGAGCCCTGATATATCCTATGTGCTCTACTTGGTAGTTTCAGTGAAGTCAGCCAGGTCAGCCAGCTAGAGTATTGAGCATTGTTGCCATTGGCTGTTCCGAAAAAGGGGGCAGATTTCGAAAGCCGCACCCCGTTCTCGTACACAACCCGACGGATCAAGCTGACTGCCAGTGTCGACCTGTCCGGGGGCGAAGCCAATCACGGTGTTATGCCAAGTCAGATCATCGCTGCTGTGCCCCATAGACTCGATTTGTTACTTTGACGACCAAGGTGGCGGTGCAGGACAAGCGATAGGACCTGTCAGTTTGCATTCCAATTATTTTTTGAAGCCAACTGCAGCTGGGCACAGCCCTGGGTTAGACTTCTGTAGGGGCAGCAAAGCTGGATGAATTTCACTCTATTGGTTTATCCAACTCCTCCAGCCTCACCAGACAACTAAACATTCCGACGTACACATCAACGTCAATCACATCGCAGCGGCAAGCCGACCCTGACAGCCATGGCGATACAGACGCGAACTGACTTACTCTCTATCCTCTGCAACACACATGATTCTGCATGGAATTGGGATGGCATAGGTATGACTGCAATCCGCTTCGATAGGGATGACACAGGCTACGTATGCTTTTCCTATCTACCTTGGCTTCTCAAACGACAAGTGCAAGCTCACACGGCTGACTGAAACCACAAAGCTCTGCTGCGGTGGTGGTCTCACCATCTACTACTGCGCCGAATTCGACTGGAAGCTGCCCAGTCCAGAAGCTGTTGACTATGTCGTGAACCTCAGCGCAAATCCCGGATGCACGACCCTTCTCGGACAATTCGACATTGAGATTCGCTTCTCACGCCGTCCTCCACGGCACTTTTATTTGAACGACAAATTTGTCCGCAAGAAAGCTTTCAGGCCCAAGAAATTCAATTGTCCGCCTCGAACGAGGCAGGTTCGAGCTCGGCGTATATAGAGACTCCGACTCTGGCCTCTACCGGAATGCGCCCAATTGCAGGCATGCACATCGCCTCACGTTTGACAGGTCGCCCTTCCCGCCGTTGGATGAGTGGACGGCAGCGGGCAGATCGCCTGCAGAGATATCCAAATTCCATGAACGGAATGGCTTCACTGATGGGGTTCTCCTCCTGAAACCCAGTTGGGGGGACTATGTGGGCGATTGGTGGACTTGGGTGACGGGCAAGGCCCATTAGCCAACGGACTGATAGTCGACCATGGAAAAGGGGGCACATTTGGTGGGAACCAGGTGGGACTTGCTGCAAATAGTGATCCTTAGGTGGCACGAAGTACGACTGCCAGGAAGACCAAGCACAAGGGTTGAACGAAAAAAAACAAAGAGTACCGATTCTCAGCCCATCGTGAGTGCCTGTCTCGGGATGAAGGCTTCATAGAACTGTACCAGGAGGAAGCCCGTAACTCGCGTTGCTTGGAGAACAGTGAGCTGTCTGGCCATCCCCCGTCGTGTCCGAGCAGGTACATTCGTCATGAACGTGTCGGGCGGCTCATATGGGGCGACAACACCAGAGCCACGGACGATGATCAGGATGATGATGATGATGACTTGCCTGCTAATTATACTATCTGCTATGTGATGCACCTTCAAAAGCAAGTTCGTCCGCAACGCTATGATGTTTGCCATAGGGTGCTCGGGACACAAATGGACTATAGAATTCGGCAGGTCGGTAGTTGAGAGGAGTGAGATCTCTTCAGTCCAATTGATCTTTCGCGTGTGTGGGCCTCGTAAGGCAAGTTCGTCAGATCCAAGCATGACAAGCCAGGTAAAAGCTCAGATATGTTCCGCAACAGGCAAAGAATGCCGACTCGGTAGGGATCTCCAACACGCCCAGCCCCTACCTCAGGGGTTGGGCAAGAACATAAACAAGAAGTCGTCAATGTGAAGCTTTTGCCAACCAACTCCGGTCCTGGCCGCATTCAACATGTATCGTGTTGCCAGCTTGCCGCCTGTTTATTTTTGCCAGCCGGATATGCCAACACAATGCACGAGTGGGATGACAGTATCCCGTTCTTCCATCTCTGCCATGCAGGTCCGTTTCATCTTCTCACTCGGTCGTCGGGACTTCGGATGGTCGTCGTAGCGACACCCGAGAAGCGAGCGGAGACTGGCATCCAAGGTGCTATGCCAAATAGCAGTCGTGGCTCGTGGCTCGTGGCTCGTGAGTCGTAAATGGAAAGACATGTATGTGTTTCCAACAGGAGCCGCCAAAAAGCGCGATCAGAACATAATCTGCGCAATTCCTGTCCGGCAAAAGGTTGCGAGGTCTCTCGGGAGCGTCCTCACAGCGGGGTGTCAGATGCAGCAAGGTCGATTGCTCATCGGCCGCCAACACGATCGACAACCCTTGCGCCACCATCATCTTTCTTGCCAGGACCAGCGGCGACACCAGCATAGCTAGAGCCCCAGGCGCCCATGACAGTGCCTACGCCCGAGGTTCGCTGCCTCGCTCTTATGGTGGTGTCCCGATCTCCATCCTCATCCATGCTGAAGACGAACTCGCCATCTTCCTCGCCGATAGGCGTCGTGTATCGGGCACTCGAGCTGACGGAGCCGCTGCTGATGTGCCGCTCGCCATTGCGTCCATTGGAAGGTCGCGAGACATGCGCATGCGGGTGCAATAAAGGTGACTCGCCTCCGCTTCCGTTGCCGTCGATACGGGTGCGCTGGAGCTGCTGAGTGAGTACACTGAGACCTTCGATGCTGCCCGGTCGGCCAGCTGTGTGCGGTCGCACCACGTCGGCACTAAGACTGGACTGTCGCAGAGGGCTGCCGACGTGGCCAAACACTCCGGCGCTTGCGGCTATAGCATGCTTCTTGGCCTCATGTTCCTCATGCTGACGCTGAAACAGAGGCCCCCAACGACTTGGGCTTGATGCCAAGGGGCTTCCAATCTTGGAGGATGGCTCGGCGTTGGGCGTGCCTGTGCCGCTCGTGCCGTTCGTCCTCAAACCGCTGACTTCATCATCGGTGGCTCGCGAGCCACGCCGGGCCTTCTCTGCCGGTGTCAAAAGTTCCTTGAGGTTGTCCGGCAGATAGTCTTCCTCGGTGAAGGGAAACTCGGATTCCCAGTCTCGATCGATGGCCCCTACGATGGCGCGAGGTGCACTGCTGCTGAGCATCTTAGGCTTAGCATAGCGGCTCGAATGCATCTGGCGTCTACCAAAGTACTCGTCAGAGGGCTGAGTCGGCGGTGAGGAGCCGGTGACGGTGGCGGACAAGCGCTCGTTGCTGCCAAAGGCGGAATGGTGCAGAAGTTTCAGGGCCTCGGATGTGCGTGACTCCTTGGCGGCGTTTAGGGACGGCGAAGGCGACTCGATACCGAACTGCGAGGGTACGGATGAAGGCCAAGGGCCTCCCGGGTACAGGGCGGCGTTCGAGATTCCATTCGAGTCGAAAGAAGCCGGCAAGGGGGCGTCGAGCACCGACAGACCCTTCCCAGCTACGGGCGAAAGTCCGAGGCCGAGCCGTGACGGATCCTCTTCGCGGGGGGAGCCGTACTGAGAGCTCGTGTGGGAGTATGTGGTGTCGATGGTGGGGACGTTCTCGAGGCTCGGTCGACGATCAATGGTCTGGTAGGGCTCGCTAGGCGAGACGGGGTAGCCGTAGGAGTCGCCGCGCATGAAAGAATTGGTCAAGGCGCTGTTGGAGTTGTTGTAGGCGGCCGGGCTGACGCGGTTTCCGAGGTGAAGAGGCTGGCCGATGGTGATGCCGCTCTTGCTGTAGTTGATGCGGCGGCCGTCGGCGAGGACGTGGACATTGGCGCATTTGGGACCGAACTTGCAATTGCCCTGTGATGGGAAGATCTAGTCAGTTCGGTAACCATAAGGTACTCGAAGGCGAGGCATGTGATTAACGTACCTTGGCGAAGTACTTGCATACCGTCTCGGCAGCAGAGCCGAGATCATGGCTGAAGGGGCAGGCAGAACCAGCCTGGCAGGCGCCCTGTCGAAAGAACTTGCACGGCACATGGGAGGTGTCTGTCATTGGGGGCGCATTGAGGTTAGCAGAGTGCGACCCTTAATAACAGAGTATAGACTTACTCGGTGGACTCCTCGGGCCGTCAAAACGGCTGTGTGACTGCGCTACGGGGCTCATGGCGTTCGCCTGAGACGGAATGTTCAGGCTCCCCGACCGCACATGGCGATATTCAGACATGGCGGGGAGGAGAGATGCGGCCGCCAGAGGTCGAGTTCGTGGTCGTGGTCACTGCAAAAGTCGATGTCGGTGATGTCGGTGATGTCGGGGACGAGGCGGCAACAGCGTGGAGAGCGGATGGTGGTGATTCGTGAACGTGAACGGAGGTGGCGGGATGGGATTGATAGCTGGAGGTGAGATGAGGAGTACCCGGGCGCAGCTTGAGGAGGGGAGCCGATAAGACCGAGTTTCTCTTTCTCTTATCGCTCCTGTTTTTCCCACATGCACCGATCCAGCACCAACGCACCCCTAGCCTAGGTACCTCCTAAGTGCTGGGCGGTGGCGGTTGGAGGGGCTGTATGTACTTAGGCAGTGCAGCGGTGTATTGTGAGTGCTCGAAGCCGAGTCTGTACAGATGAAATTGGATTGTTAACGCTGTTGTCCAACTGGAACAAAGGAAAGGAAAACCACATGGCGGGTGCTACGCGTGTCTCATGACGGTTATTCGCAGCAGGGAGGGAGGGGCTGGAGGGGTCATGCACAGCTTTGCGATAGGTATCCGCAAGGTGGGGGGGAAGGGGGGCGGGTGGTGTGGGTGCCGGAGAGGGTGGTGAGAATGACAAGGGCGAACTGGTGTGAGGTGAGGGTAGGTAGATGGCAATATGTATGCCCTCAATTGGCATTGCGAGCCGTCATCATTTGAACATGGAATTTTGGCTTCGTCTCGTCTCGTCTCGTCTCACATGGATCATGGAAATCTTAAAGGAGCTGCAGAGGGGAAAGGAGGGGCAGAGGGAACATGGATGCGGATTCTGCGTGATAGGATGGAAGAGGTGGTACAGGAGAAAGAACACCAACAAGTGAAAGGGGTCAACAACATACCGATTCCTGAATTGAATGTGCTTTGCTCTAGAACGGGGAAACAATACCTGCGGGGAAATACTGGATATCCGGTCTTGGACCGGGCTGGTGGTCGAAGTAGTGGTGGCAGAAGAAGAAGTAGTTTGAAGCCAATGACTGCCGTCATTCGGCAGGTAGATAGGAAACAAGCGTAGGAGGAGAGGAGCTTGTCAAGGTTGCAGGAGGTCACAGGTTGCCTACAGGTCGTGTTCGCCCATCACAGGGTTCGACGTTGCATCCAGCACAGGTCACCATTGGAGATAGTCACCTCCTTGTAGTAGCAACTAATAGACTCTTATTCGCGTGTTTTTCGTCGTCGTCTATTGTACCATATATAAATAAGAGGTATGTAATGCCGGAGTCTTTCGACTGAATATATACCCAAGGCAGCCGGCACGGTAGAGGAATAGACCAAGCTCGAATGCTGATTGTCGAGCTCGGCTGAGACAAGCTGATCTCGTGTAAAGCTCGTATGCAGTAGTTTACCAGATCGATCAAGACCTAAGACAAGCGTCCAGTCCCTTAAAACTACTACGGGAATGCAAGTGACTTGCCTCGGTCATCTGCTTCGAGTCTCAAGTAGGCATAGGGTGATCAACTGTTTGTCAGACAGCACTCGATGGATCATGGCAGGCAGTCCGGTTGAGGGTCTTGGCTGGGTAGCCTGGGAGGCTTCAATCTGTGAACTTCCCAGGCCTCGTCTTTAGGACCGACCCTTTTGGAGCTGCCTGTCCAGGGTCATCTGGCTTGTAAGCAGGAGGCGTGGGCGCGTGGGGGTTTATCGAGATCGACTTTGAAACACACTTGAACGTTGAGTCCTACACTCTCTCTCGAATAACGATGCGGAGGGCAACTACCGCGACTATATCTTGTCTTATCTATATCTTCTGCGCTCGAATCCTCACCTTGTAACTAAGCGACGGGACTGGAAAGGCCCACCAATGACGCTGGTGAATCAACTGCTTGCCGTGGGTGTTCGTGTGTAATAATAAGGTAGTAGTTGTGAGATAGACAACTTGCCTACCTAGGTAGGTATGTAGTTGTCGACAATTGAGGCGCTTGCCAGTTCGACTGCGGCGCATCTCAAGTGAAAGGCGATCGTACGAGTTGGGCTGAACTTTCTGGGATCAAGTCGGCGGCCTGATTTGTCGCCCTGAGCCACTAACAACAGTTCGATTGGCTGGGAGTTGAACGTCGAAAGGAGAATCGGCAACCAATACCGTGGTTAGGAGGCGGCTGGCTGGGTAAGGTGTAGTTGTACATACGAGAAGCTGTCTCACGGGAACCTAACAATTGGTCTTATTATATCCCTTGAATACGGGTGGGTGGCATCCAATAAGTGTGAGGGATGCCGAATTGAATGCTTCAGAAGTGGCCAGACCGATACAGGAATGGGGGAGATGTGATGCTGGCAAATCATGTAGTTAACTACAAGCGATGCAACAACCTGGGTGCTTCTGTCTGTTGTAGGCCGAAGCCAAGTTTACTTTGACGATGTCCGACTTCTGTCCGTTGGACCCCTTTATCAAACCCCGCTGATGGAACGAAGCCCACTTACACATGGCGATTGGGCGGGGCCGAGCCCTTCAACGTCGCCGGTCCCGTCTATCCCGTGCTTGTGTAGGAAGCCAACCGGCAAGACGGGTTGGCGAGACTGTCCCACAAGCGGGCAGGTAGACCCCCCAGAGTTCCCCTGAGGATAGCAAATTGTATACTAATTGTATAGTTTTGTCGGCCGATGCCAGCTTTTCAGCCGAGGTTTTCGTCACGAGGGCAGTACCTAGGTAATCATTACGCCGCCTCTAAGAAGTTACTGACTGCCCTCAAAGTTGAGACACCAAGAATGGATAAGCAGATACTTAGTGTAGAAGATGGTGAGGCCGTGCTGCCAAGCCAAGTGCCAGTATGTAAGGCTGGTGGCAGTGACCGAGTTCAGCTCAGGTAGTGCATCCATGTCTCACCTTGTGATGATGAAGATATATGAGACATGAGAACATCCCTTCTGTACATCATGTCTCAGTCCCCCAGACCGGTCGTTTGTCATCATCGCCAAACCCGGTTAAGGAGAGCCGCTGCAATTTTCGGTCGAACCGCACGCAATATAATCACCAAGCTAATATACTTCAGCGATGCTGTCTGATCGAACGGCGGCTGTGGGTCGGTGGACGATGTTTGCGGGTTCGACCAAAAAGGCGACAAGCTTCATCCAAGCTCCATGGACGTCAAAATTGGGCTTTCGATGCAGAAGCATCAGTGATCCATTGGGATGGCATTTCTTATAAAGATAGGTGAGCTTGTCGAGGCTTCGGCACAAGCCACGGACTGGCAGCATGTCGTACTCCGGGTCGTACAGTCAAGACCTCGAGCAAGCTTTGAACGAACCCCTGAGTCCAGCAGCGGACGGTTTGTGGCTTGTGTAGCCCGCTGTGGCGCTCCCTGTAATCCCCTGTACTCGGGCAGTGGAGTGGCTGAGGCTTTTTAGCGTCACTGCCCCAGCAGACCGCCAGATCCGCGGGTCTTCAAGACTTCACGATAAACAAATCATCACTCCTTGCTTCTCCGTGTCCCAGCGTCAGATCATGCGGGTTCTGACAGGTAGTCTAGGTGGCACCACAAGGTGCCGTCACATGTCTACTATTCCACCTCCTTCACACCCACTCCATTATGCCATACATGTCCCCAAGGCCTATTCTGTCTGCAGGGCCATCGACGCATCCACTAGACCAACCGGCTTTCGACTGCATGATCACCCAGCCGCCCTTCAAGAGTCTGGACCCACGAGTGGCCCCGTCCGTCGCCATCATGTTAGTCGTCACCAGACCACCTACCGGCTGACACAACATCTCTCCTGCTCCTCCGCCTCCTCAATCAGATCGAAGCAGAGCGGCAACTGCAACAAGGCGGCACTTGCCGCCTGGCAAGGTGTATCATCATGGAAGGTATCCGTCGCACGACATTCCGCATCCGCTTCCCGGGTACCGGGTCCCGGACTGATCGTCCCAAGTGCCGGCACCCTTGACAGCACCAATGGGGACATCCTACAGTGCAGGGCGCCGGAGGCGACCACATCTCTATATGATAGGGCCGTCCGCCACTGCACCCGAAGGCTGGTGCGCTTGATGATCGACACGGAGAGGATAGCAGTGGTAGGCCAAGACGTACATGTAGTCTTTTCCCACGTCCCGAGTATATCATCCTTTCATGTCATCTCCCCCACCTCCTACCCATCTGAAGCCCCTGTTCCAGCTTGCCAAATACAAGTTTGCAACTATCCAACCACCCAGGTTGTATCAAAGGATGTTCTTATCTGTCAATGTAGCTCGTCTACTCTGATCACGCGCCGCTAGTTTACTCTTCATTATAATGGAATGCATGGATGTTGGAAAATCAGACCTGACTTCGACTAAACCGGATTTAAGCTGAGTCTACGTGTAAACGTACGATGTTCTATAAATGATATTAAACCCCTGCTAACAGTGTAGACTCTCCCCTTTTCCGACGCAAACGCCATTTCAAAATACAATGCTAGCCATGGATCACGCTCGTCCCAGCTCTCAGCATCTAGAGACCAAGCTTCGTCCTAGCCTATACCCTACACCCGACTAGTCCCTGCCTCACTCGCTCCATTCGCCTCCGGCACAGGCGTAACAGGCCGACTCTCCACCCCGCGAAACAAGCTGATGTTCTCCAGGTACGCGACGTACTCGCTATCCGCATACCCCATAATCCCCTTAACCAGAGCACTGCGCTTCCCCTTGATGCACGCGATCGCAGGCGCCGCGTACATCGGTCGGTTCACTAACTGGCAGCGTGATGGTAGTTTTGTTTGTGACAAGCAGCGGGACACCGTACACGACATCATAAACGACGACCACGTCGACCACAAGGACCACGGCGACGACAGAAACAGTAGTGATCGCGAGTGCAACCATGAGCAATAGGGACTCCAGAACCAGCAGGCATGACGAAGACCAAGACCGCGCACCCACGACTCGGTTCCTCTCCGCCGTCAGAGCTGGCAGCGTCTGGACTGTCTGGAGGGTGAGCCTCGTCCGAGAGCTACTAGTATTCTTGTCTAAGGCGTTGTTTTGTTCCCTGTGAGTACTTCTCTCGTCAACGCCTTCCAAACACCACTATCCGCTACATTGTTTTTGACCGCAGCGTTGACTTGCCTGCTGGCCCAAAGCCTCGGCGATCTATATATGCCTATAATGGCCCCAAGCCAGAGAAGGCTCACCACACGTCTTTTCCTGCCAGACTGCCGCGTTCTACGTATGTTCACGCTTTCCAAAACGTCCATGTTCGCTTTGTGCTTGGAGTATTGACCTCATTGGCATCATTAGCGGCGTCGTCAGCACTCTGCCCCTGAATTCTTGGCTTTAGACAGTCAACCCTGGGTCTTAAACCGGCGGATCGTAATCGTCCTTCGCCTCCAAGGCCTTGCTTGCGTGGTCGGCGGCTGAGATCCAGGCAAAATAGCCCGACGTGCCCACACGGCGAAAGCCTAGCGCCCGGTAATACCGCATCGAGTCTGCTATGCCGCGCTGCCTGATCCTCTCTGCCCGAACTGAAACGTCGTGGGATATATCCCCATCTAGGGTCATGCCCATCTCGCGCTCAATGTCTTGTATGTCGCCGTCAGGAAGAGTGACGACAAACAGATCCCGACGTCAGCTGGGTGATCTTGTCCAAGAGGACTTGCATGAATCTCTTGCCGATGCCTTGGTTACGGAAATCGGGCTCGATACGTAGGCTCGCGATATACATAATAACGCATTTGTCGACCTCGGAGTTCTATACACCTGTACCTTTGTCCGGGTCGACGGCCCATACCGACGACTTAAACAAACCATCATGATCGTAAAGTTGCTCGGCTAGCTTAATTAGCGCGTGCATTGTTGGAGAGCCCCTGAGCATAGAAGGGGACTAGGCTCATTCTCTCGCGCACGATAAGATGGAATCCGCAGCCTCCAATCCAGCGTCTAGGTTGATCGCCCAGCAGGCGTGGCAAATGGGGCCAATACTTCCAACGTTCCTGAGGACCCATTGATAGGATTAACGTGGTCGAAGTCAGACATCCTGTATGCTCCCTTGTTAGCTGCTATAGTATATGTCTAATTAAGGGCCTCTTACCACTCCTTGATGTACTCCCCAGTATTGTTATGAGGACCATAGTCCTCTCCCTGCGGGATCAGATGCAGCTCGTACTGGCGAGGTTACTCCATATTACCAGTCAGTCAGTGACTTGTCAGACTGGGCAGAACAAGCGCCAATCGCAGTCAAAATTCTTCTCGGGTCAGTATTCAGATCAGTGAAGGGACAAATGTTCTGACTACTGGAGGTGATGAGGTGAGATTGAAGGCAGGGGAGAATTCTCGCGCCCTCCAGTCACTAATGACTATCTCAGGGCCTGTGACTACTACGTTGCTTGATTCTCGTGCCATTTGGTCGTGCAATCAGAGTGGCTGACTCTTGCGGTAAACCTCCAGGAGCCCAGGGGGAAGAGGCAATTGTCGGTGCATTTGTAGGATCAAGCATGACCGTAAGACCATGTAGATGAGCAAACAGAGCGGATGTTGCGTGAGTCAGTGGTGTTGACGGGATTGGCTTCAGGATGGAGAGACCTGAAAATGCAGGCTCATGTGTCAGAGCTCCCACATACGTCCCACCCAAAAACCGGACTCTCCTATCAGCCCTCGCGGGCTTCATGTCAGTGCTGATCTGTCCGCTTGTAGATGTGCGAAGCCGTCTTCATTGGAACCCTCGCGGTTACTTCGCTAGTCTAGACTCTCACTTTACTGGCTGTGCCCAACCCACCTTGCCAGCTTCGCCGCCATCTGTCAGCCCTTTGGCAAGCTCCGCTCACACGACTCCTAAGGACTGTGGAGGTTTGCAGACGTGTAGTCGATAGGCGGGCACGCCATGGTATTGCAAGAAGACCAGCCCTTGGCTCTTTTTGGATATCGTGAACCAACTCATCCTCGCCCGACGGCACTATCAGCGGTCCGCAAAACGAGGGCCGCACTTGGGTACAGTCTAACGAGCTGGACGTCTGAACCACGTGTTAACAGGCACTATCTTGGCTGTTCGCCGACGGGAGGTGTCACCTGCGAGGACTCGTATCACGTCATCCATAGCATTGCAAACTGCGTCTCCGGATGTAAAAGCTCCGGCGAGCTCGTAAGTTGAATTTGTCGTCATCAATCGCCCCGGCGATGTACAGCAAGGGAGGTTATTCGGGATCGAGTAAGATTATAAGCCACATTCCCTAGCTTGTTCACCTGCACGGTGTAGCCACACCGTCAGTTGACGGGCGAATCATCAAGCGGCTGCCCTCACCACCTCAACCGCGCCTGTACGCATTCTCCACATCATCTTCCCAGGCTTTGGCCGTCAGCGATCGCTCAGTAGATCTCAAGCTTCATGTGTAGTCGGTTCCTTCAATCCCACTGTCTAGCACTCAGCAGTGGTTGTCAGTGGTGCAGATCAACATCGGTGTATGCATATTTTATATAGCAAATGCTTGTTCTAGGGTTTGATACAACCGGTATAAGTGGTATGCTCAAGTGAGCCGGTTGAGACGTCTTGAATGAACTTAAAGCCATCCAGTCTTTATGGGGATTGACATGAGCATCTCTTGAATGTACTGTACACTTACCTTTTTACTGTTCCGTTCAAGAACCTGGGAATGCCACCGCTGTCTCCTTGTTTTCCATGAAAGGCACCACTCCTCGAAAGATCAACTACTAGACTTCCGCTCTTGTCACCTTCTACTGAACTACACATACGGCCCATAACCTCTGCTCCTCTATGCTTACGCATCCTGTACACCCCTTTCTCGCCGCTGTAGTGCAGCTGACACTCCTCGCCCGCTCACCCTCCTAGTGGGAGGAAGACTCCGCAGTGATGCAATCCAGTATCCCATCACTGTCAAGTCTTCTACGATATACTCATCACTCGCTACGTAGCCGGAACTAAAGTACACACACGCCTCCAGCCCTCCACTAGCCACACACACCCATCAAGGAAGGGGTAACGGTAGAGGCAGCACGTAAGTAGCCGCTTCTGCCGACAACACAAGATTTTAATGAGGTGCTTTCTTCAGTTACCGATATAGATGACGTTGGCTTGGTCTGCTCCACGGACACGACGCGAAGCGAGGATATTGCATACTCACTACTAGGTATAATCGACATAAACATGGCGCTACTGTACAGAGGAAGAAGCAAATCCATTCGGAGACTCCAGGAAGAGATAATGAAGTCCTTCCCAGAAGATTGTACTCTGTTCGCCTGGGGGAATTTCCGGTTTACGCCAGCTCGCAAGATATACCGTACATGGTTATGTACGGCAATGAAGCAATGGATACTGATCTCACTCCGTAAGACTCTTCACCAATTACCGAGTCCGTGGGAGAGAGGTACCGATTTATGGGCGTCTTCCAACCAGAGGGGCTGAGGCCGCTGAGCATGTCCAGACACATGGTAGAAGTCCTGTTGACTGAAAGCGATCTAGAAAACGCATTGAGATCACCCCATGGACCCTACTCCTCTCAGTCCAGGTCTTGATCAACCTGCTTCGTCTATCCACTGGCATTCAGCGTCCCCTGCTGGGGCTCGCGGTATTGCCGATGACGATAGAACCTCTGGTTCTAGGTGATCCAGAGTAGAAAATTACATTCATATAGATACAAGCCACTTCCCAAAATCATTCACCTCAAGGCTTGAAGGGTAATTTAGCACATACTTTGTTTCTAAAGGATCGTGGGGAGTTGCCATTCTATGCGGCTGAATGACAGGCGGATAAGTTGTATTGTCATGGCCCAATCTGTCTGCTATCCTGTAGAAATCCCAGGGCTGTATTGCAGCATCTTACGTGGATGGAACCAAATGCGGTCCCGGAACACGGACTCGCATTGCCGAAAAAGCCTGTAGCCCCATACAGGTCATGAGCACACCTACATGAGCGCTCTCCTGCATGCGCCTTTCACTACAGATATATCCAGAGACGCCTGTAACGTGGGCGGGCGTGACGCAGCGGGCGGAGTTCGCAAGTGAGAACGTGCGCCTCCTCCCTTGCTGCTCGCCTTGACATGCCGAGGCACACTGGACCATGGTGTAGCGAAAGTCTCCTTGCCCAGCACTTGACACTCCTCGAGTCAGTTCGTAGACTAGGCAAGATCAGTCTCAATCTGCCGACCGATGAAGCACCCAACTGGTCCTTAAAGAGACTCATTTGTGCCAAGCGCAAAAAGCTTGTACTACGACTTGTCAAAAGGGTGGCTCAGGTTAGGCCATCGAACAGCTCGCGTACACAGCTCGGGGGACTTTTACAGCATGATCATGATGCCTAAGGTCTGCAACCTTGGTAGCCGGACTAGCAGCGAAAGAGGAACATTAGGGCGTATAAGAGTGACAGAAGCCTGCGGCGGGTTTGAACTCGAGATGTAGGAAGTAATGGTCGATCTCTGACGACCTTTGTGTTTGGTCCATCGGCAAGCAACAATGTTGTAATACAATGGCCATCCCTACTTCTTTCCCTGAATAACATACCGATAAGCATTGTAATGCCACATTCCATACTCCTCGTCGATGAACTCTGGCTCCGGCACCAACCCCTTCCACTTGTCCTCCGCAACCTCCACCAAGAACTTCGCACCCAACGCCCTCATTCTCATCTGCTCGTTTTGTGCTTCCCCGGCGTTATACGTCGTGAACAGCGCCGGGACATTGTCCTCGACCAGCCCCTGGATCGTTGGCTCCCAGTCTGACAAAGCGTCGTCGCCGTCCACCCAGCCGCTGTTGAAAAGAACAACCAGGTCAGGCTTCTCGTAGTCGCCCGTCTTGGCAAACTCGTGGTAGAGGCCTTGGTACATGGACACGGAACGTGTGCGGCCGTCTGCTGTGCAAGCGGGGCAGCATTCGAGATCGCTCTTAGGCATATAATGGTGTCCATTCCTTCCATTATCTAGAACCGAAGGAAGACCAGGCCCGACAGCCGTGATGTGCAGACCGCGCAGACTGGGTGTGAGGTGAAGTATCTCTTCGAAGCTGGCGAGGGCAGTTAGTTCACGGCCAGTGGCGCCGACGATGTGGAGGCGCAACTGCGGTGCCTCCCAGCTAATGTCTTCGAGGGCTGAGAGGATGGTCAGAGACATGGTGGCCGTGTTGCTTGCGCAGGCAAAGAACATGCGCATTCCCTCGGCTTCAACCCTCTCATCCTCACTAGCAAGTCGAAGCACTTGCTCCTCGAGGTCTGTGAAGTCGGGCTTGACGACACCTGCGACCCCTGGCGCATTGGATATATTAACCCAGTAATCATACCAGCCGGCCGCGTCCGCAAGAAGCTTCCGTGTCTCGCGTGGGAACTCAGTGCATGCTGCGGGAGATACGGTCCCGTTGTCTTCAAAGAAACCGATCTGGAAGTCCTCGAACTGGGCGTGGTCCTGGTACGCCGCGCAGATGGCAGGCGAATGCTCGGGCGACGAGGAGCAATCGGCGCAAGAGTACACCAGGCGGCATTTGTCGCAGGGGATGAGTGCCGTCTTGCGGTCTGCCAGTTGAACGGCTGTACGACGACAGGATGCGCAATACGCTTGTGCTTGGATAATGAAATGCAAGTCCGTGTCATGCAAGTCGATCAGGCTGAATGCACCGCAATGCTTCTTGTGCTTAAGAGACCAGTCGAGCCTCTTGCATTCTTTGGAGCGGTAGTACGCGCGCTTGCAAGCAGAGCTAATTAGGATCTTGTCGGAGGTCTCGAAGCAGCGGAAGCACCGGTAGCCACGTACGGCGCCCACAGGGAGTGCGGGAACGCTCCCTCCGTTGGAGGCCGCGATGCGCTCGCGAATTTTGCATTTCGCTGGCATGACAGCTGTGACAACTGCGACAACTTGAAAGACAGAAATTACAAGCGGACAATAATCCAGTGGAGTCGCGAACTTGTGAGCGCAGGACTGCACTAGAACATACAGGGTTTGCCCCTGGTGCCCCTTAAGGTTGACATCGGCAATAACCTTCAACGCCTCCATTCCCTCCTGACAGCTGATGCCGAGCTCACTCGCTTACCGCCATCTTTTGACTCGCACATGCAAGTACTAAGAGTCACTGGCGATACTATCAACGGCCCTACAAGTCTGGTAGATCATCCGCGGATGGAGACACGAGCCGACGTACAGACTGCGACGAAGCTTCTGACTTGGGTTTCAGCGATAGTGTTCGCAAGCTTGCCTCTTGGCTGGGAGCTGCTAGCTCATGCGCCGAGGAGTTGGACGCTGGATTACTGGAGATCCATGGAATATGGTTTGATATCTCCTGAAAGCCTGCACGTGTCATAGGCATGTTGGCTAATTCCATGTCAGCAACTACACACCATCTGGACGCCTGTCGCATCCGTGGATCGAAACGCTCGGGAACAAGACGCGACGTACCCGTCACGAGACCGAGATTCACTTCTATTACCGTCCAGAACGTTGTCTTCCCGACATTCCTGCAAGGGAAAATCATTAGCGTGCAGTTCATCGTAGTCGATGCATCCGGACAGTGATTTACCAAGTGACGTCCTTCGGGTCCTTAGTCGTGATGTTTGCGACCATGGCCGGAACGGAACACGCGCAGACAAGCACTCCGCAGGCGAAAAGCAGAGTCAACCCGATCTTGTGGGCGCGCCGGAGGCTCAAATGCCGGATCTTGGAGATGGGCGCTACGACCATGGCGACGTCTAATACGGTATGCCCCAGTATCATGGTGAAGAACAGGGCGTATTGGTTTTGGCTACAGTGGCCGGGGATCTGTGAGTTCCACGCCTTCTGGACCGGATAGCACTGGAGGAGGTTGGCGAAGAACTTGTAAAATGGTCATATTAGCACCGATCGCTGTGATAAGACTGCACGCCCGAGGGTGCCATGCACGTACGATCGCCAGGAACCACGCGGTCGAGTAGGCCATCATGAGGTATATGCAGATGTTGAATGCTGCATTGACTCCGAATACCCGTCGGTAAAGACAGAGGAGGGCCATCTGCGAGAAATATATTGACCCGATATAGACGAAGCGAGCAACCATGTACGGGACTTGCGTTCTATACACTGCCTCGTCGACTGGAAGATCGAGATCGTAGATGTGTTGCCCGAGGCCGTCGGTTCTTAAGGCTAGAGCAAACCCGATGTTAACCACGTCGGCTATCAGGGACCATTTGCACACATAATCAAGCATAGCCTGCCATGTGGTCTATGTCCAGTGCCATAAGTAGGGTGGAGGCCGACAACGATACGATATAAGAACAGACGACGTACAGATGAGCTTGGACGTATTGAGGCCGATGCAAAACAACTGAAGGGCCATTGCTCATTAATCCCGCGCACCCAGGACTCGGAACTGCCCAGCAGACTCACAAAGGCAACGAGCGCAAATGCATCTGACAGCCAGTGCGTATGCTTGGTGAGTTTGCGACATAACAGCCGAAGCACGAAACTGGCGACGGTGATTGGGAGGGTCACAGCTACTGCTGTGACGATCATGGGCTGCTGGCTCTCCGCGTGTAAAGACATCGAGAGCTTTGCGTCGCGCCGTGCGATCGGGTGGTAAGTACAGGCAAGTGAGAAATTGGATTGTTGTTGCACAGAGGAGGGAACATATACATGTAGCTCGACGAATCCGACGCGGCATGTACAAGCAGAATCGGAATCGATCTTGGAAAGTGGCAAGATGCCTGACACACCACTTATCACGCACCCCTGCGTACACCATACATATACCCCAGCTACCCGATATGGTGTCACATTGCGAGAAACGCGGTTCCCGGACTCCCCTCTCGTTTAACCCACTGCAACTCCAAGATGCAGTTATAAGGGGGTTTCCGGATGAATTGACGAAGCCGGATGATTTCTTGCGGGTCCAGCAACACTTTCTAGATGTTGAGAATATCCCGTCCACGCGATGCCCCCTCGCACCTCGGCTCGGACGATTTGGTCTGATCACAGTAGCCCCTCGCAGCCCCTGTGCTCCCGAGTCCCTACTGAAGAAACATCCCCTGCGCTCCTCCACTGACCTCGGTGGAGCCCATCTCCATCCTTCGTGTAGAATTACCTCTTGAAAACGTTCCTCGGTCACGCTCGGGCCCCTTCTTCCCTGGTGATCTGGGTGATGAGAATGTTGATTGGCTGTACTGCCCCGACGCCGTACTATAGCCTGGTCTATAGGCCAGGCCCCTGGTCGTGAAACTCGAGAGCCGTTGGCCCGGCCCGGCTGGCCCGTTGCTTTATGACGGAATGCGGCAGACGGCAAGATTGTATGCTCATGCACGAGACCGGGCCCCCTGACTCGGCCTTCCCGGCCTCTTGGCTTTTCTCAGACGGCATGCCGGTCAAGCGGTCGAGTTGGTCTTCCCCGCATGATCCATGATCCTCTCTGCCCAGGGGTCGGCTACCCCAGCCTCCTCTGCCTCCTCTCGGTACTCTAAGTCGGTAAGCCGTGCTTTTGTCCTTGGCCTCTCGTCAACTATCACGGTGACCTCAACGACTCCCCCAATTTCATGCCACATGTCTCACCAGTGGTGCGGGTATTAGAAACACGGGCTCTGTCTTCGCGAAATCATGCCTGTCCTCACACCGGCCGCACTTACAATGTGGCTATGTCTGGCTGTGGCGGCCTCGTCTGTCGTGACCAACTCACGCGCCGCTGCCGACCCCGCGGTGCAACTGGTCAACGGTACGGTCATCGGCACGGCAGATGAGGCAACGCCAGACGTGCGCCAGTTCCTCGGCATCCCCTATGCCAAGCCACCCGTGGGCAGTCTTCGCTTCATGCCTCCGGAGCCGGCAGATGCGTTCCCTGGCGGCGAGCTTGCGGCTAAGGTGTTTCCGCCGAGCTGCATGCAGTACCTAACAAATAACGCCTCGGTGTGGACGCGCGAGAACCTCGGCTTCAACATCGACGGGCTGAACCACACCTCGAGCCACCTCAGCGAAGACTGTCTGACCCTGAGCGTGTATGCCCCCAGTGCAAGCGGTAGCAACCAGTCGTTGCCCGTGGTCGTCTTTCTCCACGGAGGCGGCTTCATATGGGGCGGCCAGGGCGAACCGTACCTGCAGCCGTCTGACTGGGTCCAGAGAAGCCAAGCACACATTGTCGTCATCCCGAATTATCGGTTGAATATCTTTGGGTATCCAAATGCGGCCGGCCTTGCTACCACGAGCCAGAATGTTGGATTGATGGACCAGCGTCGCGCCATCGAGTGGGTTCGCGATAATATCGAGGCCTTTGGCGGAGACACGAGCCGTAGTAAGTCAACCCCCAGTCCTTGCTTGCTTAGCCTTCCAATCAATGATCTTCACGGACAAGGTGGTCAGTCCACAAGGGCCTGCCAACTTTGCGGCCTGCAGTACCTTTGTCAATTGTACGCTCAGTACTCACACGTGTTGCAGTTACATTATGGGGTCAGAGCGCCGGCGGCATATCTGCCGGGTACTACTCGTATGCATACTTCGACGACCCCATCGTCAGCTCATTCGTCATGGACAGCGGGACGGAATTCGTAGACAGAACCACGAATGACTCGACACATTCGTTCTTCAGCTTCGTAGCGGCCCATTTTGGTTGCGACACGTCCAACCCGAGTGCGGAGCTGGAGTGCATGCAGAGCCAGGATGCCAAGGCCATAGAGGATTTCATACAGGAGCGTCAAGACGCCGGCTCTAGCCCTGTGATCAAGTTCACGCCCATAATAGACGAGAAAATTGTCTTCTCAAATTGGTCCGATCTCGCCCAGCAGGGGAGAATCTCTACACTCGTAAGCCAGCGATGCCCCTTTTTTTGATCGGACACCGAGAACTGAAACATGAGCCTCAGCCTACAGTCGTCGGCTCAAACTTCGACGACGACATTCCTTTCGTTCCTTACAGCCCTGATGGGGTGAACAAGACTTTGGCGTGGGAGGGGACACTCCAAGCCATGTTCTGTCCAAGTTGGAAATCAGCAACGTAGGTTTTCCATCCGATCAGGCAGCCCCAGCGAGGCGCACTCACTCACTTATGGGGCAATCAACAGCATCCGGCTGGCAGCAAATCCCGATGCTTCCGTCTACCGATACATGTACTCCGGCAACTGGAGCAACATCTCGCCGAAGCCGTGGTTGGGTGCCTGGCACGCAACGGAGCTGCCGATGCTCTTCGGCACGTACGGGCTCTACAGCGCAGAATGGGGCGCGTCGACCGACTTTGAGACGGCTACGAGCCAGGCTATGCAGGACGAGTGGGTGGCCTTTTTGAGGGGTGCGGCACCGTGGACCCCGTATAACGCCTCGACTGATGTTGTACGGCAGTTTGGGAGCCAGGATTCCGGCGAACCGGCTGTCGATTCAGAGTTTGGCTGGATTGAGGCGCAGTGCCCTAGGCATTATTGTTAAAGGAATTGAAGTAGACTGCATTTAAAGCTCGGGCCTCCGACGCCCGCCAGGTGCGCTGTGCGGCCCGTGCGGCGTGCTCTTCCTTGTAGACTGCATTTTCCCGACATCGTGTAGACTGCTTTTATGACCGCGCCGTAAAAGAGGACATGCAACACGCTCCAGTACAGAGCTCGATCCGGCGATTCTAATGGTACCGCTAGCGACCCGGTGCAGCGGCGGGAAGGACGCGCATCGGCCAGGGTAAGTTAGGGTAAGAGGCCACCGACCGGGATACGCAACGCCAGACAGGGACGCGCACAGACTAGCGGTGGCAGCAGCGTATATAAGCAGTAAAGAAAAACAGAACAAAATTTACTTTGTATTATACTTTGTTCATTGTATGCCATATTACAACTTGCGCTATGGAACCATTCATCTATCCCACCCAGCTTCGGGTACTATTATGTAAGGAATGCGGCTTTGGCTGTATTGCTAACGAAGTACAGTCCCATCTCAAAGCGGCTGGACATGTGTCGAGAACAGCGCAGCAGCGGAAATTGGTTGCAGAGGCCGTACAGCAGCTGGACGGCATTATATGCTCCCAGCAGCAGCTTCAAGAGACGTTTACGTTCCCAGAACCGGACTGGGCAGCGAATCCGTTCTTACAGCCACCAGTGGAGGACAGGTTGGCTTGCCGGTCGTGTCGGTACGTCTGCCGGGCCGAGAAGCTGATAAAAGAGCACTACTAAAAAGAGCATTCATAGGTTAACCCGCGTATCCGGGGAGGCCGGCCGGCTCGTTTCAAGGCCCGGGCTCAGCAGCGACAAAAAAGAAAAAAGGACAAGGGGATGACATAGGTCTGCCGTGACGTACACAGGTCCGCTGCCAGCGCTTGTTTTCCAGGCGGGCGGCAAGCGGCTGGTTTGAGGTAGAACGGCCATCGAGCAGGCAGACTGCGATCGCCGGAACCAATGCAGGAACAGGCGGCAGCAGTAGCAGCAACAGCAGCAGCACCGACAGCAACAGCACTAACAGCAACACGTGGCAGCTCATGCTAGCAGCATACGACACCAAACTGGCAACAGAAGAGGAGGAGCGTCGGCGGGAGGCGGACGGGCCCGGCGGCATTGACACAGACTCAACATGGGTGCAGGAGATGGGCTGGGCCAGGCATCTCGAGGGCAAGGATCTGGTGGTGCTGCACGACGCCAGCTTGGGCCCGCTGTTGAGGGACGCGCTGGCAAGGCTACGTGACACAGCAGCAAGGGACAAACAGCAGCAGCTGACACGGCTCGGCGAGAGCTTTGACCGGGAGGTGGCGCGGTGCACGGCACGGCTGGAGCTGGTGCCGCACGAGACGCTGCAGTGGCTGGCAAGCATCGACCCGGGTAAGCCGGCCGGGCGGCCATTCGGCGTCAAAGAACACGCCAGCTCAATGGACCAGTATAAGGGATACTGGAAGCGGTATCTGTGCTACTGCGTACAGACGCGGCAGCTGGGGCGGGAGGAGGCAGCAGCGCAGCACGGGGTACGATTTTCTGACGCACAGTGGGACCGGCTGGAGGCGGTCGCTCAGCTACTGGAGAACGTTGCCAATAATGTCGGTGTTGTCGCCGACATGGAAGAAGAGGATAACAACGAAGCTAAAAAACAGGCACATGCGCTAGACCGGCTAGTCTTTCTTTTCTGTATCAGCTCACTTAAACAGAAGATAGCGTTCGATGTATATGTCAACCCACTGCTTCACTTTGCCGCTGTGCTAGGGATCGACAGGCCGCGACAGGCATGGAAACAGGCAAAGGACTACACGGGCCAGCTTGCCGGGATCATGTGGTGCGGGCGGCTACTCATATTGGAGCACGTTTTTGAGGACCAGCCGGAAGACCCGAGCGAGATGGACATAGAGGTGGCCGAGCAGTTCAAGGAGGAATATCGGCAGTGGCTGGCAGACGGGTCAAACAGCCCGTTCAGCACGATGATCCGGTGGATGTCGTACGGCAAGGGACACCGGCAGAAGGAGGGTGGCACAGCACGGATTGCGTGGGAGGAGGGCGGGCAAGCACTGCGATATCTGCGACAGCGGATCACAGTACAGGAGTTCAGGGGCGCAGTGCAAGCCGGGGCGCGAGGCCAAGCGGCTGATGGACGGGCTGTTCTTTCAGCGGTGGGCAGAGGCGCAGGCGTCGGTCGACACAAGCCGGATCGTTGATAGCATGATATACAAGGGGCCAGAACGGTCGTTTACGACGGGCAGCAAGAATGACTGGCTGCGGCCCGGGTACCGCCGAATAGCGGAACTGGCACTCAAGACCGGCAGGCTATGGGACGCGCAGAAGGGCCAATAGCGCGGCAAGCAGGTGGCAGAGTGGGCGGCCCGGGCACAGGAGTTCAGGCGGGCGTTTCTGGCGTATATGCCCATCTGGGGAGGGCAACCGGGGTGCGGGCCGGAGATCATGATGATGCGGCACTGCGACATGCAGCAGCTGCTACAGAACATGTTTGTGTTTGACGGGGACATGCTGCTCGTGACAGACCGGGACAAGAACAAGGCGATCCGGGGCATTGGGCACAAGGTGGCGTGGTTTCTGCCGGCACATGTGGGCAAGATGCTGATAGCGTACATAACGTGGGTGCTGCCGTTTGAGAAGATGCTGTACACGCAGGCGGGCGGGGCAGTAGGCAGACGAGTGCTGTCGGCCGCTCTGGACGAGTGGCTATAGAAGGACGGACAGAAGGGACAATGGGAGACGGCGGAGCTAAGCAAGCAGCTAGCGGCGCTGGCAGGGCAACATATCGGGGTGGAACTAACGGTGGCAGACTATCGACACGTAACGATTGAGCTGGGGCGGAAGATCCGGGGTCTGGTGATACGGCAGCTTGAGGTGGATATCGGGACAGCCGAACAGGATGACATTAGAGGCGGCGGGGGACCGGGACGTGAAGATCCGGTGACGGGCGAGACGCGGGAGCAACAGAAGACAGAGTCCATCTGGGATCTGTCACGGCGAGCATACTGGGGAGCTGGGACATGGCCGGCAGCAAGCAGCTATTACTCTATTGACGAGAATATCAAGACTAGAGAGGAAAGGAAGAGAGAGAGAGAGATAGGTACAGTGGGAGGTTGCCCCTTTAAGGGGATCCTCTGGTCAGATCCTTCCCCTATTGGGAAGTATCCGCTTGTCATGTGGGAAGGTCTGTGCAGGCCGTCACAGGATCTGCAGGCGACGCACGGCAGCGCGATAGCACGGCAGCATTACGCGCTCGACGTACGATTCCCAGGGCAGCTGCAGCCACAGATGATAGCAAACTACCAGGAAATCAGCCGGTTATGGCACGGGTACTTGCAGCCGAGCGGCAGCGGCGGCGATCAGGGTCAAGACGATGATTACAAGAGCGCCAGCAAGGACAAGAAGAGACAAGCCAAGGCAGCAGACAGGGGCAGGGGCGGGGACAAGGACAGAAATAACAGAGGCGGCAAGAAAAGGAAGGTGGGCAACGATAGATCTAAGCCGGGGGCTACGGAGAAGGACGGTGGCAAGGACAACACTGATAACAGCAGCAACAAGGAGAGCTGCGAGACCGGGATAGACAACGGACTGCGCAGGTTACTAGGAATCGATGCCTGCTGGAAGACAGAGGAACAGCAGGCAGCGATGACAAAGGTGATGGCAACGAAGGGCAGACAGGCACTTATCGTGGTGCTGCCGACAGGTGGCAGGAAGAGCATTCTCTTCATGCTGCCAGCAGTGACAGAGAAGACAGGAACGACGGTAGTAATGGTGCTGTTTATAGCGCTGATGGACGATCTGGCGGCGCGGGCACGGGACTTTAGGGTGGACAGTCTGCGATGGCAGACGGCGGCACAGACAGGGCGGGACGAGTCCTAGCGGGAGGCACAGCTGGTGGTGGTCAGCGTGGACATTGCCAGCAGTAATGAGTTCATAACATACGCGGACGGGCTGCGGGCGCGGGATCTGTTACGATGGATCTTTATAGACAAGTGCCACATAATCATCATGGACACTGGGTACCGGGCTAAGCTAGTGGGGCTATAAGGGCTGTACCGGTTCGACTGCCCGGTAGTACTGCTAATGGCAACGCTGCCAGTGCGGCTGGAACGGTGGTTCCGGCAAGCGATGGTGGCGGAGGACGCGGCGATGGTACGGGCGGCGACGGTCAAGCGGAATACCCGGTACGGGGTGGCAGAGGTCAAAGCGGGCAAGGGCATGGTAGAGGAAGAGGTGGTCCAGACGGTCGTGCGGATGGAGAAAGTGATGCATACGGGGCAGAAAGGAGTGGTATACTGCCGATCAAAAAATAAATACGAGGCGCTAACAGAAAAGCTAGGGTGTGCATTTTATCACAACAATATGGCCAACAAGGCATAAAAAATAGTGCTAAAAAAGTGGACAAAAGGAAAAAGAGAGATACAACAAGTAGTGGCGACAACGGGGCTCGGGATAGGGATAGATATTCAGGGGCTCGTGGCGGTGATACATGTAGAGCAGCCGTAGTAGGGATTGGTGGACTTTGCGCAGCAGACGGGGCGAGGCTTGCGGCGGGCGGGCAAGGTGGTAGAGTCGGTGATCGTGACGGACGGACGGTGTAACGAACAAGGTCTAAGGGATGAACCCGAAGAGCTTGATATGTAGACCAATGTATATTGTAGCTGTTAAAGAAGGAAGAGGAAGGAAAACAAGTAGCTGGGGGTCCAGACCTGGTTATATACACATAGGGTGGCACGGTACGTACCTAGGTACGTACCCGTGACAGACGGGCGGGGTGGCACAACGAGCAGGGCAATGAAGTGGAGCAGCTCAACCGGCAGGCGATGGCGTGGTTCGTGTAAGGGGCGGACTGCCGGCGGCGGGTGGCGCTGGGGGTGTTCATAGACGGGGTAGGAAAAGACTGTGAGGAGGTGGGTGGCGAGTGGTGTGACCGCTGCCAGAAGCAGACGGGGGGTTGGGACGGGGGCGATAAGAGAGGTTGTTTCAAAGAAAGGGGCATTAAAGAAGCGGAGGGGGTGGAGTGGGAAGAAGAAGGAGAGGAGGAAGGAGAGGAGGAAGGAGAGGAGGAAGGAGAGGAAGAAGGAGAGGAAGAAGGAGAGGAAGAAGGAGAGGAGGAAGGAGAGGAGGAAGGAGAAGGGGAGCCGGCAAACCGGCTTAAAGAGCGTCACAAAAAGCAATACCGGGAGATTCAGCATTTACACAGATGGCTACAAGAGGTGGAGGGCAAGTGTGGGTGTGCTACATCAAGTGGCATTGCAACTTAGGGGCTGTCCAACTACATGCCCCCGCCGTTGGCAGCTACACTGCTCCCCACTGCTCCCCATCGCTCCCCACAGCTGATCATATTGGCTCCTCCGGTCAGGCCGGAGATGAGGTTGAGGGGACTAGCCTTGCAAGGGTTAATGATGGCCTCCGCGATCGTGAGGTCGCCCTCCCGACTGGCCTCGCCACCCTCTTCCCAGCCAATCTTGTACAGGGGAAGGAGTAGGGCGTCCTTGGACAAGGACCAATTCTCGCTGCCTCGGAGGAAGGTTTCCTTCGACGGCGTCAACTTGAACTTCTCCTATCTAGACGCGCTGGTTCTGATGGGCTCTGTGGATGCTCATATCTTGAGAATATCCTCTTCTTTTGGGCCTTCTTTGTCTCTCTCTCGAACAGATGAATCGGACTCTGAATCTGACGACAAGTCGTCAGACATATTGGGGTCTGACGCGTCCCGCCAGATTGAATACTGACTGTTGGCGTGCCTTCCGGCTCTTCGGATCTCTTCCGGGTGAAGGCCAGGCGTCGCGATCTCTCAGGCTTAGTGTAAGAGGTTCTTCAGATAGTTCTTCATCGGCGATCTGCTCCGTGGTTGGTATCAACTGAGCTTCCAATGACTGGACTACCCATATGACCCGGCTAACCCTAGCCTCAGCTGCCTTAACCTTGCCTGGGAAAAAACCAGCCCAAGATAGTTGTAGCTATTGTCGAACCAGTGTCAGATTGTGGGCCCCTTTAGGATTTTACCCGTTGTGACTAGGAAGAACCTAACGTATCGAAACGCGCTTTATCGGATAATATCAGGACGAGCGTCCAGGTAGAACTGCATGGGGCTCGCCTATGATCTGGTAGGTGAAGCATTGAATTTATACCTTTTCTCGTAATAATTACGGACCTTCCTACATAACAAACCGATACCTCCTAATAAGGGAAGGATCTGACCAGAGGATCCCCTTAAAGTGACAACCTCCCGCTGTACCTATCTTTCTCTCTCTTCCTTTCCTCTCTAGTCTTGATATTCTCGTCAATAGAGTAATAGCTGCTTGCGGCCGGCCATGTCCCAGCTCCTCAGTACGCTCGCTGTGACACTTTCTTGCCCTTTCTTTTGAGATATCTCTTGACCCAAGAGATTGTAGGAAGGTTTATTGTGTCTGTTTCTAGCATGGCACCCTCTTTTGCTAGTGTATCGGCAGCTTCGTTACTATCAATATCTCTGTGTCTAGGAATCCACTTGACGGTCACTCCAGGAGTGTGTGCTATGGCAAGTTCTTAAAATCGTAGAAAAATGTTCTGTGATGTCTTGGGTGGAGTCCCATTGAGCCCATCTACCACTGACGTGTTGTCCAGGCAGACATATAGCTGTTTTCTGTGTCCAATTGCCCTGGCTGCTGCGAGACCTTGGAGAGCACCATGGACTTCAGCATCTATTACTTCTGCTTGGAGAAGTCTGCCCTTTCCCCGGTATACTTCTTGTGTAGTGCCGCCTTTCCTGATGATATAACCCTATCCAGTGCGGGTTATGCCTTGGTCGTCCAATTATGATCCATCTGAATAGATGACAAGGTCAGTGTTCACGTTTCTCTCTTGTAGCCATTGCTTAAAGAGCTCTGTTTCTTTGTCTTTGTCTTTATATATTGGGGGCTTCTTTCATAATGGCCTGGTAAGTGTTGGTCTCTAAAAGTCAGGGACTAGCTGGAAGCTCCTTTGTAGCCTTGTTGGATTCTTGCGAGCTTGTATTTGGAGCCTGCCAACAAGAGGGTGTCTTTAGTCTAAACGTCCGAGTCGTAGGCCGTGACGCCGTCTTATTGCCTCCGCAAGAACTCCTGCTGGAGGAATCTGTGATTCAAAGTATAGGATATGTCCAGGGTGTGTTTTCTAGACCGGCAGGGTAGCCCTGATCGCTGTTCGTAGTACAGCATCTATTGTTCCAAGAAGCCCCTTAATATGACATGCTGATGTCTCACCTGAGCTCCTGATTTTTTTGATTCCTGGGTACCTGGCCTTTAAGCCATGTGTAAGAATAGGAATAACACAAGCTTTCACAGCCCTCCTGGTTGACTTTATTGGGAGTCCTTTGATTGTGTTGCATAGTCCTCAAAGGTGATTTGTTACCTTACTAGCTTTCTTAGCTCAGTGAGAAACATGATTTTTAAAGTTTAGTTTTCTATCCAGAAGGACACCTAGCTATTGCATGGAAACCTTGGCTATTTTGTTCATTGTCCCGTGGCGGACTGGAGGGTTGTCTGAGTTCTTTTTCTTTAAGAAGTGCATGATCTTAGTTTTGTCGGGATTAAATTGAATAGCGTTGTTATGTCCCTATCAATTAAACAAATAAAGATTTTCAGAAGCCTCTGTAGCTGTTTCCTCAAGGTTCTTTCCAATGCAGAGAGTCGCTAGGTCGTCTGCATATCCAAAGCGTCTCTTTTTTATACCAAGTCGGACACAGATTGGCTCTGTATACAGCATGTAAAGGATTGGAGAGGCTGGTGAGCCTTGTGATAGCCCACAAGTGAGAGCTTTTATATCGGTCACAATACCTTCAAACCAAACCCTTGCGGACCACTTGGACATAAATGACTGGACCCATCTTATGAGAAAGCCCGGCCAGCCCTGTTCTCTCATACGAACCACCAGCCGTCCCATTAGGGCAGCATCAAAGGCCCCTTTCACATCTGACGTGACTACTGTTGCAACGAGGCCTTGGTCGAGGGCCTGCTCAATATTGTATATGAGTGCAGCTACCAGGTCAGTGGCAGAGCGCTTTGGTAGAGCTCCAAAATGTTGTGGAGCTAGAATTCCAAGTTTGATAACAAACCAGGTGATTCTTTTTGCGATGAATCGTTCTAGGCCTTTGCCAAGACATGACAGTAGCAATATTGGTCTGTAGGCCCGAGGATTGGAGTAGTCTGTCTTGCCTGGTTTTGAGATCATCACTACTTCAGCTATTTTGAATGGTTTAGGGTGGTGTCCAATCTATAGACAGGTCTGGAAAAGGGCTCTGATATGTTCCCCAATGACTGGCCAGCAAGCTTTCAGAATTCGTACTGTGAGGGTGTCTACTCCCGGGGAGTTGCTCTTGGTCCCTATAGTGCACCCTTAAGCCTCTTCTAGTCCGACAAAGTATTCAAGGGGGATGTATGGCTTGGCTTGTGTGATCTGAGCAGACCAGGGGTCGATAATATCGTTGTCTGAGGTACTTCATTCAAGCGTGGCTGAGCGTAATGCATTTGCCTTGCTCTCTTATGACTCGAATATTTGGTCTCCTATGATGATTGGAGGGGAACGCAATTCTGCTGATAGCTTGTGCCAAGAGATGATTCTGTATAGGTCCTTTGGCTCAATTGCTGAATCAATTAGAGTCTGCCAGTACTCTCTCCTAGCTTTCCGAGCCACGCGGCGAAATTCCTGTCGGGCTGAATTCCGCCCTTCTTGGCTTGTAGTCTATTTAGAAAGGACCCTGTATGTCTGAACAGCTGCTTTGCAGTCATCATTTCACCAAGCAGTGGGCCTAGATTGACGGGGCTTCTTGCCCACTGTCCTGATACAGCCTTGGATCATGTTGATCAAGCTTTGTGTAAAGGTATCTACCTGGCCAGGGGATACACCCAGCCGGGGGAGTTCATGAATCCTGGTTTGGACATTGTCTGCCAGCTCTTGTAGTTTATTATCCGGTACTATCCAATGATTGGCCTTGGGGACTCGGTCTAGATCTCCCTGAATTGGGACAACTATTCGTAATGTCTTATGATCTGAAGTGCACTAGAGTGCATCATTCACTGAGGCTTCGGCCATGGGGACATCTGAGAACACCAGGTCTAGTACATTTCCGTCATCATGTGTTGGGACATTTGGTTCAGAAATCAGATCCAGTCCATGGTCTGCCATAGTCTGTGCAAGTATGACACCACCATGATATCCTGGATTGCTCGAGTCCCAGGATGTGTCGTCAGCATTGAAATCCCCAGCTATAACACAGCCAAAAGGTGGAGTCCATACTTCTAGAATATCATCCATTTCCTGTGGGTTGTCACATGGCCGGTAGACATTGGCAAATATAATGCCTTGTACCTTGACCCAGGTGATGTCTTGTGTAGCATAGGGCCGAAGTTGATCTGTTTAAAGGTGTTTTCTCACATAGATGAGAGATCTGGGCCGTGTACTATCACTGTCCCAGGAATCCATTGGGGAGTATATATTGTAATTGGGGTGTGTCTTTACTCCCATTCTCCTGCCTGGTGGTATGCCAACCTAGGGCTCTTGCATCACAATGATGTCTGCTTGTTTTCCTTTGTAGTCAGCCAGGTTAATGGCTAACTTTGTAGGGCCTGCACTCTTTTGTCCTCCTGCTGCATTTACAGAATGGATGACTAGATGCCCGTGTCGATGTGTTTCATTTGATGTACCTAGCATTGACTGACGACAATGGTGTCGGCATCCTTAGGATGAGCTGTATCTGTTGTGTCGATTTGTATTGTAGTGTCTTTGTTATTATTGTTAGGTGTTGACCCAGCTTGGTTTCTGCCTGTTTCATTAAAGGCCCTGGATCTGGCTCTTTCTTCGGCCAGCCTTATTTCCTGGATTTGCTCCCATGTGTGCTTATGGATGATGCCTTTCACAACCTTGGGGCGTGCAGGGCATTTGTCGAAGTTGGCAACATGAGGTTCTTTGTAGTTGACACATTTTGGGATTGGTTTTTTGCATTCCCACTAGTGTATTGTACTGGCGCAACATGCACATACTTGCTTTTCATATCGGTAGTTATCACCATGGTATCTGAAGCAGCTCGCATACTGATGAACCTTGGGGGAGTATTGAATGTGCCTTGAGGTCATTAAATGAGCAAAAAGCATGAATGGTTTTTTTGCTGCACGGGGCAGAGAGATCACCCATGTGGTCTCTGGATCAGAATCAACTGTGTTCTTTGAGAATATATACCTTAAAGGTCTGTCACCTGTTTGGGCTTCAACTTCATCAGCAATAGTAATGTTGGTAATATCGATTATCAATCCTTCTGTATTGATGACCTTTCTTGGGCATCCATTGACCTTATAGTGATGCCAGATCGTGTAGGTCTCGATCTTTTCTGCCTTAAGAATATTGGTGATTTCTTCTTGGAAGGCCAGGAGCTTAGCCTGAGTTGGCTTGTCCCTTGGGTATAAGGTAAATCCGGAGGGGCACCGGGTCACTTCTCTAAGCTCTTGAGGGTGGAGCTTAAGTCTTCTGTTCAGTGTAGACTTTATTTTGTAAGGCTCTAGGTGGCTATTATCTATGCGGACAAAGACCCAGAGATTATCCTGTTTCTTCTTCAGTTGGTTGGCAGTGATACAGGCACCAGGCTGTGTTTTCTTTATGGTAGTGTTGATTGTCCGTGGATGCTGTCGTTGGCTAGAGGAGACAGCTTGGGCAAAGGTCATGGTGGGCTTTACCATCCCTATCCCCCCAAGGATGGTCTTCCTTTTGGGCGGATCTCGGGTTTCCAGCCACTCGCTCAGACCTTTAAAGAAGAAAGTGCTGAACTCCTTGGCATGAGAGTATAGTTCGGTTCCAGCTTTCTCAAGTGTCTTATCAACCACTGTAGCACACTCTTAAAACATTGTTATCCTGGCTTTATAAAGGTGCTTGTTTTTAGCCAGTATTCTGGCAACTTGGTCCTGGCACTCTGAGGAGGAGGTTTTATTCTTTATATCGTATGTAATGGCTTGGTCTGTCGAGATTTCATTCAATTGAGGTTGTTTCATTCCAGTGATGCTGTTGTCATTGATATTTCGGGATTTTCTTTTTAGAGGGGAAATAACGATGAAAGTCAGCCTCAGAGACCTGTGACGGGCTGTTGCTGATGTTGCCAAGCAGCGCCTGGCGGAGCCTGCTCGGAGTTGTCAGGCCGTATGTCTTTCTAGGGGCCAGGGATTTGAGCACGCCGCCGGTGGTCGTCTTTGGGACGGCCACGGGCGTATTTGGGGGCCCGTCATGGAAGGGTGCCATCTGGCTTGTGAGAAATTTTTTCTTTTGTCTTAACAAAGATAGTCAATTACTGAAAGAAGTGCCTGCTTTAACGCAGGAATCGAGGTTGCACCCTAACAGCGGGGCGCCAAGAAAAATAATTGTTTTTGGCAAGTGTGGTGACAGGTGCCTTGGTGAACCACAAGGTGCCTTGGACCAAGATAATGATCACGACGGAAATCTATGGGAGCTCGAGATTAATACAATGGCGAGAAGCTAAGAGCGAAGCGGGGTCTTTACCTTCTGCAGCCACACCAAATCCGGCGCCGTGAGACCCAAAAACACTGGTAGAATGTTAGCCTACTGAAAGCTTGTTATGAAACCAACAGTCTGGGAATTCCTACCGGGTGCGAGAACATCAAATACTGCGAACGTCGTGATCAAGAAGCACAGGCCGACGATGGATAGATCTTCAAATCATTAGCCGCTCACCGTGCCAACAAGATGGATATCAACGCACAGTCATCAATGCCTAGCTTAGTGTGGGAGTTCATAAAGAATCGGATGCAGACACATGCGGCAGTAAGGATAATCAGAGTGATGCCAAACCCTTCATATGCCGGTATTGAGATGGTGGACATGATGGGGGAGGACTCCGAGGACAATTGGCAACGCTTCTAGTAACGAAAACAAGAGCAAGGTAGGCGGCAGGGCGACGATGAAGCGTAAGCCAGTGAGGGGGAAAGAATCGTTTGGATCAAGAGGGGCATCATTTGAAAGTCCCGAGAAGAGCTTGCGGGATAAGCAAAGAATGTGCCATGCAGCTTCCCCCCGAAGCGGTGAGGTCCAATGGTGGGTAACATTGGCTGACTGCGGTAGACGGATTCACGGAAGGATTCATTGGCGGCATGATTCCCGTTTCATTTAGAAGGGGGTATTAACGGTCCTAACCATCATGCCATCATGTTACCCAACCGCCAAAGGGGTTGCACTCGATAGATTGCTCATGCCTGTGCCTGGCAGAAGCCTACGCGGCAGAACCGTCTTTTCGGTTGACATGATGGAGCAAGTAAAGGGAAGAGTGAACTTGGACCTTGACGACGTGACGGGTGGCCCAATAGCCCCCAATAGCCCCCACGCGGCCCAGCCAACTGCGTATGCGACAATGTTCGATTGGCACCACGGGCGGCACCCAAAATGCAACGGCGGCATCTTGTCCCTTAACACTTATAGGGTGTAGCACCTAGCCCACTGCATATGTATGCACTACTACGTCGGAATACGGGGTCGTCGTCCATCGGTGTAACATGTTATTTTTCATCCCGTAGCCACTTCGCTTCGGACCGTAATGCAAGGTACTTTGGGGCGGGAGGCAGGGAACCCCCCCCTCTGGCGATGTCATTGGGTGACCTACGCGTGTCTCGCACGATAGATTAGCCTGTAGTCATCGCTTACATTGCATGCACTGCCTCGGCACTTCCAGTGGCACAATCAAGGTCGACACCATCAGAATCAACACGATCACACCCAGTGCGAACAACGCTCGTGAGGATGTTAGGAAAACTCACACACAGCCAAACCACGATATTCTCTCTTCGTACAGGGCTGATCCGATTCAAGCTTGCCGTGTTCTACATTCGGGGTTAACTTACCCGACAGAGCAAGACGAGTAGGCCCATGTCCAATTCGAGCAATGCAAGCAGACTAGATGTTGAGATATACCTGTAACGCACCGCTCATAAAGCCCTGCTGAGCCTTTGGTTTGTCGGTCGCTATGCTTCGACAGGTATAATTACGCAAAGCCATTCTTTGGTCTCCTATCTGGGTACCCAAGCTATGTATTCAAACCACATCATTATGGAGCGACGTGTATCTTCATCCCATGCTACCAACGACAATGGGCCTTCGACACTCCGGACCGATGAGCTAGATGCCGCGGCGCGTTCACTGCTCCAGAGTAGCGTAGGTGCTACCGACGGAGTTTTCAGGTTCGGGTCGATGAGCTGTTCCATTTATGACACAGCCTTTGTTTCTTTGGTGACCAAGGTCATTGACGGGAAGTGCCAGTGGCTTCTTCCCAGGTGCTTCGACTATCTCCTAGACAGTCAGTCGGAGGAAGGAAGTTGGGGCGAAACCGCATCGCAAGTCGATGGCATCTTGAGCACTGCTGCGGCGCTCCTGTCCCTCCTACGCCATCGAGCTCAACCGCTACAGCTTGAACATGTGGACACCATGGGTCTCGGGGACCGCATTGAGAGGGCCGTTAGCTCTCTGCGTTCCATGCTGCGATCGTGGGCTGTCGGGTCCACTGTTCAGGTTGGCTTCGAGGTCACTGTCCCAGCCCTGATTGGTCTTCTCGTCAGGGAAGACCCATCGCTCGATTTCCAATTTGATGGGTTCCATCAGTTGATGAAGATCAATGCACAGAAACTGTCGCATTTCAGGCCCGATGATCTGTACGGCAACATGCGATCGACTGTTTTCCACTCCCTTGAAGCATTCATGGACAAGATAGACTTTGACAGGATTGCCCACCACACAACATTTGGATCCATGATGGGGTCGCCATCATCAACATCGGCATATTTAATGAAAGCATCCCGCTGGGACGACGAGGCCGAGCCGTATCTCAAAGATGTTGTCGAAAATGCCGCCGGTAAAGCTAGTGGTGGTGTTCCCAGTGCTTACCCCTTGTGACAATCAGGCCTGCAGCTGCGCTGGTCAGAGCTGATGGGTTGAAATATCTAGATTCAACGATATCTAAGGAAGAAGAGGCAATGTCGGAAAAGAAAGGGGAAGCTAGGGGTATATATGTACATAAATATGTGGAGGTATTATGTAATACCGTAACACCCCTCTACATATTTTGAATCCAGTTGGGTGAGTTCTCGACACCGTCACTCGGCCATTCCGGTACCTGACTTCTGCTTCTAGGCTCTGTCTACCTTGCTTGCCTCAGGATTCTCGCCCGTGGATCTCCAGTGTCCAGGCTTGAATAAGATGGTAGAAGCCCTTTCTCAGGCTCTTATAGATGAAGGAGGTACTATCGGTTTTGGTACGACAGATCCGTCTTTTCTTCAGAAGCCCATGTCCTGACCTCCCTCTCAGCCTCCTCTTTCATGGCCGACGTGGACGATACGGCGAAAACCCTGACTTGTCTGAAACTTCTCGGCAGAAATGCTCGCCCAGAGAAGATGATCAACATGTTCGAGGCAGAGGATTACTTCAAGACCTATCCAAAGGAGAGGAACCCCAGTTCCAGCGCAAACTGCAACGCCTTGGTGGCACTTCTTTGCCAGAATTCACCACAGCACTGTCTACCCCAGATAACCAAGGCTGTGGCTTTCCTTTGTGATACTTGGTGGTCTGCCGTCTCGAAGATACAGGATAAATGGGTAAGTTGTCCCACGTTCACGCACTTGACAGCCACTAAGAGAATGTCACCAGAACCTTTCCACTCTATACCCTACGCTTCTGCTTGTGCAGGGGTTTACGAAGCTTGTGGATCTCATCGAGAAGGGTGAACTTTCTGCTTTCTCCGATGAGGTCCTGCGTTCTAGGATTACTATCTGCCTCTACCAAGCATGCTACAGGACACTTCTGGACCAAAGCGAGGATGACTCTTTGAACAAGTCAGTCGAAGAGACAGCTTACGGAACCCTTGTACTCTGCGAAGCACGGCGACTGGATATTTGGCGGGATTTCGATGAGCAGCTCAGTTCAGCCGTTCGCCGAGCTGTCGTATTCATTCAGTCTCCCGAGGGCAGACGTCCACAGTGCCTCTGGATTGAGAAGGTCAGCTACACCTCCCCATTCCTGGCCGAGGCCTACAGGCTCGCCGCCCTCAAGGCCTCGACTATCCCACCGGCTTTTCATGTGGGATCAAGCCTGCGCGGAGATACATCTATCATACCCAGACTTTCGAAACTCTGGCGAGGGACCCCCCTTTTCTCGAAAACTCCCGAGTGGGAGATTCGGGCGTCCATGGTCGAAGGGACCCTGTTCCGACCAATAGTCCGAGAACGGAGGCTGAGCGTCTTCACGCGGAAGGGCGTGGAAGAAGACAAGTACTTCGACGTCATCCCACTGGCGTGGCCAACGTGTAGCAATCGCACGCGCACCTTCGCCCCACCAGCCTTCTTATTTGAGGGCATGATGGCCGCTCTCCTGAATTATCAAGTCGACGAGTTCATGGAGGCGGTTGCCGGAGTCAACTACGCCGGACGGGTTCCGGAACTTCGCCAACTCATCGACCACGTGATCGACTCTGTCAGCAACTCACGCGGCGCCAATGACCTGGACCATACTGGCTGTAATGATACTCCAACGAACGGTGTGACTGGCTTGGCGGACGGTTCGCAACTTGCTTAGGATCCCATTGGCGATCCACCGAACGTTGAAGAGGCAAAAAGGCAGGAGGTTCTGGTACCTTTGCGCAAGTTCGTCACCCGCGCTTTAAAGCACCCGGCGGTGCTCTCGGCGAGCGCGTGGGACCGCAAGAACGTCACATGCGAGCTGCGGATCTACTTCCAGACGCACGTCACGCAGAATGAGGACAACGAGCTGCTGAAACGGCACCAGTTCAGCAACGGCGTGATGAGGGAGCACTTTTTCCGCTGGGTGCGCACGACGTCGGCGGACCATACCTCGGCCACGTACACCTTCAACTTCGTAAGCTGCCTGCTGGGCTCGTGGATCGAGAACGGTCGAGACTGCTTCTCCTCTCCCACGGAGAAGTACTACGCCGCCGCCGCGTGCCAGCATCTGGCGGCCATGTGTCGCATGTATAACGACCACGGCTCAGCTGTGCGCGATCGTGACGAGGGCAATTTGAACTCGGTCGACTTCCCCGAGTTTGAGGCCCAAAGCGGCGCCTGTGGAGGGAGCAGCAATAGTGGCGACGACCTTGCCGCTAAGAAGGACCAACTGTTTGAGATCGCCCAGTACGAGCGCAGTTGTCTGGAGGAGGCATTTAGACGACTAGAGGGGCACTCGGCAGAGGCGAGCTCGGTGGAAGCGCGGGCGAGGAAGTCTCCCCAGATGGAAATCTGGCGCCTGTTTTACAACGTGACGGATCTGTTCGGGCAGATCTATGTCCTCCGTGATATTGGAAGCCGTTTGACGGTCGGAACAGCGGGTTAGATAAGTCATTTCTCTTAGTTGCCAGGTTTTCATTGTAACAATTGAAAGGTATTTTCAATAAACATATCCTAGTATGCTACCAATTCAATCTTTTCTTGACATTGCAATTGACAACGGCACCAACTGGGATATTGAAGACACAACTCCGCAGTAACATCACGTAAGGCTTGGAGGAGCATCATGTTGAATGGGCGGGGAACAGGTAGACGACTTGCGGAGGACTTGAACAAGAGTCAATCACATTGGTCGTATGAGTCCGGGAGACAGGCGCTCAAACTTCTTGCACACCTACTTCGTGGCAGTCAAGAGCGAATACTGATTGCGATCAACCAAACCGATGAGTGGCATGACCTCCAGTCATAAGCGTCTATCCTGGGGCTAACTCGCCGAAACAACCACCAAGTCGATATGCATCTTCTACTATGATTGAATGATTGATTGATTGATTGTATTTATCGTGGGTGCAGTCCCTCAACAGGGCAAATCACGCCTCCCAGAGCCATTGCATCGCAAGGTTGTAGAGGTGTCAGTCTAGATACATTCAGATCTGCGCACGAGCCCATCCTCGCTGTAGCGGTACCAACCTGGAGTGTCTAGATGGTTTTAGTCAATACCCAAGCACGATTTCGTCAGAAAAACCTCCTGTCCAGAGACAAAATGACCAGTGGACCTCAGTCCTCAGGTGGACACATCGTTCCAGTAGCCGTTCGATATATGTCGCATTGGTGGATGAAGCAGGTGTTTGTTATCTGCTGGTGAGGGAAACCACAAGGGGAAAACCTCGCAGGAGTGGGTGTTATAGAGACAAGCTGCTTGGCTATCGGGCTCTGCGATAATGACAGGTGGTGTCTAATCCTAACCTGCTGTCTGACCCTTTACCGAACCCGGGTCCCGCTCGCTTGGCATCCCGCCCGCTTCCCACCTTCCAGCCAAACTTCCTCCTAACCCTAACTGATAGAAGAAGCCCCCTTCCAACGGTCGCAGCGACATACAGACAGTATGGCCAGATTCGCCGTCTCGTCTTCTCTATATATCTGTCAACGCTGACCGAATTTTTGCCCGGGAATCAAATCGGCTCTACCCCCCTCGTCTCCAAATCGGCTCTTCCCCCCCCCTGTCACCGTGCACGCGCCCGCTTGCGCTACGTACGGGTCCGTGCGCAAATCGGCTCTAGTAGAACCGATTTGGGAATGATACCTAGGGAAAAGCGGTACAAGCACACGGCAAGGGAATGCAGCACAATGCGGATACAGGAGTACGTAGCGTGGCGGCAAAAGGTCCAATTTAGAGAATACAGCTGCTGCTGGAAGTGTGGGCTGCCGCAAGGATGGTGCGAAAGGACATATATACCTAAAGTACAGCTGAAAGGTACCTTTTGCTTTGGGCATTGTTCCGGGCAACCTTCGATGGGACAACCCCTAGAAGACAGTGGAGACCACTGAATACCAGTGGATGGATCCACATTGGCATGGGAATCGCGTGGATCCAACAATACCTATATAAATAGCACTCGCAATAGAGCCAGGGGATGCTAAACCAGCTCGGTGTCCCAAGCTTCTCTTGTTCAAGGTTGTACAGGGTTACGTTGGCCCCGCCGTCGTCTCGTATAGGTCTGGTATGGGTCAACACGCAGGATTCCACCTAGGTACCCGGGAGATACGGACGTGAGGTTTCGGTCAAGTTGGAGTTCGTATTTCAAGCACACGAGCTCTTCTACGATCTTCTTCCCTTCGTCCTGCTTGGCGGCATCGTCGCACTTGGATATCGAGCGATAGAAGTCGTCAATGGCGCCAGTCTAACGCGTAGTTAGTAAGGGTTCCTGGGATAGAACGGGCGAGAACGGGAGGCATAGCTAACTGACAAGGATGATGGGCCATCGGTCCCGAGCCGAAATGTAAGCAAAGGACGTCTTTCACTTGTCAAGTACAGAGCTACATGTATGGAATGACGCACGGCGGTCAGTAAATGCAGACTCGGTAGCTTACGCGTCTTGGTGTCATGCTCCATGGTGGCGATCTGGCGTTGCAGTCCAGGGAGAGAACAGGGTTATGGTCCCTCTATGATTACTTTACAGGCACAAGGAAGCCTGTTAGAACATTGGCTTGGTTAAGGAAGCACGCTTGCTCGGTAAAGAAGAAAGAACTCTGTGGCGACAACTAGTTACATGAGATGGAGCGTCCTAGGGTTCCACAAGTTGGTGGCACAGCAAGTAGCAGTGGATATCTCGGTCAGCTAACTACTCTCTTCGGTCTACGAGTAGACCAGGTATGAATGCCACCAGCCGGGAGGCGTGTAGGTATAATCCTATATGGCTAGTGTATCGCTGATCGGAAATCAGAAGTGTATATAAAGAAGTCTATGTCTTTCAGATGTGCAACCTTCATACACTTTGCCATCACATCCAAAAACCAGTCAAGCATATACGACATCGCATTACCTTTGAACATCCCGTCTCAATCAGCTCGACCGCAACCGACCTAGCCATGACTATCAAATCCTTCCTGCTTCACAGCCTGGCCCTTGTGTCTATGCTCATTTCTTCCACCATCTCGCAGCCAACAGCAACCGACGCTCTAGCTGCCAAGACAGCGATAAACAGCCGCAGGGACCTCGACGATGACGTGAAGAATCTGAAAATCACCTCCCAGGGGTCGGGATTAAACAGGGTTTACGCTGCCAATGTTTTTGATAAAGACAGCTGGACCCTCGAGGTGACGGTACATCACGTGGTCATGATGAGTTTGGAGACGGAACTCAGGTCGGACGTCACGGACAAACTCTTGCAGGGGTGGAAAGATTCCGAAGAGGAAACTGTAGAAGTCCAGGAGGAAGGCAAAGAATCTAACCTCTTTCTTAAGTTGCAGAAGGCTGGTCGCGCAGACCTCAAGGACGTTGGGGATAATGATCTGCATAAGGATGTTCTCAGGACATTGTTCGCCCTTCGCCAGAAACTTTCGGCTGCAACTATGACCGGGTTCCTTAAAAAGGACCACGAGCCTCAAGCGGGGGTGCGCCTTATATTCTCTGGAAAGAGTTAGAGACTTAAGGTTTTACGACTCGAGGCTAAGAAAGTGCCGGCTTGGAAAGGGCAATGCAATTTGCGCTCAAGGGCATCTTGTAATGCCGAAGGAATTATGAACGGGAGGTGGTATAGACACGGATTTAGACAGGGCCAACTAGCTACACTCACTTGCGCTAAAGGGCATCTTTTGATGCCGAAGGAGTTACAAACGGGAGGTGGTATAGGCGCGGATTAGACAGGGCCAACCAGCTACACTCACTTATAACAGCTATCTACACGGCAAATTCTCTCATTTAACCTAGCTTTCTAAATATTTTCTTGCAAAAGGAAGTTTAAATCTTTTGCTGCTTGAACCTCACAGCGATCATCCTAAGCGTCATTCCCAAATCAACTCTAGTAGAGTTGATTTGCGCACGGACCCGCACGTGGCGCGAGCTGGCGCGTGCATGGTGACAAGGGGGGTAGAGTTGATTTGGTTTCCGGGCGAAAATCCGGTCGGCGTCAACGGGTATATAGAAAAGACGAGACGGCGAATCTAGCCGTGCTGTCTGCATAGGGTTAGGGTTAGGGTTAGGAACGAGCGCGAAGCGCGAGTGAGCAGCGTTGAATTCTAAGAGCAAAGGAGTCCAACTACCGTCGTGACAATAGTTTCGCCTATGGCTCTTCAGGGACTCTGTATAGCGAAATTCTTTTGATATATATTGTCAGAAGAAAGGTACATACATGGAGATAGGAGATATCGCGCTTCGGCTTTTAGAACTTGATTTCTAATACCGTCTTGAACGACTCAGCTCGGATAGTCTAATACCCCGCTGCTTACCAACCCAGAGAGACAACCCCCCGGATTACCAAGCATATTCTCCTCAAGTTCGCGGCATAGCAGAGGCAAGAGAGCTTGATAATCCATTCTCATGTTTGTGTATACACAAGATATTCCTAGTTTCATAAGGTATGTCATGGATACACCATGACACATGACTTGTGCTAGTATGTCTCTTTCTTTGTGCTTGTCTTTCTACACCCTATGGATAGGGTTAGGGTGGCTAGGGTTAGGGTCGGGATAGTATAGGGTTAGGATAAAGGGTTTGAACCTTTTTCTAAACCAATATTTGAACAGTGAAACCACCCTTGTTTTTCTTTAAGTAGAAGAACAATAAACAAAGTGTATATATATAGGGAATCTTGCAAGATAATGCTATAGTCTCAGAGAAAAGACGGTGAGAGTACTATTTCCCATAGCGCATTGCGGCGCCATGGTTACAACAGAACAAACCGCTAAGAATATTCTAATTCTCAGCACACCCAGTTTTCACCTAGGCTGCTGACGCCCTCCCGCAAGCGGGGAGTTCATGGCTCACCTAGGTATTATTCTCTGAGGTTTCTAGCACTTCTAACAGTGTTAAATTATGTAGGTTTATATGATCATACATATTCCTATCCCGTTTCAGCGAGGTGACCAGGTCATTGATACCTGGAAGTTCACCTCGGGAATATCGTAGCAATATTTCCTTGACGGGCCCTATACGGATATATTCCCATATTGGATTATATTCTGATGGTAGAATAAATTTGGGCTCTGTCCTTTCGGTTTTATCCTCAAGACTTTCGCTGAACCACTGATCCAATTCTCTCACTGGGTATCCACGCCGTAAGAGGTTGTAGTATAATCTGTCTTCTGCATGTAGGCGGTCGGTATCCCGACTACAGATAATACGATATCTCATGCGCTCGGCTTTAACAAAGCCCCGTTTGACGGTTAACGGATGAGCTGATGAGAAGGGAATATATTGATGCTTATTTAAAGCTTTCTCGAATAATTTTGTAACTATTATTCTGTCATGAACAATTATTTCTACATCAAGAAAAGAGACCAAGGTGCGAGAGTACTCCCAGTGTACCGTGAGGTTTGGGAACTTCCACCCTTGGATAAAGGATTTCACTTCGGTTTCTGTACCTTGGAAGACCATGAAGATATCATCAATGTAGCGACCGTAGTACTTGACATGCTTATTGCGATATTTAAATTGGCCTTTTTCATATATAGCACAGAACAGGTTGGCAATGATGGGGGCGCAGGCCACTCCCATTGCCAGTCCTGATCTCTGCTTGTATGTAGCTCCTTGGTACTCGAAGAAGTTGTTGGACAAGACGTATTCCATCATCTTTCTTATCCACCATTTCTTCAGTCTTCTCTGGACCGGAGGAAGGATGTTGTCAATTGCTTGCATCGCGTCCTCCTTTGGTATATTAGTATACATGGCGCTTACATCGCCTGATACCAGCCAAAGATTGTCCAGAGGCCCTTCTATATTCCTGATGCCCGTGATCAGATCCTTTGTGCTGGTAAGCACAGAGGGATAGTTGGAGAGAAGGGGTTGAAGTGCCCAATCTATAACCTTTGCCACCCTTGAGGTGATCCAGCTGTGGCTGGGGATGATGGGGCGTGAATTCCACGGCTGCTTGTGAATCTTGGGAATCACATGAAGCCGGGGTACCACCCTGAAACTACCCTGCAGATACTCTCGTATTTGTAATGGTAGGTTTGTGAGGTTATAGATGTCTTCTAGTTCTAGATTTAGAATCCTAAAGTCCACAGGATGAAGCTCATAAGCAACACTGTTATTCAGGTGATTCTGCACTTGTTCTCTATACCAGTCTATAGATATGACGCTCAGTCCTAGATTTTTGTCAGTGATCTTTACAAGGTACTGCTTCTCGTTAAGATACTGTTGGATCTCTTGCCAGTTTGGATTAAGAACGTCAGGGTTAGGGTTAGGGTTAGGGTTAGGGTTAGGGTTAGGGTTAGGGTTAGGGTTAGGGTTAGGGTTAGGGTTAGGGTTAGGGTTAGGGTTAGGGTTAGGGTTAGGGTTAGGGTTAGGGTTAGGGTTAGGGTTAGGGTTAGGGTTAGGGTTAGGGTTAGGGTTAGGGTTAGGGTTAGGGTTAGGGTTAGGGTTAGGGTTAGGGTTAGGGTTAGGGTTAGGGTTAGGGTTAGGGTTAGGGTT